TTTCCTTTCCTTTTTTTTTTTTATAGAATGAATCATATTATATCCAACGTAAATATAGGGATTGTATATATATCTCCTGTTTTTATTTTTATTTTAAAAAGAAAATTTGAATTTCAATAATTCTAATTTATTTACTTATTATTCAACGAGAGTATTTTCCTTATGGCCTCTTGATGAATCAAAGCAGAAAAACATGAAAAAAAAAAAAAAACATCTTATTTTACTTCCAACATACATGGATTGGGTTAGCCATCATGGATGGCCCAAACCCTGGATCCAAAATACAACAGGGACGAATAGCGGGAAATTGTTGCTACCAGTAGGGGAACTCGTTATTTTCCCCGTCTTTCAATCCAAGTCAGCACTAACAATCACGTCTTATTGTCTTTTCTACCCCCTGTAGAGATTATAATAATCGAGAATTAATTAATAGCATTTACATTAATTATTTTATAAATTTATTTAAATATATAAAATTATATTTGAATCCACTAAAAGTGATAAAAAGATTTTCATATTCGCTCATTTTTTTTTAAATTTTTTCTCTTCTATTTCTCTCTCCTTTTTTGATGTCTATTTCTCTCATTCATGTGAATTTATAGAGTAGCTAATATATATTTTTTGTGGGTTCAGATATAATTTTATGTATCTATCTCTTTTCTCCAAGTAAATCAATGGAGTAACTACCGTACATACAATTAGTTATTCCTTAAGTATTATAAAATTTTTATTTTCTACTTTATTATGGGAAATGGAAATGTTTTTTTTAGAAAAAAATACAAATAATTCGAAAGAAATTGAAATTTGTTTCTGTGGTGGTGTTAATGTTTAATGAGATATTTCTTCATTTATTGAAATTTGATGATGTAGCTTCTGAGTTATGAAGATTAAAAAAAAAAAAAACTAAAAGATTTGGAACAAATGAATAGAAATTAGTATTGGTATTTTCTTAATTTTTTGATTGATTTTTTGCACATTGTTTTCTAAATTTTACATTTTATTTCATTTCGGTCTTTCTTTGTTTCAAAAATTTTTTAATCCCTCATGTTTTTAGATTTTTAGAATAAACACACGCACGCACGCCCCCCCCCCCCCCCACACACACACACACACACACACACACACACACACACACATATAAAAGATAACATTATTCTTATTGTTTAAAATTAATCTCTTTCATTTATCATTTTTTATAGAAATTATCATTAAATTAATTTTTTATTTGTGTTAAAATATAATTTATTTTTCTATATATATAGTAATAGAATTCATGTATTTTTTTGGCTTATTCTTGATATAATGAAAAAAATTTGATTTATTTTAATTGTATTGTATTAACTTTAATATATTTCTTATACCTTAAGTTTTTTTTTAAAAAATATTTTTCAATTTATATAGCACATTCTGACCAATTGAGTATGTTCATGATGTATAAAAAAATTAAAATAATTGATTTTATTGAAAATTAACTATACATCTATACACATAACATCAACTATTTTCTATTGATTATTTTTAATATTCTAAAATTAATTTATTTTAAATAAAATAATTAAAATAATATTTTAGAAGAAACACTTAATTATTCAAATACATATTTTTATACTAATATTATTGTTTTTTTTTTCTTTTTTTTGTAAACAAACATATATAAATCAAATGTATATATTTTTAAAAAGTTAAAAAAGATCTGTTAGTTAGTTTTTATTTAAGTTTTTATATTGATTGTTACTTTATTTTTTTGATGCAATCTTATGAAAAAAATTATTAACATGTATATTTTTTAATTTTTATATTAAATTTATTATTTATATTATTATAGACATTTATTTAAAAATGAATGTATAACGAAAAACAAATCTTTTTTTTTTATAACAAAATTTATGACAAACATAAAAAAGAATGAACAATATACAAAATTTAATTAAAAATTACGAAATTAGATAAAATTTTATTTTTTTACCTTCAATTTAATATATTTTAATAAATCTAAAATATAGTATAACTATTAAATTAAAATAAACATATTTAGTTTATTTCTTCCTTGACTTAGAAAACCGACTAGTTAAGACTAAAGTGGCAGTGGATTGTGTGATAGTGAACTTGGGTGGCTGACATGTTGCTAACTCGGTGCACTCTTTTCTTTTTGAATATATTTGTGCGTGTTTACTTAACAGTTAATTATTACTTTTGTTTATTTTTTAGACAATTTTTTTTACAAGCACATAATTTTTAATATTTTATCAATCAAATATATGAATTTGTTTTAATATACCAATTTTTTAAAAACTACTAATTAAATACTTTTCATCCAACTTTTATTGATTGCTCCACTATTTGATCATGTTTTTTTTTTATCCCAAACTATTAAATTATGATTTTGACTTTTTAGTTTTGAAGTAAAACAAATTTCTAGTATTATTTTGTCCACTACTACTTTTTTAATATAAAGACGATTTAAGTATTTATTATACTAAAAATAGAAAATGGAAAAATAATTTAGGAGAAAAAGTTTTTTTTTTTTAAATGAAAGAGTAAAATCATAATTTAGTAGTATAGGCAAATGACACGTCATAAATAAAGAAGTAATTGACAACAATTAGACGAAAAATACTTAATTTGTATTTTTTAAAAAAATCAGTATACCTAAAAAAATAATTTAAAATTCACATACTTTATTGAAAAACAATAAAATTTGGTATATTATCCTAACTGTTTTTAATTTTGAAAACTTGAGAAGAGAAATAAAAATTAGGTGAAATGAGTAGGAAAAAAAAGGTATTTTTAAAAACTATTTAATTGAAGATGCATGATCGCCTAATTGGAAGTGTCGTTAAAAAAAACAAAAACAAAACAAAACAAAATTGGTATGATCATACGGAATTAAGCAAAAGAGTATAGCCAATCCCAACTAGTTTAAGATTAAGGTTTCGTTGCTGTTATTGATGTCATGTGATTACGTTTGGCTGATTGGTATCAAGTTCGTCATGCCAACATATTTATAATACGAGTATGATAACTGACGGCCAGGTAATCAGATTATGAATAACATTCCATATTGGCTATATGAAGTGGCTGGCGTTGGATTCGATTCTTTAAACGACAGAACCTGTGAATTAAATACCATGCCAAAGGTGAGACTAGATGCTTAGTTTTGAATTATGTCATGGTGAGATCATATTGCTTACGATTACATGCTGTCATCATAATCACATTATCTAATGTTTATGTCACTTTTTTTTTATTATTTTCTATTGGTCAGGTAACTCTTATGATCTTGACCTTCTAGTGCTTATCTAACTTGAGCAGTAACAAATGCTGAATTAGGTTTTTGCTTTGTGGCATCTCAAGCTTCGAAGAAGAAGAAGCACTTGTGAGTTTTTGGTGTACCTTTGGTGTTGGTTGTCGTGTTCCAATACGTAATTTGCCTTAGCCTAAATGGATATATAAGGGATTTGCAGATCCATTTTCATTCGTTTGGTAATCCACGTAAAATTACTTCTTTAAAGATGAAATTTTGTTTTTAAGGTTAATTATACTTAGGTTCTTGCAATAAGAAATTAATCATTGGTTAATCACTCCAGTGCCCAGTGACAACTGACAAGCAAATTAACATAACTCTTGCAAGTTGACTCAAAAGCATCCTGAAATATATTTGGTTAGTGCCACGAGAAGCAGCTAAAAAATTGGCTTTAATGCAAGAGGCATTTATTTATGTATTTATGCAATGGTAGTTCCCTACCAGCCAGTGACAATAGAGTATGTTAATCATGATGACGAGGGCGATGCCTACGACGATGACGGTGGTGGCATATCCAACGGAATTGGGGAAAGAAATTTCGGGATTATTTTATTTAAGCTTTAAACTTTCTTGGACTTCAATGCATAACGTTTAGGTAGCTGGCCCTCCATCTTATTGGTCCCAAAAGATTTGCCAATTTTATTTCCTCTGGTTCGGTGGGTCCTTGGGGAGGAGAACTTGAAGAGGTTATATATATATATATATATATGAAAAGTCACTGGCAGACCCGTTGCGTCTAATGACACAGCTTCGTCTATTTGTTGCAGACGAAAAACCCAAATGGTCATTACAATTTCTTACTTGGAACCTCATTTTTGTTTTTTGAACTCTCTTTCCTCTCCAGTTCATCTCCTCTCCGGTCACCGCACATCGGCGGCTTAGGCAATGGTCATCTTGGCCATTCCTTTTCCTTGTCCTTTGTCATGGCAGTTATTGGGCGGTTGAGTGTTGTAAGTTTTAGATACTTAAAATGTTAATTATTTTTCGTGATCTGTACTTTACGACCAAATTCATATTATGGGTTTTACAGTCCATAATGGGCCCACAAAATAATATTAATAATATTTAAAAACTAAAATTACGGAAGAAGCACTAATTTTGGTTTGGTTAAAGGGCCATTCGGGCCCACAAAATAAAAGCTGACTTCTTTAGGCGGGAAAAATAGCTCTTTCCCGTCATACGAATATTAATTTGGGATTAATTGAAAGCAAGATTCACTCTGATTTCTTGGTATTTGCTTTCTCAAAATCAAGAAGATCCTCAAGTAACCTGTCATCCAAGAACTCAATCTTAAAGGCTTCTTTGCTTCGTTCAGTCCCACTTCTTTCGGCATTCTGTGACATGAGGAAGAAGAAGAAGAAGATGATGATGATGAGAAAGTGATATCAGAATCAACCTTAGTTTCAGGATATTCACCGGGGAAGTTGAGAATTGCTAAAGGACCCCTCATTGAATATGCAGCTCTATCATAAGCCCTTGCAGCCTCTTCTGCTGTGTTAAAAGTCCCTATCCATAACCTTGAATCTAAATTTTATTTTTTCTTGCCCAAGTCCGAACGTAAAAGATGCAAGAGTAATGAATAAAATATATACTTAGTGGTCAAAAAGCACCTTCCAAGAATATAAAAGGACAAGGCTAATCTATATCTGCCTAGACAATGAAGTTTCCTAGAAACTACAAAATCCAACCGTCAAATATGACCCGGCCCTTGACCACCAACTTCACGAAAATGTGTGTATATATACATATTGCTACGGAATTTGAAATCAAACCGGACGTTTCTAATTTGCCACCTTTTCACTTGAAACACAAAATGGAAACACATGAAGGAGAGAAGAAGAAACGCAAGCAAGCGAAAGGAAGAGGAGAGAATGCGTATAGGGGGATTCGCAAAAGACCTTGGGGTAAGTTTGCTGCTGAGATACGTGACCCAACAAAGAATGGGGCACGTCGTTGGCTAGGAACATTTGACACAGCAGAGGAAGCGGCTCGAGCATATGACCGAGCTGCTTTTACCTTCCGGGGTCGTTTAGCCATCCTCAACTTCCCGAACGAATACCAACATCAGGATCCAAACTCTACCATCTCATTTGCTTCTTCATCTTCATTCTCCACTGCCAATCCTGAGAATTATGTCCATGAAGTTTCCTCTACTATTGGACAAGAAGTAATAGAGTTTGAGTATTTGGATAACAAATTGTTGGAGGAGCTGCTTGGGACACATGATCACGGCAGGCAGCATTAATGCGTATATGGATTGTCATGTTAGCCTTCAATGCAATTATTTTATTTTTGTCCATTGTAATGTGGATCTATAATGGAAATAAACAAATTCCAATTATTTATTTGTTTGTCATGTTTAACAAAATTACGTTCCATATCAAGTTATGGACCTCTTCTCCCACCAACTAGAAAAAGAACAAAAGAAATGGATTAAAACGAGGGAATTAGAGCTGGTAACGGTTGTGTGTGGCTTGAATTTTATGGGCCAATAATATATTTAGAACATTAGGTTTTTTTCTTCGTAGATATGAGGTATTTAAATCTTTTTATATCTCTATTTAGGAAATAGAATGAAAGACATAGATTTTGTATTGAGTCTTTAGGGTTCTTGTATTCTTTTACTAGCAGTCGATAAAACTTTCCTCTCACTTATGGAGTAAGTAATTTGTCGAATCACATAAATCATGTGTGTTGATAATTTGTTTAACTTTATCTTTTCATTATTACCTCGCCATTAGTTGACTTGTTTCGCTTTTTGTCATGACAAACCGGTATCGAGCATAGGTTGAGCATCTTTGGGTTTTTCAATTCGTAATGACAGCTTTGAAATTTGATGTTTTGCCTTTTAATAGTCAAACTAATTTTAGCTTATAGAGAATAAAGATGAAAGCTTTGTTGTGGCGTGAAGGTTTTGTTAAGGCAATTGAGGATATATACCCAAATGATGTGACTTTTGCTAAAGTTGAATAGATGGATGAGAAGGCTCATAGTGCTTTATAATTATCATTGTCGGACAAGGTATTGTGAGAAGTCGTAGATGAAGAGACGACGACGGGACTATGAAAGAAGTTGAAAAGCCTTTACATGAAGAAATCTTTAACAACAAGATTGTGTTGGAAGCAGCGTCTTTATACACTAAAAATGTGAGAAGGTATATCTATTCATGAACACCTTGATGAATTCAATAAGATTGTTATGGATATGAAAAATCTTGATATTAAACTTGATGAAGAAGATCAAGCTCTTATTGTATTGTGTTCATTACCTACTTCGTATGATAATTTTATTAAGTCAATGTTGTACGATGGAGAGTTTATAACTTTAGAGGATGTTAAGGTCTTTTTGAATTCTCGTCGAGTCGAGACATAAACCGAATAGTAAAGCCGTTGATAGTTTACTAGTAATGGGAAGACAAAAGGATAGAGAGAGTTATAAAGGAAGACTCAAATTTTGTTCTAAGTATAGAACACTCGCGGATAAGAAAAATAATATTGAGTGCTACTACTCGTCATAAGAAAGGACATTATAAATCATATTGTCCTACTCTAAAGAAGGAGAAACCACATGGTCAAAGTTTTGAATCCGTTAATGTGGCGAAGGCTACCGATGTTGATGTCACCGAAAGTGTTCTTCCTATATGTCCTTTAGATGGTCGTTCGATCAAGAATGGATCTTGGATACATGTGCTTTTTATCATATGTATCTAGATAAAGAATGGTTCACTATTTATGAACCTATAAATGGTGGTTCCGTTCGATGAACAATAATTCAGCTTATGAGATGACTCGGTATTAGTATAATTTGTATCGGATGTCATGATTTGATTGTGAGGACTTTAACGAAGTGAGACATATATTAGATTTTGACTTTTTAATTTTGGAGTAAAATTTTTTTCTAGTATTATTTTGTCCACTAGTACTTTTTGAATATAAAGACAGTTTAAGTATTTTTTGTACAAAACATAGAAAATGATAAAATAATTTAGGAGATTTTTTTTTTAAAAAAAATGAAAGAGTAAAATCATAATTTAATAGTATAGGCAGATGACACATCATCAAATAAAGGAGTAATTGACATAAATTAGACGAAAAATACTTAAATTTGTAGTTTTTTTTAAAAATAATATACTTAAAAATAATAAAGACATTTTAAGTATTTATTGTACAAAAATAGAAAATGACAAAATAATTTAGGAGATTTTTTTAAAAAACAAACGAAAGCGTAAAATCATAATTTAATAGTATAAGCAGATGACACATCATCAAATAAAGGAGTAATTGACATAAATTAGACAAAAAATACTTAAATTTGTAGTTTTTTTTAAAACATAATATACTTAAAAATAATAATCTGGAGTTCATATACTTGATTTAAAAACAGTAAAATTTGATATACTTATGATACAATTATCCTCATTGTTTTTAATTTTGAAGACTTGAGAAGAGAAAGAAAAAATAGGTGGAATGAGAGACGCTGATTAGGGGAAAAAAGTATTTTTAAAAACTATTAAATTGAAGATGATCGTCTAATTGGAAGTATCGTTCCAAAAAAAAAAAAAAAATCCAAAATTGGTATGATCATACGGAATTAAGCAAAAGGGTATAGCAAATCCCAACTAGTTTAAGATTAAGGTTTCGTTGTTGCTATTGATGTCATGTGATTACGTTTGGCTGATTGGTCATCAAGTTCGTCATGCCAACATATTTATAATGCGAGTATGATAATCTGGTGGCCAGGTAGTCTTCCATTTTGGCTATTAGAAGAGGCTGGCGTTGGATTCGATTCTTTAAACGACAGAACCTGTGAATTAAATACCATGTCAAAGGTGAGACTAGATGCTTGGTTTTGAATTATGTCATGATGAGATCATATTGCTTACGATTACATGTTGTCATCATAATCACAATATCTAATGTTTATGTAACTTTTTTTTTAATTATTTTCTTTTGGCAAGGTAACTCTTATGATCTTGACCTGCTAGTGCTTATCTAACTTAGAGTAGTAACAAATGCTTAATTAGGTTTTTGTTTTGTGGCATCTCAAGCTTCGAAGAAGAAGAAGCAGTTGTGAGTTTTGGTGTACCTTTGGTGTTGGTTGTCGTGTTCCAATACGTAATTTGCTTTAGGCTACATGGATATATAAGGGATTTGCAGATCCATTTTCATTCATTTGGCAATCCATGTAAAATTACTTCTTTGAAGATGAAATTTTATTTTTAAGGTTAAGTATACTTAGGTTCTTGCAATAAGAAATTAAACATTGGTTAATCACTCCAGTGCCAAGTGACAACTGACAAGCAAATTAACATAACTCCCGGAAGTTGCCTTAAAAGCATCCTGAAATATATTTGGTTAATGCCGCGACAAGCGGGTAAAAATTTGGCTTTAATGCAAGGCATTTATTTATGCAATGGTAGTCCCCTGGTAGCCAGTGACAATAGAGTATGGTAATCATGATGACGAGGGCGATGCCTATGACGATGACGGTGGTGGCATATCCAACGGAATTGGGGAAAGAAATTTCAGGATTATTTTATTTAGCTTTAAATTTTCTTGGACTTCAATAGTTCATAACGTTAAGGTAGCTAGCCCTCCATCTTATTGGTCCCAAAAGATTTGCCAATTTTATTTCCTCTGGTTGGGTGGGTCCGTTGAGAGGAGAACTTGGAGAGGTTTTATATATATATATATATATATATATATATATATATATATATGTGAAGAGCTACTGGCAGACCCGTTGCGTCTAATGACACAGCTTCTTCTATTTGTTGCAGACGAAAAACCCAAATTGTCGTTACAATTGCTTACTTAAGACCTCATTTTTTGTTTTTTGAACTCTCTTTCCTCTCCAGTTCATCTCCTCTCCGGTCACCGCACATGGCGGCTTAGGCAATGGTCATCTTGACCATTCCTTTTCCTTGTCCTTTGTCACGGCAGTTATTGGGCGGTAGGAAAAATGTTAATTGCTGAGAGTGATGAATTATTTTTCATGATCTGTACTTTACGACCAAATTCATATTATAGGTTTTACAATCCATAATGGGCCCACAAAATAATATTAATAATATTTACGTACCAAAATTACAGAAGAAGCACTAATTTTGGTTTCATTAAAGGCCATACGGGCCCACAAAATTAAAACTCATAACTTCTTTAGGCGGGAAAAATAGCTCTTTCCCTTCATACGAATATTAATTTGGGATTTGAAAGCAAGATTCACTCTGATTTCTTGGTATTTGCTTTCTCAAAATCAAGAAGATCCTCAAGTAACTTGTCATCCAAGTACTCAATCTCAAAGACTTCTTTGCTTCGTTCAGTCCCACTTCTTTCGGCATTCTGTGACATTGAAGAAGAGGAAGAAGATGATGATGAGAAAGTGATATCAGAATCAACCTTAGTTTCAGGATATTCACCGGGGAAGTTGAGGATTGCTAAGGGACCCCTCATTGAATATGCCGCTCTATCATAAGCCCTTGCAGCCTCTTCTGCTGTGTTAAAAGTCCCGAGCCATAACCTTGCTCCATGCCTTGTCGAGTCACGTATCTCCGCTGCAAACTTTCCCCACGGCCTCCTCCTAACGCCTCTGTATCTGATTTCTTCTCCTTGCTGTTTGACCTTTCCTCTATTAGGATCATCCATTGTTGTCTAGATGGTTGAATGAAGATGCCAGTGCTAGTTTCAACTGTTGGCATTTATATTGAGCGGTAAATGCACTTCACCAATTCTGATAGAACAAATTAATTATAGGATTTTTAATAATAATCCATTGATGTGAACTTATTCAACTGCTAAAGATGCCTATGATGGAGATAGATTTTGTAAGTGCAACGTAGATGGGTGACAAAGTTGATGATGGCTTGAGCGGAGGATAGGACCACTCCTCTTTCCTTTCACTTTTGGCATATATATATTTGTCTAGATCTCCTAGTAACTAATGAGGTTGATGGGTTGGCAAGTCATGTAGATTTTGTTCAACTCATTGGTTTCTCAGCTTATTCAGGTTTTTTACCCTTTTCTGAGAGCTAATTTATTAGTGTTTCGTAATCAATTGCTTCTAATTAACGAGAAAGGAATATGATAACATAAAACAGATTCTCCTCTCTGAGTATTTCAAGGTACAAACAAAATTATTATTTCTAGAAAAAAGGGATTAAATTTGACTTATTTGTCTTCGGATACAATCTAAATTCCGGGAAAAATAATTGCAGTGAGGTCATATGTGATTATGTTTGCAGGATTCGTCATCATGCTGATGTTGTTAATAAGTTACTTTTTGTGCTTAAATTTTGATACACATCACTTCATGGGGCTGGAATTGCATAAAATAAGATTCCCATTTCAAGGACTAGATTCGGAGTTTAAAAGAGAAGGATTTCTTATTAGACATGTGAGAGTGCTATTTCAAAGGTGAGGTAAGATTGCTGAGCTTTACACTGTTATGTCATGTTTATGAGTTGATGGTGAGATCATATGGCCTACGATTGCACATTGATTTGGGACTTGGTCATCATAATGGTGCATTCGATCAATTGCTTTTGGCACCAGATACTAATTGACCATTGATCCATGAAATCAACCAGAAATAGTTCTTTGCTTTAGTATAATTTTTAAGGAAAGAGCTAGCATGGTGTTGCTGTCTAGATGCATGTTCCGATCGAAGCCATCATTTAGTTCCAATAGTGCAAACATGAGGATTTAGCACTTGTTATGGATAATCACCACTTAATTTGCTTGCCTACATGGATAAGTACTGATGAGTTATTGGATTTAATTTGAATTTGCCTCATGGATCGACGCCTGAAGCTGTCGGTTCAATCAATTGAAAGGAATTTTTCTAGAAATCTAGAGATGGGATATTATTTGAATATATAAAATTAAGAAGAACTTAAACATTTGATCGAACCACTTGGCCAACCGAGGGTGAATTGAGCTTTAAGATCATTAATAATTCTTGCATCAAAATCTGTCCGCAATCCTACGCACGAGCACTCAACCTTCTTTGTTACCTTGACGCTAGAGGTTTAATGTTGACTTTAACGCAAAAGAAAAACATATGTGAAATGTCTGTTGCTAGCTAGTGATGATAGCAATAACTAATAATAATAATAATAATATATTGTAATGACAATAATAATAATTATTATAACACCTCAGTATTTTGTAATCATAGTGGCGATGGTAGTCTATCTAGGCTGACAATCTGAAAACGGTTTAGGACTTCGAGAAAAAGAATTTCAGGATTTTATATTTTATTTACCTATGCAAATTTGTTTAACTTGCTATCAATTTTTTTTAATAGGAAATCTTCAATATAGTTTCGGATGTTTTAAAAATAAAATTTTAAAAATATTGATTATGAAAATCGAATTTTAGACTTAATTTATAAATTGATATTTATTTATTAACGATCTATTAACTTATGGTTCCTCTCAATTTTTTTTATGAGACAGATGAATGAATACCATTAAAGACAAGGAAGAATCTGGCAAAGAAAACAACTAAGTTCTAGAACAGGGAAAGTTTATTCATCTCAAATTTATTGATGCAAAATCACTGGTAACAATTATTGCAGCTTGCAAGTTATGGTTACTCCTATCCTACAAGTTCGATCGGCAAGAGTAGATGAATATATTAGGTGGGACGGCGATTTTAGGTTTAATTAATTAAGGTTTAAATCTAGGTTAATGATCAAGTTGTAGCCATTTCAGTATTTTGATAATTTTTTAGTTGAATATATTAATGGCGTGGATTGGTGGTCCGGCCAAGATGTCATTGGTATTTCTTTTAATAAAACGCCCATCAAAGCTCTTTTGTTTTGCATATAGCTGGTGATGGCGATAGGCTAAGGCCTTAAGGGTAATACCGAATAGCTCCAGCACTCTAATCTTTTAATCTCTCGTCTCGTACGGGGTCACCCAAAAAGCACCGAAGAAATTAATCACCAAACCGGCCCTTATAACCCACCCTAAATTTATATTAATGGGTTGCATTGATTCTGTAGAACCCACACCTTATCTGACCAAAGATAAGCCCATGATAGATAGGACCCTAATGCTCGAGTTCATGGTTAAACAATCAGAAAATTGGTGTGCATAGTTAGTAGTTAGATGAGCAAAGAGAGAGAGTCATGTTGATGTTATAGTCATGTTATTAGGACAAACTGAATTGTTCACTAATGACAAATGAGAGACTATTTTGGCAATTTTTTATAATGATTTTTTTTAAAAAAAAAAAAAAACTCAAATACTCCAAAATAAAGATTTGAAACCATAAACTCACTAGGCTAGAAACTTACTCGTAATTAAAAAGAAGTTCATGTTACCCATAAACTACATTTTCATTTCTGATCATGAAATTATTCTTCTGATATTATCAAAGTAGTGCACTATTATAAGAAATAAAGTCTCTGTTTTGGAACTTGTAACTTACTGGAGTAATTATAAAGGATCCTCCAACATGATTTATAAATTACATTTGTTTCTTTATCTTGGTCAAATATTGATGGTGCCTTTGAAAGTTGAGGATTGCCCAAAGAAGATGTCGGAAACCCATCTCAGGCCACAGTACAAGTAAGTGTATGTAGTCTGCCACAGAAGAAAATTGCTCAATCGGGTCTCACCAGAGGTATGGATTAGGATATCAGGATCAGGTGCAATTGCAGTATACATATTCTTGTCAATATCAGTAATTTTTACGAAGCTCTCTCCTCCATTAATCTCATTTTCCACAGGGTTAGTTGAATAAAAGTTGGCTCCATTTTCATTCAGTAAACTGATTTCACCCCATTTTTCTTCGCAAGATTCTTGAACAGCATGCACAATCTCATTGGTGGAAGAGTAGGCAACACAGATGGTTAAGAATATCTTGGAGTTTTGAGCAGTGGCCAGCATGGCTTTTTTCGCTGCCAACCTAACAGGCTCGCTACAGAGTTTTAGGTCCCCTTTGAAGAAAACCCTCATTCCATAGCGATTGACAAAGGTCTCTTCCTTCATAAAGCCTTGAACGTATTCTAGAAATAAATCCATCAAAGGCTCAACTTCATCTGGATTCTGTTTGAAACTATCAATGCTGAAGGCGTAAAACGTTAAATATCTTACACCTAACTCGTAGCCATACTTGACGCAGGAAAACAGAGCCAATAAACCAAACTTGTGGCCAGTCAGTTTTCCCATATTGTGTTTCCTGGCATAACTCCTGTTCCCATCCATGATGAAAGCAATGTGATTTGGCATAGGGCCAACAGAAATGATATTAATCATACATTTCCTCAGGAAACTAACCAACTTGCCCAAGATTTCAATTGCTTTATCTTTACTAGCGTTCCTCATCCCAAAATCTCTAGAATTCTTACTGGCCTGCCGATATAGTCATTGTCAGACCTACATGCATCCAAATAGTCGAAATAACAGGATTGCAAAAACAAGTGCAACAAATTCACAAACCATTTTAATACGTTAGTTTTAATTTTTCCTGTATATAGTTTCATTTGTTTTAAGTAATTAAAGCAGAAAAAATATAAGTCCCAAAACATTTTAGTCCGTTTGTGTTAATTTATAATTAAATTATTTATCTTAAAATAACTGGATTGATTGATATAAAAGACATTATGGTTTCATCTTTTATGAATTTATATGTACGCTTTTGCAGAGAAGTACGTTTTGGACCAATAAAATTTAACCATATATATGAACAGTTCAATGAAATTGAATGCTTAAAGAGCCAAAACGAAAAAATGAAGGCTAAAATAATAGAATTGGAATCCGTAGAGGTTTCTTCGATATTTTGGGTTTGAAATGTTTTCTTCTGCCTTGGCCAGTGTATGCTGCTACTATTTAGAGAGAGAATTACAGGGGTGGAACTGAAACGGATGTAAATAGTAATATACAGGAAGCAGAGGATCTGTTTTTGACGAAATCCAAGATGCATGTGTTATATGGCACCATTAGCATGCTTGCCTGCTGTTTTGATCTGTCTTGGTCATCTTACTTTCAAAAACACTGGTGCAAATAGCATTTGGATTTTTTTTATTGAAGCAATCAAAATAGAAAGGGGTTATAAGTAGGAAACTAAGCAGGGTCAATACTTGTTTGGATGCCTCCTGGGATTTGAAGCAATGTTTCATCCTATGCTCTGTGAAAGCAAAATCTATTGACCGAAACAATTCATATGTCATTGGAAAATTCTGTTTCGAGGGGAAAATAAATTATTCTGGATGAATGATTATCAAATATGTAAATTATGATATGATATCAAAATAAAAATCAAATCAAATCAAATAGGACTACGTCCAAATCCAAAGATATCAGACATTTACTTCAGTTTATTTATGATGTTGAATCACAGTTCAACCCAATAACTTACAGGAAATCACCGCATGCTGTCATCTGACAACTTTTAGGCACAAACCAACTTCATATACTACAAGCCATTTGACATGATACAAGCGTGAGATTGATTTAATAAGGTTCACAATATTTGACATATCAATCTGTGCGATTCCCTTGTTGGGTCATCGCAGGTTATGCTTGCAACTTAAAAGGCGCCAATGCAACTTCAGAGTTGCCTTTCGTACTCATGTAGTTGGAGATAAACTCTGTCAACTCAAAGGCTCTATAGACTGGATGATTGTCCGCATTAATAAGAGCTTTGGCAGGTTCAATAATGCTGTCAGGACGAGGACTGACAAAGAAGGCAGCACTTGTCCTAGCATCCCTTGAATTTGTCACAGCTCGATGTTCGGCACCTTTTAGCTTGTTGTTACTGATAATCTTTGACCGGAATCAACTAACATTTGTCAGCTTAACTACATCTCAAGAACTTTACAGAAATGATGACAAAGATATAAGAAGCATACCTGTAACTGGTAACCTATGTTTATCACAAATGCCTGAGGAACAGGCCCAACACCAATCCATTCACCATCCTTGAAGACTTGAAGCCCACGCACTTCACCTTGGAGTAAAATTGTTATGAGATTGGGATCACAATGTTTGGGTAATCCGAGGGTTAAACTTGGATCTGGGCATGGCGGGTACCGATTAACTGCCAACAATGAACTTTCACTTAGTTTACCCTCAAAATACCCAGATTCTAATCCTAAACCTTCACAGATCAGCTCTAGTATCTTCGAAGCTAATTTCATTACTTCAGTCGAATAAGTCCTCACAACCTGTCTGTGAAGTCATGGATCGAGATTGATCATTAAGAAACGTTACAATTATGTTCCTTCAGTAATTGTTAATGGAAGATCGAAATTTAATAGGTGATAGAATACAGCAGGCATAATGTTTTACCGATATCCGGTTGGCTTCTCGGGCCATTGTTGAATGTTTTGATCCAGATCAGGATGGCAAGGATGTTTCAAATAGTCACGCCAGTAGTGAACATCTTCCTGACAATATTGGAAACTACTTGTGAAAAGCCTGCAGCTTCTATTTGGGTCTTCAGAGTAGATGCTCGCCTGGTCCTCTGCAGGCATCTCAAAGACTTCCTTGAAGACACTCATTGCATTATTCATCAAATCTTCAGGAACTCCATGGTTAATCACCTGTTAGACAGTGCGAATGTAATATTCATTATTCACTGGTTTGATTAACATCTTGAAGCATTTTTATGATCTTTTATATAAAATTACAATGATCGTCAATTAATTGAGGGCGAACCTGGAAAAATCCGAACTCCTGGCTTGCCTTTAAAATTTCCTGAGCAATAATGGCTCGGTTTTGACCTGCTCTATCATCAAGATCTATGACTGGGATGGACTCACATAAAGCAACATCTATCTTCCCTGGTCGCATTTCTGCTGGGAAAACGTACTTCTCAGACAAGGATTGAACTTTACAGCGGCTTGAGACGAGATTCTCCATTACTTGGAATGTATATTTTTTGTGCTATGATAATAATTATATGCTATAGGTGATTTACAGAAAATTGGTGTTGAATTCAATCCCACAAAGCAAAATGTTACTTATATCAATAGCTAGGTGAATAAAGCTTCGATGTTGTTTAGGAAAATGGACTTTTGTTGTTGGAAACTTGTAAAGAAAATCATATTAATTAAGGATTCTGTAACAGCTCAAGAACCGGCAAATCATGACAGGATAAACATAACTTCAAAAATAAATTATATTTATATAGATTCCTTTTCAAAGCTATATATATATATATATATATGCAATTTTCGTCATTGCAATAATTGATTACAAAATTGGCTTGTAGAATAAGGAAAGAGCTACCAGTTAACTCTGCACAGCCGTTTTAGCTAATTGTTGTTTCTTTTTATTTATGTGACGTTAAGTCATGTCTAAGAAATTATGTTTCACATATAGCAACCCGTATGACGAATCAAGTGTTACATCTATAGCACTCTCAAGAATAAGCTAGAGCAGGTCCAACGAAAATCATGTGCAAAGAAGAAGAGCATATTTATCCCTCAATTGACCCAACTCCTTCACCCTTTTCTTAAAATCTTAATTGGCAACTTGTTAGACAAACTTTTAACAGACAGATATTGGTTTAATAGCAATATCTGTTCCTCCGGCTTTGATTCTAACCAATTTATTACCTGACAGCTTGCTAAATAATGAAATAGTTGGTAAGAACAAATGACTTGCTTCAGAAGTACTTGTCAACCTTTTTTAAATAATAATAATAAAAAAAGTTATTATTTGGGAAGACTTGACAGATATTCGTTTCCAATAGTATGTGTGGAAATTTACAAGCCTTACCAACATTAATATGAGTATAATTAATTTTGTAAACTATTAGGTAAGGTTCCAAGATATGATTTTTATTATTCTCTAACACACTTCTTTTAAGTAAAAATCCTTTTGTCATCAAGGCTATTTGGTCTTGAAGCTTGTTCATACTACCTTATGCTTCATTAATTAGAAGAGAAATAGGGGTGGTTAGAAGAGAAATGAGAGTAGTGAAATTCGAACTCGTGATCTGTTTAGTTATCAAGGTCTTGATATTAAGTGAAAGAATCATCTCAACTCAAAAAATTAATCTATTAGGTAAGACTTCAAGATATGATTTATATTATTCTTTAACAAACCGTTACTATCCATGAAATATATTATTTAACTTATTTGCTAACCTCTCTTTGTTATTTAATCTCTTTTTTAAAAAAAAAACCCTCTTGCTAATGTAGTATATAAAAAAGGAATATTTTTTCTTTTTTTCAAAAGGAATACTTAAAAGTGAGGATTTGAACTCACTTTACCAGAAGCTTATTGATAATTAAAAGGAAGCTAATGTTACCCATAAACTACATTTTCGTTTCTGATCATGAAATTATTCTTATGATATTATCAAAGTGGTGCACTACTATAAGAAATCAACATTTAGAGGTTTCTTTGATATATATATTTTTTAATCTCAATAAAAATAGAAAAGAAAAGAAACCTCTTGTTAATGTAGTATATCATCAGCTTTGAGTTATATTTTAATTTGTTCACCTAGAAGTTTGAAGCTTGAAATTGTAGATATTAAATTCTTAGCTTAGAATTCGTAAAACTGTAATCAACAAGTTACATATGAAACGATAACTTTATAAGCTGAAAATGCAAAAAAAAAAAAAAAAAGCAGAAATTCTTTTGAAACACTTGAATGACCACATTATTGTATGGTAATGGTAAATTGAATTTATTGATATACTAGATCAACCGCAGAAAATTAATGTCAAAATGGAGGGAGAAGACAAAACTCTTTTGCTTCTTACCTATTTTCTCGATTCGTTTGAAAATTTGATGACCACATCATTATATGATAATGGTAAATTGAATTTATACCAAATGACGCATGTCGGGTTTAAGGTCAGCAAAGGATGAGAAAATAAAGGAGAAAAAAGGATTAGGATGTAAGAAAGGTGGTACTGGGATGCCACTCAATCTGGGGTAGCGAATGCTACTCAACAGTACTAATCGCTGAAGCCACTTGATGTAACTAAGCCACTCACTTGATTGGTTTAGGGAGAATCAATCAACTCCAAGCACGGATTCTTGCTCGATAAAAGTTTTATGTTGAAATGGAAGTCTGATTCTTTCATTTTGATTTCAAGTATAAATAGTACAAAAAATGGCCATTGCACTTCTTAACAATTAATTAAGCAATGGCATGCTTCCAATATGAGAATTTAAAAGATAATACAACTTCCTATGATGCTTACTAGTTTCTAGCAAAATTTTATTGAAAACACATCAAATAAGACTCTTAGGATAAAAAGAATGATATAAATTGAGGCTGCATTTATACTCCTACATCACCAAATACAAGTTGTACTTTTATTTCTTAAGACATAGAAAATCAAATCGAGAAAATGAATATAACTTTATACTAGTAATTGGGGGAGGGGGATCAAAAAAGAATATCAATTCAACGAGAACTTTCGATTGGCATGTTTAAGTCTAGATCTAACAAGAAGAACATTCAATGTCACCTATGTAAAGAATTTGGTCACATGAAGCGAGATTTTCACCTATGAAGTATGGGATTCAATCCATTCCAAGTGGTGTATTCTGTTCGTTTCGCATGGGCCTTTGGATCGATCGATCGAACAAGATCAAGATTCATGGCAAGATAGCTGATTTTGTGATGAAATTATAAGAAATTCACAGGATTATACATGATAACTTAACTTGGTCTTATTTGAAGTATAAGGTTGTTGTTGACAAGAAACGTCGCCATGTCAAGTTCGAAGAAGGTGACTTCATGTGGGCTATCCTCACCAAGGATTGTTTTCCTATAGGAGAGTACAACTAATTGGTAGCGAAGAAGATTGACCCTATGAGAGATGGTTGAGAAGATTAACTCTAATGCTTATCACCTCAAGTTGCCTAATCATATTTGCATTGTTGATGTGTTCAAGTGTCAAACGTTTGATTCCCTTTCATGGTGAATCTTTTAATGATGATGATACAAACAATTCAAGGCCAAATTTTCTCCCGAGGGAATGATGTGAACCAACGAGGCTTTGAAATTCATGAAACGATATGAGCACGATAGAACCGAATAAAAATTGTCGACCTAATTTTGAGGTTTTTTGGATCAAGTTTGATACCAAACGAGCTAATGGGCAAAACTCATTAGCTTTGCCTATGATGTATGAGATGATTTTGGCAACAAAAAAAAAAAAATTATTTAGGCCCTTAAAATCCACTTTTATTGTTTTTCGAGAATTTTCTTAATTTTTTGAACTTTAAAATTTGTTTTCCTTTTGCATTGTTTTAGGGTTTTAGCTGAAATTTACTATTTATGTATGATTTTGAGACGAAAAAATGACACTTTTTCATGGCTAATAAAATTTTATGAGAGAGCATCTCAATTTTATTTTAATTTTCGGTATTCTTTGAATTAATGAGATTGAAACTTATTTCTTGGTATTTGTGCATAATTCAATAAGTTATAATAGATCGATATCTAGATTTCGGATCAACGATATTTATTGTCTTCCTTGAAAGCTTCCGCTACGTTAGAGAGAGACAAGTAAAAGAGGAGAGAGAGAAACATAGATGAAAAAAGGAAGATGTGAAGTAGAGATAGAGACAACTGAGAGATTTTGTCCCCTATATGGAAATAGACCACGTGATATTCACAATATGCTATGCTAGAGAAGTGCGAGTTTCAAGCTTCAATTGAATAAATTATAAATTTAGTTAGTCCTTCTTGTATCATATAAAAAAATTATTTAGTTCATTTTATGTTATTTTCTATTTTTTTCTTTTATTTTAAAAAATAGAAAAATAAATAAATAAAGTTATATCATGAAAAGATTGATAAAAAATTTATGAAAGAAAATAATATTACATCAAACATGGTCAATATTCATCAAAAGATTAAATTATTTAGTTTTTCAAACAAAAAAACTAATTAATTCATTTATCAAAACTAAAAGAATTAATGTGTAATTTTCTCCTTATTATTCAACCAAATTTCAAGTTGCTTGCAGAAATCAAAGACATGTAGGAATGCAAGCTTTAATTGAGTGATTTCTAAATTAGTCTCATTAGTTTGGAAAATAAATTAGTTGGTCCATCTTGTTTCAAAAATAATTATTTAGTTTTCTTTTCATTTTATGTTATTTTAATTTTTTTCCTTTTTGTTTTAAAAATAAAAAAAGAAGAAAATAAATTTATATCATGAAAAAATTGATGGAAAAAAAAGCATTTTGTGAAATAAAATAATATTACATTAAACATGGTCACCACTAATAAAAATATTAAATTATTAATTATTAGTTTTTGTGTGATATTAATATATTAGAAGTGTTATTAACATCCTTTTTATATAATAAATTCAACTATTGTTGTATAATATTAAACTATTAGAAATATTATTAATTACTTATTAGTATGGTTAATTAGTAAAACCGTTAATATATATATATATATATTAGAATAAATTTATTACTAATTAATAATATATTCACGACATTGATTACAACGACCGTTATTTTACTATCATGATAAATCATAATTCGCGATCATGATCGTAATCGTTTTTTTAACCGTGATAACTATTTAAAATTATGAATACATGTGTATTCTAAGAAGAAATATTTTGATGATCAATCTTAAGTACGAATGATTGGCGCCATGTCTTTAGACGCTGTGTTGTCTTGTGATGTTATGCATGGGTATTGAAACAATGAAAATCAAAATATTTGATGAAATGGTTGGTACTTTGAATGTTTATCAAATATGTAAAATATCATATGATATCCAAATAAAAAATCAAATTAAATATATAGGACTAAATCCAAATCCAAAGATAGCAGAAAGTTGCTTTACTTTATATCAGATGTTGACTCACAGTTCAACCCAATAACATACAGGAAATCACCGGCATCCTGCTCTCTGACAACTTTTAAGGCACAAACCAACTTCGTAAACTCCAAGCCATTTGACATAATACAAGCATGAGATTGATTTATTAAGGTTCACAATATTGACATATCAATCTGTACGATTGCGATGTTGGGTCATAACCTGTTATCCTTGCAACTTAAAAGGCTCCAATGCAACTTCAGAGTTGCCTTTTTTACTCAGGTAGTTAGTGAAAAACTCTTTGAACTCGAAGGTTCTATAGACTGGATGATTGTCTGCATTAATAAGAGCTTTGGCAGGTTCAATGATGCTGTCAGGACGAGGACTGACAAAGAAGGCAGCACTTGTCCTAGCATAACTTGAATTTGTGACAGCTCGATGTTCGGCACTTTTTAGAATGTTGTTACTGATAATCTTAGACCGGAATCAACTAAAATTTGTCAGCATAATTACATCCCAAGAAATTTACAGAAATGATGACAAGCATATAAGAAGCATACCTGTAACTGGTAACATATGTTAATCACAAATGCATGAGGAACAGGCCCAACACCAATCCATTCACCGTCCTTGAAGACTTGAAGACCACACACATCATCTTGGAGTAAAATTGTTATGAGATTAGGATCACAATGTTTGGGTAATCCCAGGGTTAAACTTGGAACTGGGCATGGCGGGTACCGATTAACTGCCAACAATGAACTTTCACTTAGTTTACCCTCAAAATACCCAGACTCTAATCCTAAACCTTCACAGATCAGCTCCAGTATATCTGAGGCTAATTTCATTACTTCAGTCGAATAAGTCCCCACAACCTGTCTGCATGTGAAGTCATGGATTGAGATTGATCATTAAGAAATGTTAGAATTACGTTCCTTCAGTAATTGTTACTGGAAGATCAAATTTGATAGGTGACAGAACACAGTAGGCATGATGTTTTACCGATATCCGGTTGGCTTCTCGGGCCATTGCTGAATGTTTTGATCTAGATCAGGATGGCAACGGTGTCTCAAACAGTCACGCCAGTAGTGAGGGTCTTCCTTTGAATGATTTGAACTACTTGTGAAAAGCCTGCAGCTTCTATTTGGGTCTTCAGAGTATATGCTTGCTTGGTCCTCTGCAGGCATCTCAAAGACTTCCTTGAAGACACCCATTGCATTATTCATCAAATCTTCAGGAACTCCATGGTTAACCACCTGTTAGACAGTGCCAATGTAAAATTCATTATTCACCTGGTTTGATTAACATCTTGAAGCGTTTAAATGATCTTTTATATAAAATTATAATGATCGTTAATTGATTGAGTTTGAACCTGGAAAAATCCAAACTCCTGGCTTGCCTTCAAAATTTCCTGAGCAATGATGGCTCGGTTGTGACCTGCTCTTTCTTCAAGATCTATTACTGGGATGGACTCACACAAAGCAACATCTGCCTTCCCTGGTCGCATTTCTGGTGGGAAAATATACTTCTCGGACAAGGATTGAACTTTACAGCGGTTTGAGACGAGATTCTCCATTACTTGGAATGTAAATTTTTGTGCTATGATAATAATTATATGCCATTGGTGATTTGCACAAAATTGGTGTTGATTTCAATCCCACAACGCAAAAGTTACTTATATCACAAGGTAGATGAATAAAGCTTGGATGTTGACTAGGAAAATGGACTTTTGTGGTTGGAACTTCTAAACAAAACAGACATGATCGATCATACTAAGGATTCTGTCACAGCACAAGAACCGGCTAATCAATGATAGGATAAACATAACTTCCAAAATGTATTATATTTATATAGATTCCTTTTCAAGCCTGTATCTATCTACCTATATATATAATTGGAATTTTCGTCATTGCAACAATTGATGGCAAAAATGGCCTGTAGAAGAAGAAAGAGCTACCAGTTGATTCTGCACAACCGTTTTGGCTAATTGTTGTTTCTTTTTCAAGTTATTTCTTTTTATTTATTTGACGTTATAAATAGAGCATCTATTAGAAATTATACTTCACATTTAGGCAACGCATAAAAAATCAAGTGTTACATCTTAGCACTCTCAGGAACCAGAGCAATTATGGAATAAACTATATATGCAGTAATCAATAAGAAACCGGGAAAACGTGTACAATCGAGTTATACTTCATCATGTACTCTTTCACCGTGCTGCTGCATGTCTTTTTAACTTGAGGTTTTAATGATCAATCTATCTTGAGTTATTAAGGAAAAAAAAATTAGGGTTTTCAACTTTTCTTGTGTTTTTCTTTATTTTTTTTACAAACGAGAAGTTCGAACTCTTTTTTCTTTATCTTGAGTTATTAAGGGAAAAAAAACTTAGGGTTTTAATGATCAATCTATCTGAAGATAAAGCATGATTTGCACTTGTATGTTTGTCTGATCTTTTTTCTGGATGAAAAAATCAAAGAAATTATTTGCAGCATTGGCAAAATCTTGGGATCGGAGGGTATAATTGCACTTGCACCACAAGACTGAACTCTGTTTGTATTGTTAATTACTATTGTCAAGTATGCTTGTCTGTACGTAGCTAAAAATCCTAGGGAGGCTGTGAATAATTGAAAGAATAATGCTAAAGTTATGGCCCTACGGGGAATTTATCCCAAAGTCACTTCCAACCATTGGATTTTCGGGGATCCACTAGTTAAAAAATAATGAATGCAATTAAATAGATTATGTGTTAAAGTTGAATAATCAAAATTGATTAGAAAAATGAAATAAAAAAGTCTTGTTACTACAAAGTAATGCTAATCTTACCAAAAGTTTTCTATTTTCTTATTCCTTAGAAAATTTTCAATCATTTTATTTAGAAAAATTCACTAATGAGATTCCCTTTTCAAAGCATTATATTTTTCCATAAGTGAATATCAACATTATTTAAATTAGAGAAATTTTAAAATACTCAAATGAATAAATATTGTATACACACAATAGTTATTTCATGGACTCATATTTTTATGATATATATATATATATTCAAACCATTAAAAGTTATAGGAAGATTTTCACTTAAATTCAATTTTTTTATAAAAAAAATTTTCTCTCTCTCTCTCTCTCTTGTCTATCTATTTCTTATGAAGTTTAATTTACACTAGTTACTCCATGATTAATATAAAATTCCTCTAAGTACAATTAAATAGAGAATATGCTATTAAAGAGTTGTTGGCTTAGTAGTATGGAAATTTTTGTCAATATACAGAGTTTCAAATCCTAGATTTATGCTTTTTGAGAGGAGTTAAACTTTGTCGCTCAAAAAAAGATTTATTTTTCAAAGAGCATTTTGATCACTGTAAAAGTTTAATAGAAAATATGTAATAATTTGAACGTTTGTTTAGCTGAAAACTTGTTTCTATTAACAGAATCAAAATACATGGTATTTTTTGAAATAACAATCAACATTTAAGGTGTAAAGTGTAATTTATGAAAATATGTAGTGTAAAGCGTTTGTGTGTGTAAATTACAGGGTGCGTGAAGTAATTTATGTTTTGAAAAATTCTGTTTTTTGTAATGAAAAGAAAATTCTATTTTGAGAGGAAAATAAATTATTCTGGATGAATGTTTATCAAATATGTAAATTATGATATGATATTAAAATAAAAAATCAAATCAAATCAAATAGGACTAAATCCAAATCCAAAAAATATCTGACAGTTGTTTCACTTTATTTCATCAGATGTTGAATCACAGTCCAACCCAATAACACACAGGAAATCACCAAATGCTGCTATCTGACAAACTTTAGGCACAAACCAACAGCATATACTACAAGCCATTTGACATAATACAAACATGAGATTGATTTATTAAGGTTGACAATAGTTGGCATATGTTGGGTCATCACAGGTTATTCTTGCAACTTGAAAGCCTCCAACACAACTTCAGTGTCACCTGTATTACTCAGGTAGTTGGACAAAAACTCTGTAAACTCAAAAGCTCTATAGACTGGAGGATTTTCTGCATTAATAAGAGCTTTGGCAGGTTCAATAGCGCTGTCACGACGAGCACCGACAAAGAAGGCGGTACTTGTCCTAGCATCCCTTGAATTTGTCACAGCTCGATGTTCGGCACTTTTTAGCTTGTTGTTACTGATAATCTTTGACCGGAATCAACTAACATTTGTCAGCTTAATTACATCCCAAGAACTTTACAGCAATGATGACAAGGATATAAAAAGCATACCTGTAACTGGGAACCTATGTTAATCACAAATGCATGAGGAACAGGTCCAACACCAATCCATTCACCGTCCTTGAAGACTTGAAGCCCACACACATCACCTTGGAGTAAAATTGTTATGAGATTAGGATCGCAATGTTTGCGCACTCCCAGGGTTAAACTTGGATCTGGGCATGGAGGGTACTGATTTACTACCAACGCTGAAGTTTCACTTAGTTCACCCTCAAAATACCCAGATTCTAATCCTAAACCATCACAGATCAGCTCTAGTATCTTTGAAGCTAATTTCTTTACTTCAGTCGAATAAGTCCCCACAACCTGTCTGTGAAGTCATGGATCGAGATTCATCATTAAGACAGGTTAGAATTATGTTCCTTCAGTAATTGTTAATGAAAGATCAAAATTTGATAGGTGATAGAACCCAGCCCGCATAATGTTTTACCTGTATCTGGCTGGCTTCTCGGGCCATTGTTGAATGTTTTGATCTAGATCAGGATGACAAGGATGTTTCAAAAAGTCACGCCAGCAATGAACATCTTCCTTTGCATAATGAAAACTACCTGTGAAAAGCCTGCAGCTTCTATTTGGGTCTTCAGAGTAGATGCTTGCCTGGTCCTCTGCAGGCATCTGGAAGACTTCCTTGACGACACTCATTGCATTATTCATCAAATCTTTGGGAACTCCATGGTTAATCACCTGTTAGACAGTGCGAATGTAAAATTCATTATTCACCGGTTTGACTAACATTTTAATCATACAGATGACTTATATAAAATTTTAATGATTGTTAATTCATTGAGGGCGAAACTGGAAAAATCCGAACTCCTGGCTTGCCTTCAAAATTTCCTGAGCAATAGTGGCTCGGTCGTGACCTGCCTTTTCATCAAGATCTATTACTGGGATGGACTCACATAAAGCAACATCAACCTTCCCTGGTCGGATTTCTGGTGGGAAAATATACTTCTCGGACAAGGATTCAACTTTACAGCGGCTTGAGACGAGATTCTCCATTACTCGGAATGTAAATTTTTTGTGCTATGATAACAATTATATTTGCAGAAAATTGGTGTTGATTTCAACCCCACAAAGCAAAATGTTACTTATATCAATAGGTAGGTGAATAAAGCTTGGATGTTGTGTAGGAAAATGGACTTTTGTGGTTGGAGCTTGTAAAGAAAACAGACAAGATTGATCATACTAAGGATTCTGTGACAGCCCAAGAACCGGCTAATCATGATAGGATAAACAAGACTTCCAAAATGCATTATATTTATATAGATTCCTTTTCAAAGCTGTATGTATATAATTCCAATTTTCGTCTTTGCAATAATTGATGACAAAATTGGCTTGTACGTAGAAGAAGAAGGAGCTACCAGTTGATTCTGCACAGCCGTCTTGGCTAATTCTTTTTATTTATTTGACAGTTAGAGCATTTATAAGAAATTATACTCTCATATAGGCAATGCGTATGGCAAATCAAGTGACTCTTAGCAGTCTCAGTAAGAGCAATTATGGAATCAACTATAGAGTAATTAATAAGAAATAGGGACTAATTATTTTCTCAAATTGGATGTCTAAAACTAAGCAATAGGATCCTTAAACTATGAACTTGCATCAACTTAGAAATAAACATACAAACACCTTTCTCGAAGCTACGTGGGAGCCAAAACTTAAGCAACCTTCATGACTCAAACGAAAATCAAGTGCAATGTACATAAGCATATTTATCCCCAATAAACCCAACTCCTTTACCTTTCTCTAAAAATCTTAATTGGTAACTTGTTAGAAAAACTATTAACAGACATTGGTTTAATAGTCTTTTTGACTTGTAATGTTGAGCATAGATGTTTCTTTGGCTTCGATTCAAACCAATTTATTACTTGACAGCTAACTAAATAATGAAATAGTTGATAAGAACAAGTGAGTACTTGCTTCAGAAGTACTTGTCAAAATTAAAATAAATAAATAATCATAGTTATTATTTGGGAAAACATGACAGATATTCGTTTCAAAGAGTATGCATGGAATTAATTTAAAAGCCATCAAGTTTCTGACACCTATTTGATTCTTCTGCTATAGATTAACTTTCTTTCCAAAGCTGTACACCCTCTAGTATAATTGGACTTCCTTTCCAAAGCTGTACCAGAGCTGCTATCAATTATGGAATCAACTCATGGCCCCATGGGGAATTTATCTCAAAATCACTTCCAACCATTGGATTTTCGGGGATTCCCTCGTTTAAAAATAATGAATGCAATTAAGTAATGATAATCAAAATTTATTAGGAAAAAAGAAAATAAAGAAGTCTTGTTGCTATAAGAGTAATGGTAATCTTACCAAAGTTTTCTATCGTCCAGCATTTTAGAAAAATTTCGATTTTATTTCTATTTTATAAGTATTTGATTAAAATTAATGAAATAAGAATGAAAATAAAAAGTAAAAATAGAAAGAAAAATTAAATATAATTTCATTTCTATAAGTGTGGTAGAAATAAAAACAGGAAATGAGAATAAATTTTTTTTCGAAATAATGATATATTTTTATTTATTTATTCTATATCAATTATTTTTATCATCATCATCATAACTTATTGAATATCAATTATTTATCTCACCATCATTACTATCTCCATTACGTGATGATAAAAAAAATATATAAAAAAGCTATTATTATTATGCCATTTTTTTAATTATTATCATTATTTTAACTATATCACCACTATTCTCATTGCTGATGGTGAAAAAAAAAAAAAAACAATCGTGGAATGAACTATGAAGTCATTAATAAGAAATAGGGAAAACTACTAATTAGTTCCCCCCATTGGATGTCTAAAACCAAGCAATAAATTTGTATGGACTTAGAAAGGGAGGCATGCAGCTAAACTCCTGGCAATCCATAAAGATACAAAGACCCTTCTCGAAGCTACGTCGGAGCCAAAAGTTAAGGACCTATCAATCAAGTGCAACGTAGATGAGCATAGTTACCTTTCTCTAAAAATCTTAATTGGCAACTTGTTAGAAAAACTATCAACAGAAAGAGATTGGTTTAATAGTCTTTTTGACTTGGAATGTTGACAATGGCTGTTCCTTTGGCTTCGATTGTAACCATTTATTGCCTGACAACTAGCTAAATAATGAAATAGTTGAACGGAACAAGTGACCTGCTTCAGAAATACTAGTCAAAATTAAAATAATAATGGTAATAGTAAAATTTATTATTTGGAAAAACATGACAGATATTCGTTTCGAAGAGTACGAGTGGAATTAATTTGTTATCTTTAAAAAAAAAAAAAAAACCAGATTATTGACTTTCTTCACCTTTTTTGCTATATTTATGTTTTTGATTAATTTGTTTACATTTTACTACCTCAATTTTTGTCACTGCTTATTTTTGGAGATATGTACTGTCATTTATGACAATGCTTAATTCTTATTATAATTACCCGTTTTTTTTTCCACTGAGGATGTGCTCCCTCAATTAATAATATTTAGATCTTAATTTAAACTGCAAAAAAAAAAAAAAAAAGTCTTATAAATCTCATTATTATTATTTTATTAAGACATGAGAAAAATCTGCATTCAGAAAACTAGTCAAGAACAAAAGTATATGACCACCTAATCAGGGTACATTAATTTGTCTTTATTGCATCAATAATTGATCAAGCTTGAAGCTTAAATTGCTCCAATGCATTATCATTATTACCGTTCTTGGTCATGTAGCTGCGAAGAAATTCTTGGTACCGAAAGGCTCTAAAGACTGGAGGATTGCTAGCGTTGATAAGAGCTTTCGCAGGTTCTATCATGATGCCATCCCTAGGATTAAAAAAGAAGGCAGCACTTGTCCGAGTAGTTCTTGAATTTGTCACAGCTCGATGCTCAACACTTTTCAGCTTGTTGTTACTCAGAATCTGTAACACCACAAGCTCAAAATTTTCAGCTTAAAACCTAAATATAAACCAAAGAATTGATTAATTAACTTCGAATCACTCATAACTTCACTTTTTTTTTCTTTTACCTGCAACTGGTAGCCTATGTTAACCACAAATGCATTAGGAACAGGCTCAACACCAATCCATTCGTTATCCTTGAAGATTTGAAGCCCACAAATATCATCTTGGAGTAAAATGGTTATGAGATTAGGATCGCAATGTTTAGTTAATCCCAGGGCCAAACTTGGGTCTGGGCATGGTGGGTAATGATTAACTGACAGTGAAGTAACTTCACCTAGCTTATCCTCAAAATACCCAGATTCTAGTCCTAGTCCTACACAAATCAGCTCCAATATTCTTGGTACCAATTTTGTCACTTCAGTTGCATAACTCCCAACAACCTGTCTGTAAAACGAAGATAATAAATAAATATGGGGAATTAACATTTAATTAATATGTTTGGACTTAATTAACTTACCGGTATCTAGTTGGCTTTTCGGGCCAGTCTAGAATGCATTTCTCGAGAGGATGACAATTAAGTTTCAAATTGTCACGCCATAAGTGAACATCTTCAGTGGCATTAATTATGCTACTCGGGTACAGTTTACAGTTCTTGTTTGATCTTGAGTTCTCTACGTAGAAGATCGCTTTGTCCTCTGTAGGCAGCTCAAAGAATTCCTTAAAGATACGCATTGTGTCTTTCATCAAATCTTCAGGAACTCCATGATTGATCACCTGTAATTTTATATTTGTGAATTTATCATTCCATGTTTCCCGACGTAGCTAGATTAACATTTTGAAGCGTGATCAATAATTAAATCAACGATAAATTATTATTTGTACTAACCTGAAAAAATCCAAACTCTTGGCTTGCCTTCAAAATCTTCTGCGCAATAACAGCTCTATTTTCACCTGCTGTTTCATCAATATCTATTATCGGCACGAACTTGCATGCAGGAACAGGGAGCTTCCCCGGTCGTTTTTCCAGCGGAAAAATATACTTCTCCGGCAAGGACTGAACTTGATTGAAGTTTGAAATAAGCTTCTCCATAAGTACGATGTTAATATTTGTGTTCTAATATAACAACAATATGTTTGACGATTTGTGGAGAATTAATGTAGCGGTGCCTCTACCCCAAAGGATTGTGCAACTTATATAGGGCCTTTCAGCTGGTGATGGCTTCTATAGTAATTACGGAAAAGAAAAAACGACAGAGATATTCATCAGATTGGGTTAAATTATCATCCCTAATACTAGATGTGATTTCAAAATATAGAATCGCGTCATTAAACATCATTAGCGGTATGCATTATTTTATATATATATTAAGATCTCTTTTATGTTTAAAAATCATATACACAATGTTATGTGCTTATTATTTATTAAATTTATTTATATTATGTAATTCAAAAATAATACTTTAATTACCTAATTTATATCATATATTATCTGATAAAGAGATAGCACATGATAGTAAGAGACACTAACATACTAATTTTATATGTTTTTAATGATGATGATGATGATCATCATCATTATTACTATCATATTCATAATTATAAATAAAAATTTTAATTATAAAATAAAGTAATAAACTTAGATTGATTTTTTATAACATTTCCAATATAATATCGTAATTGATATAAATTAAAAAAATTAAAAACAAAATTACGTCATATACAAAGTAATATTTAGTTAAATAATAAAGATTGCATAATTAGATTTGTTTTATAGAGATCATAATATATATATAATTAAAAAATTGTTAAAGTCAATTGGGCCGGATATTGGTCTAGTGATGGAGCAGGTGAACGTTTCATTTGTTTTTACATTCTATTCAAGTAAAAATCGGATTGGATTTTTACCTAATCCTCCTTGACTTTCGTCAAATCGGGTGAAAACTCATTCCAATTGGAATGGATGATATTAGATACCCAATCGTCCTGTAAAATTGTCATCCCTACTTGATTTATGTTTCTTATTAAAGCCAAAATAAAGTGATTTATGTTGTTTGGCAAAGTCAAAAACATAATAAAAAGTGATTGAGCCATCATAATGGTATGTGATTAATTCAACCATTAATATCCCCTCACTCAAAATTCATTAAAACAAACATAATCAAATGCAATTCAAACAAACTGGGAATGATCTCCATATTCCAGCACTACTGCCACGCATGCGTTTTGTGCTGTGTAGCTACCATTCATGGTGGTTCTTAGACAAGGCTTCGAATGGCCCTAGAGCTACTGCTTTCATGTTTATTGCATCATGTACATACGTCTGAACCAATCACAAATTATTTATTAAATAAATTAAAGTATCTTATCTAAAAGCTTAAACTGATAAATAAGGTTCTATAATATAATTTGTAATAGTCTTTTGGTTTGAAACTTACACAAGTCCACATTATCTTGTGCTTAATACTTAAAAAATTGAGAATGGTAAAATTTGAACTCGGGACCTCTTGATCAATCAAGCTTTAATAACATATTAAAGAAATATCTCATCTAAAAAATTAAACTAATAGGTGAGATCTTAAAATATAATTTATAATAATATATAACAACGTATCTCATTTTCTTATAATTAGTTTGGAAGGAGTATTGATTTTGTTGTGCCTTTTCGACTTGTTCACTCTCCTTTTCCACTTGTTCATTTCAAGGTAGAAAGCGCAGATATAGATTTAGGTGTTGAATTAAGATAATCATGTCATTCCATTCAAGTTCACCAATAAAAAAATGTCAAGCACCATTAGCATTCATATTTTCCAGCCATCATGATTATACGATCACAACTCGAAATATCTACGGGCTCCATCATCATCGGTGCCGATCTAAAACCATCGTTGGACATGCTATAGCATCTACTTTGGAATTCATAGGTGAGGTTCTAGAATATAATTTGTAATAGTCTTTTGGGTTTTAAACTTACACGAGTCTACATTGTCTTGTGCTTAATACTTGAAAAATTGAGAATGGTAAAATTTGAACTCGGGACCTCTTAATCAATCAAGCTTCGATACCATATTAAAGAAATATCTCATCTAAAAAATTAAACTAATAGGTGAGGTCTTAAAATATAATTTAAAATAATATCTAACAATGTATCTCTTCTTCTTATAATTAGTTTGGAAGGAGTATTGATTTTGTTGTGCCTTTTCGACTGTTCACTCTCCTTGTCCACTTGTTCATTTCAAGGTAGAAAGCAACGAGATATAGATTTAGGTGTTGAATTAAGATAATCATGTCATTCCATTCAAGTTCACCAATAAAAAAATGTCAAGCACCATTAGCGTTCATATTTTCCAACCATCATGATGATACGATCACAACTCAAAAATATCTATGGGCTCCATCGTCATCGGTGCCGGTGTAAAACCACTTGTTGGACATGCTACAACATCTATTTTGGAATTCATAGGTGAGGTTCTAGAATATAATTTATAATAGTCTTTTGGGTTTGAAACTTACACGAGTCTACATTGTCTTGTGCTTAATACTTGAAAAATTGAAAATAGTAAAATTTGAACTCGGGACCTCTTGATCAATCAAGCTTCGATACCATATTAAATGAATATCTCATCTAAAAAATTAAACTAATAGATGAGGTCTTAAAATATAATTTATAATAATATTTAACAATGTATCTCTTTTTTTATAATTAGTTTGGAAGGAGTATTGATTTTGTTGTGCCTTTTCGACTGTTCACTCTCCTTGTTTACCGTTCATTTCAAGGTAGAAAGCAACGGATATAGATTTAGGTGTTGAATTAAGATAATCATGTCATTCCATTCAAGTTTACCAATAAAAAAATGTCAAGCACCATTAGCGTTCTTATTTTCCAGCCATCATGATGATATACGGGCTCCATCATCATCAGTGCCAGTGTAAAACCACTGTTGGACATGCTACAGCATCTGCTTTGGAATTCATGAAAAGAAGAGTAAAAATCAATGCTGCGAAAATAACAACGAATTGTTAATTGTATTCGGGAGGACAAACGGTCATGACATTCTACTTTTTCCTATCATAGTACGTTGACCTTAAGAATTCCTGCTCCTGACTGTCAAAATACATTGTTGTCAATTCAGAACTCAAGATAGTAGAAAAGTAAAACAGGTTGACTGTCTTGTCAGGACTATAACTCTCTACCCATGACCGATTTTCTTACCAATCTCGAGTTACTTTTCGGAGCCTTGGCAGTGAAAACTAGGTTTTTTTTAAACCGATATATGATTTTGTATTTTCACATTCAACTCAGTGATTATCATTTTAAGTACGAATTTTTTTCACATAAAATAAAACTGTTCTTATAATAAAAGTATAGTAATTGGTTCTTAGCTTGCTTCTAAGTAAACTATTGAGTTATGCATTAATTTTCATGTACGTACTTTTCAAATTTTTACTAAGAAAACTAAATGCAGGTTTTTACAAAGCCAACTCTAGATGGTCAGTAGCTAGACTTCCGATCAACATCATTCCAAAAGAAAAAATGCTAATACTAAGAAAAGTAGAAAAGTCTACTTAAAATTCCAAAACAACTGGTTGCTGTAGAACTGTCTCATTTGCAGAAAGCTGCTCTGCAGAGAATTTAGTTATTTCATAACGATTAATTCCACGTATACGCCAAATACGAATACGGAAATTGACTTTTTTATCATTGATAACGAACCCAGGCACAATTTGTGAATAAAGAAACGAAGCTTTGAACTGTTTACATGCCCCGTACGTTTCACATGCTGAGACTTTTCACTGATCAACCTACGGAGCTTAACTCATAATCTTCTGGTGCCCAATCCCATTTCTCAACTTCAAAATTAAATAGAAAAAAATTTGTTTTTTGTTTTTTTTTTTTTTGTGTTTAAATCTTAGTATCGAAGAAAATTTATTAAATTTTTTTAAAAAATAAAATTTATATGAAAATCGTACATTTAAGATCATTCACTAAAAAAAAATTAATCTAGATTATTTTTATAATTGAAAAAAAAAACCTTAATTTTATTGCATAGTACAAGTATATATATCTATTTGATCATTCATTTAGAGGTTCTTTGCATCTAGAAAAGTTTGAAGCCAAACGAACTGGATGCTGCTGGTCTACTAAGCTAGCTAATTAAATGATAAAATCACGTGGCTTTATTCCACTTCGAAAAGAATTCCACATAACAGAAAAAGGTGGCATAAGGTTGAATTTGTCGTTATGCAATCAACATGGATATAAAAATTAATTACTGGTAGAAAATGTGCGTGTAGAGGTATACAATTGTATTAGAAAAATTATTCCACGTAAAATAAATACAAAAAAAAATTTATAAAATATTAAAAATAGATAAGGCACTACAAAATTATTATTATTATTATTATTTTTGGCTAAAATTTAGTCTTCCAACTTTCAAAACCTAGATATCAGTCCTTATAAACAAGGTAGATGGAAGAAATATGAACTATTCATTTTATTTATTCGGGTAGAAATAGAAATATAAAACCTTGCCGAATATTTTCACGAAAGGGACTTAGCCGGAGCCCAGAGAAGTTAAACACGGACGGTGAAAATGAAAAGGAGAAAACATGGAGATGGGCTCGTCTTAGAAAGTTTGTTAGGCAGGGAACAAATGAAACTTGTGCTCGAACCTGGCAATACGAAGGCTTGCAAGTTGCAAGCCATGTTCAATCCTTTTCTTTCTTGTTTTTTTTTTTTTTTTTGTTAATCATTTTGGTTCTTTCTTTGTAAATTCTTTGAAAAAATCATTTTTCTATTTATTTCTGCATTATTAATTGATTGATTTTAATTTTAATTACATAAAAAAATTAAAACTTACGATTTGTAATCTTGATTTGCACAATTATACTTTCCCAACACAAATTAATATTTTTTATATTTTTTTCAAAGCTTTTGACCTACTCGATCGACTGCTTGCCTTGACGAGTAGGCATTGTTTCTATTCAGAGTGTGTATAACGTTATAAAATTTTAGCCAAATATTTAGAAAAAAATGACAACGTAAGAGTTGATATCTCAAAGCCAAGTCTACAAAACCACTTTTGTTCATAACTTTCTACTTTTTCTCATACGAAAAGTACTAATAATAATTCGATGAAAAAGGAAAACAATCGTTAACGGTATCTGAGAAGGTAGTGAGCAACAGCATTGTTTTTTTATTTTCTTTTTCTTTCTTTCCTTTTCCACAGAGCAGGAAATGTTCTATGAGGCATTTTCTACGTACGGAACTTGGCTATAAATATATGTTGATGACAATTAAGCACAGGCAAGAATTACAAACAAATTAAGATGTGCAGCCTTGACTAGTGTTTTTGTACTTCTCAATAATCTTTCCTCTTAGAGACGAAAGTTCAAACCACCCTATGGAGGCTAACATTAATTATATATCTCATAAAGGCAAATCTTTCTTCTTTATTTTCAAAGTTTCAACAATATTATATAACATAATTAATTGTCCAATATATATAATAATAGTTTGAGGTATATAAACTTATTGCATCTAGAATTTGAAGCCTGAGTGAATGTATCTATACGCTAATTTAATAATTAGTGGATAAAATTCCTTGGCATTTTTCTAGATGATTATAATTTTTCCTATTAAAAAAATAAAAGGGGTTGCTCCAAATTGAATTCCACTCGATGCAATGGACTAACATGGATTAAAAAAGTGAATAAAAATGGTTGAAAAGTAAAGTTGACATATAAAATACCGTACAACTTAAAATGCTTGATCAAATTCCACGATCTTCGAGAAATTAACAAAAATATTCATAATCTTATGGGATCAAATCATGTTTCCATTGCTTTTCAGCATCTACAATCCAAGGAATCGCATACAAATTTGAAAGGAGTGAATTATAACTCAGTCCCAATTTATCAAAATTATTTAATTAGTTCTTGTAGTATAAAAAATAATTAAATAATTCCTTGATTAATGTTGATCATTTTCAATTTACTAGTTTTTGTTCTAAAAATGAATATTTTTCCTAATCGAATATTTCCATCTCACTTACTTCTCCTTTATCCTTCTATTTTTCAAAGAATAAAATTAAGTAGAAAAATAATATGAAACGGATCGATAAGTTTTAAAACATAGAGATTAATTAAATATACAAGTTTTGAAACCATATGGATCTTTTGTTGAGGCGGAGTGGTGTATGACACAATAATAAGCCTGAAATGATACTGTTTAGCCCAATCCCACAAAGATAGACTGGGCCCTTAGAAAGAAGATGTAAAAATAGAAATGGGCCTGTTGCTTAAACTCTAGAAGGACCTTTCCTATGTTGGTCCCGGATGATAATGGGCTGGACATTCAGCCCACTCATTCAATCACTTATCTTTTAAAATATATATATATATATCCATTAAATTTTTTTTTTTAAACTCGTACGTGGCTTATATGCTCCCTAAAAATAATTTTTCAAATTATTTTATTTGTCTCTATATTTTATAAAAGTTATTTTGATCCTTAAAATTAATATTATTTACCATTTGGTTATTATTTATAAGTTTTTTTTTATTCTCAAAGTTTTCATAAAAAAACATTTTGGTTCTTACTTTATAAAGCTTTTATAATTAAATCCCTACATGTTAATTTTCTTTTCTTTTTTTCATCAAAAACATGTATATTAGTAGGATACAAAGTGGATCTTTGTATTTGAAATTCATATTAAAAAGAATGTACTTTTTTTCCTTGCCTGTCTCAATGCTTATTAAATATTTTTAATAGATATTTATTAGATCGAATATAACGGATACATGATTTATACTCGATTTATTATCATCTCTAATTTCTCTAATTGTGTCATTTTGCATAGTGTATTATAACATATGGTTTAAAAGTTTTGCAAGTAGGAGGAATTTATGTAAATAATGAATTAAACATTAAGGACGATTATGAACGAGTATTCGATCAATTAATTCAATTTTTTATCCTATTCATAAAAAAATATCTTATCTATTACTCATTAAAAAAATTACTATATAAATTTTTATTTAATTCATACTTGACCCACATTAGTTTATCATCCTATTCAATACCCATTTAATACTCGATAAAAATAATTTATCAAAATATTCATTTTAATCCCTATAATTTAAAAAAAAAGTCTTTTTGGTCTTTAAAATTTTAATTTTTTACATTTTGGTCATTTATTTATAAGTTTTTTTGGTCCTCGAAGTTTTTGAAAAAAATTGATTCTTAATTTTTAAAATTTATGGAATTAGATCCCTATATATTAATAAAAAATAAATTAATTAAAATGTATTAATAGGATAAAGAGCGAGATATCTATATCTTAAAATTATGTAAGTGGATAAATATTTTTTTTATCTTTATTTACTTTAATACTTATTGAATATTTTTAATGAATATTTATTGAATTGAATAAAACAGATACTCATTTTATATCCGATACATTACTATCTCTAATTAAACAAACTATTACAGATAACAAATGCAAGTGAAATTTACTGTGCATTACGTGCGTCTCTTTACTAGAAAAGAGTACTCCAAAGGTTCGATTTTGGGGATTTTAATTTACAAATTCTAGGCTCTAACTCGGCTCGAGCCTAGAATTCAGATTTTGTAGGCCTTCTCGTGAACCCGTGGAAAGGGAGAGCTAAAGACACCCATGACTCCAATTTTTCAGGAAAAAAGAGAATAAAGTTTTGCTTTGCTGCTAAGATATGTCCTAAAAATTTAGAAAGTTGTTGGGAAAAAAGAAAAAGAAAAATGCTATTTCCCAAGAAAAATGAGGAACAAAACAGAAGTGTCCAATATCATAAAGCAAGTACCACAATCTATAGCATGTTGGGTCCAAATTCATTTCTTTAATATAAACTGCAGGAGGGAGGTATGATTGTGGTTTCCTCAGTGAATCTGTGGCACACGTTTTAGCCCTTGTGAAGGTAGTGGTTTCCATCAAGCTTTTCTCCCATCTCTCTCCTCGATTTTCTCTTTATTTTGATGGAGGATTTTTTTTATGGAAGTACCTAAACCCACCAGTCCACCTGCCCTTTCGTCTCTCTACTTGTAGAATCTAACACTGAGAATTGGAAACCCATTTACATATGGCACCAAGACAGGAACATCACTACATCCATGCTTTTGAAAATCAGCAGGGTCTTATCTATCAACAACCTTCCCCTACTTCTGACCATGCTTTCCCTATATTAGCTATTGCTGTATTGAGCATCATGGGCACAGCTTTCTTGCTACTTGGCTACTACGTCTTTGTGAATAAATGTTGCTCCAACCGGAACCAATTTAATCTGCTAAGGTGGCTCACTGTTTGGAGAGCTCGACGTAATGAAGATTCCTTTATAGCCCTCTCTCCAACCATGTGGAATCGTGGACTGGACGATTCAGTAATTCGCGAAATACCAACATTTCAGTACAGAAGAGAAGAAGGTGAGGAGAGATGCATCTATGGCTGTGTGGTCTGTCTGAATGAGTTTCAAGAACAAGATATGCTTAGAGTTCTTCCAAACTGTAGTCATGCATTTCACTTGGATTGCATCGACATCTGGTTTCAAAGCAATGCCAATTGTCCCCTTTGTAGGACAAGCATTTCAGGCTCGACTACTAAATTTCCAGCTGACCATATCATTGCTCCTAGTTCGTCGCCTCAAGGCTCGCAGCCATACACCCATAGTCTTATAGGAAGTGATGAAGATTATGTTGTAATCGAATTGGGTGGAGAAGATGATGGTGCTTTGCTACCTCCTAGGCAACAAGAAAGAGACACTTCAAGAGAAGTTCAGATGAGACTCAGAAGTCGATCACCGACAAAGATGGAGCAGAAGCTTGGAAAGTTAAAACCAAGAAAGCAACATCATGTTTCGATTATGGGCGATGAGTGCATTGATGTAAGAGGGAAAGGTGATCAGTTCTCTATCCAGCCATTGAGGAGATCTTTCTCATTGGATTCTGCAGTGGATCGACAGCTTTACTCAAGTGTTCAAGCAATCGTTCAACAAAATATGCATCATAGGGAGATTAGCAATACTGAGGAAAGTAGTAACAGAGTACGTAGGTCAGTTTTTCCATTTGTTCACGGCCAACGATCCAGAAAAGCACTTCTTCCTGTTGAATTTGAGACATAATGTTAGATGGTTTAGTCTGAATTCTTGTCTTTTACGTCCTGTTTGATCTTTGATTTTCTTAGGAGGATTTGCGGAGTTTTTTTTCAGATGATTGAAAAGTTACAAACGAGGAACAGATAAAAATCTAGGGTGACTTCAGATTGATGTCACAGATAGCATGAAAAGCATACACCGAATCCTACTGAAATGCAAGCATGGGTATGAGAATCATTGCTTAAACCACTTCGGGTGGATGACCTTTTCTTCTCTAGTTTTTGGTTCCTTCCCTCACCATGAATAGAAATGATTGCTTTTACACTAATTTATCCAGAGAGTGCGAGATAACAGAGATATTAGGGGCCGGTGGAAGGGGAAAGTTATCATGCAAGTCATGACAGGGGGACAGGAATAATGACAAACTATAAGTGAAAACAGCAAAGGGACCTGCTTTTTGAATGATCACCAGCCTCTTTTGTATTTGTAGTAATTATACTGATGTTGGTAAAGATAAGAAGGTATTATTCTGCCTAAGTTTGATTGTGGTTTTAGATACCGATTTCTATCCTCAAGTGAAGGTCTGCCATCTGTTTCCAGATGCTAAAAAGCAGCTGGAGAGTTTTACTTGAGTATCCCAGACACCAGTTGATGTAAAAATCTTTCAAAGTTTTGATTATTCATAAGAGAAGAATTTATTTGCAGCACATACATATTTTGAAAGATCTGAATAATTTCTTTCTATTTTTTTGGTTAAAAAAATTCGGAGGAGAGACTTAACGCATAACTTGCCACGGCTTACATAAATGCAGGCAAGGTTTTAGAAACAAAGCCAATGTAAGCCCTCAGGAATAGCCCAAAAGTTAAGACTTAGGATTTCCAGTTGGAAGGGTGGGAAGAGGATTTAGGAATGGTGGAAAGCTACCCCCATTGTGTAGCCCAAGATTCAGTGGGCCTCCTCTTGAACCAGGGAGAAAGAAAGAAGAGGTATGCCAATGTAAACATCATCAAGATCTTCCAAGTGAAAAGAAAATTTTACACTGTTGCAACTAAACATAATTCACTCCATCTTAATCACAACCCCTACCTAGCAAGCATCATTCCATTTGTTAGTGCCTCAGCAAAGCTACATAAACATCACAATTTAGTGCAGACTCTAAACAATTTCACAAATTCAGTGAATCATAGCCACATGAAACTCCAGAGGAACACCTAGGACGAGTCTAACAGTTATAATTTCTCATCCTCAAATGGTTTCCAGGGTCCTACTGATCACAAAGGAACGGACTGAAATCTCTCAGTCACCAATACTCAATATTTAGAAGCACATGTAGAATAATCATATCATGTGAAGTAAAAGTCAACAAGAATGGTGACGTTACATGGATAGCATGATTGAGCTTCTTAGAATACAGATTAAGATAACTGTACAAGTTTCTTTGAAGAAAATGCTTAGCATTTAAAAAACAAAATAGAGTAATTTCACTTCATCAGGCAAACACAACCAAAGAAAAAGTATGCATCCTCAAAACCGATTTTGATATTGAAACTGTGTTTGAGTTGCTTAAATAACTAGAATTATATGAGTACATATGAAAAGAAAAGGAAGGGGGGAAAAAAGCATCACAGATAGCAATAACTTACACATCCACAAAGAGAAAAGCTAACTGGAATAAATGAAAAAGAACATCTAGAAAGAGAAAAGCTAACCAAATGAAGAAATGTAGCTAAGTGCTGGAGGTTTATCAGACTATATCGTGCTTGTTTGATTCTCGTTGAGAGGATTGTCAGGCAGTGAGTTTATTCCAGAAGGGTTACTGTGAGGCATAGGCAAGGCTTCTGTAAGAAGCTGGTTTGTGAATGCATCACGCGCTTTTGTCTTCAGTTGTTCAAGAATTCGACTCGCTTCCATGAGCTCATTTTGTGCACTTGGTCCATGACTATCCCAGGCATCTACTGCTCGTTGCTGGAATTCAATGGCAAGGGAATAGCTGCAATATCCAAGAATAAATTTTAAAAAACTATGAAATTCTACTTTGAGATCACAGCATAAAACAAAACAAGCATATATGACACTAAATTCCATGCCATTTGCTTGCTGCCTCGATGAATGAATGCATGCATGTAGACATACAAGCCTAATTGCACCAGAAGAGTTAACTTCAATTTCCATGATAAGCAACAACACAATCCAATCATAAAAAAGTAAGATTACAGAATTATAAACCTTACCCACAAATGGCATGACGATAAAAATGTCTGTTTTATCTACATATAAATAAAAAAATAATTTATTTACTTGCTCATGCAAAAGTTGAGTTGATAAGAGTATGTTCTAATTTTGCTCGTTGAAGCCCTTTGAGAAGGTGAATGGTGGAGAGCCAAAGGTCTAGATGAAGAAGAAATATTGAGCAGGTGCATGCATTCTTGCATATTCACATGCCTGACCCAACACATATGATTTTCCCTTGATAAATGCTTCATGAAGAGAAAGACAGCATCAAAGCACTTATTTTAATCAGCATAACAGATTTGGAATAGCAACACAATAATGATTACTTCATGAATAAAAAGCCACGTGCTTGCAATAAAACCAGAAACCATGAACCAGGAACTGAGGAAATATTCTTACCTTCCCATGGCACCATATGCTTTCGAGAGATTCTGACATGCCTCAATTGAATCTGTATGATGAGGACCAAGAGCTACATCCATGATGTCCTTTGCAAATGCAAACATCTGTGCAGCTGACTGTGGTCTGTCCAATTCCAAATACGCTGCCCCCAAATTGTTGTAGATATATCCAATTCCAAAATGTTTGGGACCAAAGCTCTCCTTCAACATTTCAGCAGCACTCTCCAAGTAAGGAATTGCCTGAGTCACTTTACCTGTCAGCAAGAGTATCCACCCAATTCTAGCAGAAACGCTTCCTAGTGAGTGCTGTTCTTGTGGGAGCTTCTCGAGCATAGACAGTGTTCTCTTTAGCAATGAAATTGCCGTTTCAAACTCATTCATAGTCTCATATTGCATCGCTATCTCTGAGTATGCCTCAGCGATTTCAACTGGAGAAGCTGTTCCTTTCTTGTCAAGTATTCCACAGGCAATCTCCAGACACCTTTTTGCGTCTGCAAACTTATTTGCGTCTGTAAACTGATCTTGATTACATAGAGCCTTTGCCATAGAAATAAACACTAATGCTCGAACCCCGCTATCTTTCTCTGTCTGCTGGACAACACCCTTCAAAGTATTAATAGCCTCATCATGCCTGCCCAACGCAATCTGCATATTAGCAGCATCAATCTCTGCATGAAGCAATTCTGAACTAAGACCCCACCTCTTCAAAACCTTCTGTGACAGTGCATTCTGCTCCAATGCCTTGTCATGTTCCTCCAACCCACTATAAATGACCCCGAGAAGCTTCCTATCATGTGCAACCTCAACAGAATTATCCCCAAGTCCACTCTTATGCATCTCCAACGCCTTTAAACCAAAGGACAAAGCCTCCTTGAAATTCAAAACCGCAACATAAGCCTCCGCCAGTTCCCTATTTGCCACACCCAATTCTTTACTGCCTTTCTCCATAGTCATTTCCTTGATCTCTAAACATTTCTCAAGATTATCTATAGCCTCCTCTCTCCTCCCAATCGCAGTCTTCACATTAGCTAACTCAAGCAGCACAGCATGCAACACAGGTCTAATATCCTCAACATTAACAGTCCCCTCCTCCTCCAGCCTACCCAGTATCCTATTAGCCCTATTTAAACACCCTAAACTATCATTGAACCTTCTTAAACTATAATTAATAGAACCCATTAATTGTAAAGTCATAGCAACAAGAAAATTGGGCTTATCATCATCACCAATATCAAGAACTTTCAAAGCTCTAGTAGCAAAAGTTAAAGCCTTTTCAGGGTCCTCGCCTTGTTGGTCAAGTTTAAGACCAACTTTCAATAAAGCCAAACCAAGTTCTCTCTCATCAAAACAAGCCTCCATATCTTTAAAAGCTTTTAGCATGCCCTCAATTGTCACTGCAGACTCAAAAGCCTCTTCAAGTTGAGATTTTTTCTTGATTTTCTGCTGCCTAGAGGAGATTTGAGGAGTTGCTTCAACAAGGGTGCCAGTATTTCGAGATGGGTTTGCTTGGAATTGATGGGGCTTGATAATAAGGACATTGGTTTTTGTGCAGGATTTGAGATTAGGGGTAGGTGAATCAAGTGAGGAGAAGGGTTTGTTTGCGGTGTCAGATAATATGTAGTTGCTGGAGATAAGAGGGGTTAGTGTTTCGGGTTTTTGGCGAGTTAGATGGGAGAGAAGCGAGATTGAAGCTCTTTTCATGTTGGGATTTTTGTGAAAACTTGTTCCCTTTTTGTCTTGGTCTAGAGTAAGTGCTTAAACCCAGGCCAGACCCTAAACCCTTTCGAGATTTCTAGTTTCTCCAGTCTTGTCTGTTGACACGCAAAGATTGAGGAGAGAAGAGAGAAGGGAAGGGCTGATTAAACGCTGTCGTGTTGGTTGATTTATGTGAATTTAAAATCCTTTAAAATTGGAGTTTTTTCTAATTTTGAAAAACAAATTTATTTTTTTATTTTAAAAACTAATTATTTAGTTTATTGACCAGCTGACTACACTTATAAGCTAGTATTATTTTAGTTCAAAAAAAAAAACTCTCTCAATCATTCCATGTTTGTTTTACTTATTTTTTCTTTTTTTAAAAAAAATAAATAAATAAAATAAAAGGTAAATAATTAAATTATAAAAACATCTAAAAATATCAAGATTAAATAATTATTTTGAAACAAAAATAACTGATTAATTCATTTCTTAAAACCAGAGACACTAATTTATAATCTATTCATCAAAATTGTGGAGGTTAAATTTCTTTTTAAAAAAAAAAAAATCCATCTATGAACAGAACTTGTTGAAGAACCCCGTTGGCAAAAAGGTGTTTTTGGCTTTTAAAGCTGTTCAAAGCCAAAAGCCCTAAGCTATAAAACAAGGCTTTAGGGTTTAGATCAGCAAACACAATTAACAGCAACAATCTCACACCATGAGTAACAGACAAGAAATGAATCTTAGAGACAACCCCAAAGAAATGAACCAGTTCATTAGAATAGTATTTGAAATGTATCAACGGATTGCAATTGTTTTTACAGTTTCAGAAGGCTTGCAGTGGCTTTGGAGCCTGCTACCTTCCAAATAGGGATGAGGCCTATTGAGAATCTAACCTCCTAATGAATCTTATATACAACAAAGAATACATAGTTTCCTCTTTACACACAAAAGAAATTTAAGTCCATCTTCGGAAAACCATATGCATTCCACAAATCTAAAAACAAGAACCTCTCAAACAACTGAACAGATAATTGACTGTCAAAAGCTTGGGGGCTCTCGAAATGCAGGGGGTGTGTCAGGTGGTCTGCTATAAACGTCATCAAAATGAAGACTCAGACTGCCTCCTTCAATGTCATCATCCAAATACGTGGTCCGGGACAATCTGTTCGAGCTTCTCCAATCCAAGTGTTGCTCTTGCTCCTCAAAGCTTCTTTCCGATAGATTATCACAATAACTTCCTGAAGCATACCCGTTGAAATCAGGAGGCTCGAGAAAACTTGCTTGGGGCTGTGCACCACGTGGGCCACTTCTAGCCCACCAATGGCTCCTAGTAGGATGTGCAAGGTTGCTGGAGTCATGATGTTCAAGCACACTTTCCTGAAAGAATGGGGCAGATGTAGAAGCCCCCAAATGAGACACTGATCGATCCTGGTAATTGTGACCCCAGAACTCTTCATCATATCTTGCTTCCTTCTGTGTCAAGCTGGATGGTGTCCAATAATCTAGAGAATGTTGTTGCTCAGCTGCTTCAAATGATACTGCTGTGGCATCTCTCGTATTGTTAGTTGAACCATGAGGTCGAGAAGTATAATACCAATCAAGAAGATATGGGTGATTCCTCTGATCTATATCAAGTAGCCACAGCGAACCCTGCTGAAAGCCGGGAGTATTAAATTGCATTTCCCTTGAAGGAGGATTGTATCTGTCACCAGGGCCTCTCAGACTGGGGCTCCCTCTCCACATTCTATGAGGAGAGTACCTATGTCTAACTCCCTGTCCTTGCAACTTTTGGTCCCTAAAAGTTCTAAGATTTAACAGAAACTGCTTTCCCTCATTGTTGGGTTCCCACGAAGGATAGCTACTCTGGAAACTGCAAAATAAGACTCTGAGATGAGAAGCAAGCAAAGGGAACAGCTAAAAAAAGCTACCAGCAGTCACCTTGCAAGGATTATTTCAATTTGCAAGTGAGAACATAACAGTGCAAAATTTACAAAAGAATGATAAACATGTGCAAAATGACTCATTCTCCTTTGAGTAAGGAACAAATACAATAGCATCCTATCCTGAGAATTTTGTTGTGCATGTAAAGCACGAACAACAGCACAGTCACACAAGGTTACAAAAAGCTTATCAAATTGAAAAAGAAAGAATCTACAATTAGAATGCCACATCATACCTCAAAAATGATTTCTCCATCTTCCCCTGACAACTCCTCTGGGAGCGAGGTGTATTGTGGGGCGAGGCATAATTGCTATTTCCATGATTTTGAAAATTGAAAGCACTAAAACTGTGAAAGATCAATTCGAAGTCAAAATTGAATGTTGTCAATATTAAGAAACAAATAATAAATGGTTTGACGTCTAATTCATCAACGTAAGGTTTTGGAATTTTCAATCATAACAACAAGTGACCACCTGCAAACATGGCCAACACCTTCAACATCCACTGTGAAATCCGCAATGAACTGTAAGATGTCATCCACATGCTGCAAAAAATCACAGTAAACCAGCTTGAAATTAGCCAATATATGTCATAAAAGTAACCAGATAGGCAGTCTATCAAGATATGAAATGGGTACCTTTGGGACCACAAATAAAAGCAAGAATGGAGTGAGGAAAATTGATGCCATCTCCTCAAGTAACATCATTCCAGTATACTGTATCCCAAAAAGCAATTGAACAGTTATAATAGATCAACATTCCATCGATAGGGAGGTCTCATTTTCATATAAATGCATGAACTTCATCTGCATCACCTGAAATAAGGTTTCAAACTCCATACAGACCCTCTCAGTATTTTCTTTGCCCCGCCATTTCTTTGGCATATAATGTGTGTGTTGGACCACCATAGACATTGCCCCTTCTTGATCAGGGACCAGGAGCTCATCTGTAACAGCAGCCCGGCTGATGGCTGTTATAGTTCCAAAAACAGCAGCATACCAAAACAAGTTGCGCCCATATATCTGCAGAATTTGAAATACAATATCATTAAACATATATATAATCGTCAATTATCACTGACAAATTTGTATTATCTAATATCTTTTTAAGTTGGTATAAGTGAGTATTACATGGCCCTCTAGCAAAGATTCGTCCAGAAATGCAATGATGATCAGGATAGCAGCAAAGCCTCCAGAGACAAAAGAGATGAATTTTGCGATGATTGAAATAATAGGTGAGGGGAATTGCTTTAAATATTCTGAAGCATGCATCACACTGCTATTGATCCGATGCTTGAACAAATGGTCAACCTGCAAAATAAATACATGCCATCTTAATTATGCAAGAGTTCAAAGAGGCTGATCTGTGTGTGACAAATGATTTTAAAAAATTGTCAATATCCCCATTCTTTTATTGAAATAAAGCTACAGTAGGGAACTGGACTCTCATTCCACGAATGAAAATGGCACATAGAAGAAAATCTTCTTGTGATGAAGTAAATCCTGCAAGCTAACATGCGGAAGACATATTAATAGATTTAGACAAGCATAGCCCTCATTCACCCAATAATATTTTGCTTCTGTTCATTAAATGCCCGTCAAATAAATTAAGCACTGTTTCATACACATGAGAAAATGTGTTGTCAGAACACTCTTAGGACTATAAGCAATATTACAAAACCACCAAAATATGTTCACCTTATCAAGGGGTTTTGCTGATTTAATACAATGATAAGAGGCAAGCATTAAAAATTAACTACAACACATTCAAACATTGCACTCCACAGATATCCTAGCCAACATTTCGAAAACAGGCAGATTAATTATGAAAAAGTTTCGCTTGAGCTTAATATGTATGTGTGTATGTGTGTGTGTGTGTGAGTGAGTGAGAGAGAGAGAGAGAGAGGGTTTGTACCTCGTTGAATTCTCTAAAAATCCACCTTGACAAATTTGACCATCTTCGAGATGATGCTGTGCTTGGATGATTATAAAATTGTTCAGCATGCCTTAGGAAGAGATACACCAGCATGAATATAACCAGAAATGGTGAAAGGACTAGCATTGCAAGCCCAACTACCATAAGCCTTTTCTTTAATGCATTGGGATTATAAATGAAGTCCCTCCTAACACAATAGTTTCTGCAGAAAAAGAGCATTCTGATGAGAAAATGCTAAATAATCAGCATTTAAACAGGTAGTCATGCGAAATTAAACATACCGATCAAACATGCTCTGTAATATGCACCAATTTAAGGTCCACTCAAGGGGCTTTGTCAGTATTAGGCGATGCTGCATTCCATTTGAACCAGTCCTCACAGTTGGGCCAACGCCTGGAATCCACAGGGAGATTGGAAAAGCAAGCACTCCTTTGTTGAGCATTCCAATCAAGTAGTTCTCCTTCCTCATCAATCGCATCACCACGTCATGAGCAGTAAGGTCCTTAACCACGCAGAGTTGTTGCGAGTGTTGCAACTGAACAACCTTTTCAAGCACTGTAGCCCATTGCATGGTTTGAATTTCATTGTCCGTAACACGGAGACTGCAAAAGGATAATTTCTTTTGCTCTTATTGAAATATTAAAGAAGTCGATAAAAAAACCCATTGTACTGAAGTAAAATTAATGCCTCCAACAAAATTTACACAGATTAGATCAGCCACACCTGTTATAATAGAAGTGCCGGATACCAAGGATGTCCCTCAATTGAGCAAAAAACCTCAAGAAACAGAAGATCCAATAGATAGAAAATAACCCCAAATACCCAACAATGATAGCTTTCGAAAGCGTTAGAGGGGTTAATGGGTGTGGATAGAGAGCTTCTTTAGCAAGATCACAGGGCTTGATTCCAGATTCAACCGCATCCATCCCACACTTAGCATTACGAAGACCATTCCAATCAACATATAATAAGAAAAACCCCGAGAAACCAATGGTGAAACCCAGGCCAAAAAGCTCAACTATCCACTTTATAATAATACACCAAAGCCCTTTCTCGCAATAGTAATTGTATAATCTTTCAAAGAACAGGTCCAGATCAGCAATTGGTTCCACATTCAAGCTCTCACCATTAAGAAGCCCTGAAGGGCTCTCACTACCAGGACTTGGTACCCTTCTATAATCAGATAATTCAATCTCTGGTGGAACATCTTCAAGCAAGCTGGTTGACAAAGATGATTCACCACGCCATTTCCACTTGAATATGCTCAAAGCATTAAACTTTTGCCCACTGAACATCATTCACAAACACTTACAATAGGCCAAAAGAGCCAGTCCATTCCACAAGCCGCATAAATGGTTAAGGCAAAGATCTGGAAATGGGAAAAAAAGGATCAGACATGCCTTATATAGCAAAATATGTTTAGCTTGCACAATCCCCTGTTTCCTCATTAATCAGCTAATATTCCAAAATTGAGAAACTAGAGAAGTTACATGACAAACCATGTCACTTCTACTGCACTAAAATAAAAACTGCGTTTACACAACTACATTATCTTCCGCTTCTCATTCGCCACATGTCACTCAGAAAAGAAAAAAAGATCTTCTGGAAGGAAAAGAAGGGTGGGGGCGATGAGAGAAATTTTCAGACTTGCTAACCGCCAATATTACCGATGCACCTTATTAATCAGTATGAAGATGAAAACAAACAAAGAATGTCTTGAAACATAATCAAACCATAGCATCATTCTGGAGTACTCTTACATCTTGAGTATCCTAAATCTATTAGGAACCACGGAAACAAGCATTCTTAATTAACGGGTAAAAAAAAAAAATACTAAATATTCCCACATCGTTCATACATTAAGATCAAGTGTCTACCTGTTCATGTGCCAAAGCTCAAGTCCTACAATGCAATCAATTTTCACTCAGTTCTGCAATAAAAACAAGAAATGGTCTTTGATCAATCTTGTTAATCAAAACACACGTACATGCATAAAAAAATGAGAACTATATAGATAAAAACAATATGGAAGAGCACTAATCAAATAGGATCATCTCTCTTTATTTCCTAAGACATGGTCTAGTTTCGTTTCCCTTCCACACCAGATATAAAGCTGAAAAGGGATTTTGCAGTCTTCCACAAATGCCCGAAGTATCTGATCTCTCTATGGGCATTTGCTTCTACAACTACTTAATTCAAGTGCACTATTTTTTTCTATCCCTGCTGCCCCCTTTAATTAATTAACTACAATAAAAGCTGAGATCAAATTTTTGCTGGATAATAAGAATGGTGAAAGCACTAACCACTTAAAATCAAGCCAAACAATGTAACAGTGAACGCTATGCGTTGGGTTCTAATGGAACCCTCCAACTCAATCTGTAAACAAAAAGTCGCAAACTTTTAAGCTTAAAATAGCACGTCGATCATAACCCAGAAAGGAAAAACCAAACTTCATTGGATAAATTCACCAAAAAGGGAGGTGAGCAATCTATTTTTGATCCTGCAATCACTATATTGCTAACTTTGGATAACTATTACCACTTAATCCTAATTGCCCATATTGATTAACAAATTAAACGAAGCGTTAAAATAATCAGCTGAAAAAAAAACATTGAAGAAAACCACTAAAAATTCATGTTGTACGATACTATCATCATGTGAAAATAAAAAAGAAATAATTGAAATTGAGATACGACAAAACACGAAATTACCTGGAAACCCAGAAAAGAATAATGACAGAAAGAATCGAGAAAAGAGAAAGAGTCAGGATTCAGTGACGCCGACTAAAAAAACTGCACTGAAATCGTAAAGGAGCGGAGGGTTGAGATTATTATTATTGTTAGCGAAGTTGAAGGAATGAAATATTTTGTTTTGTCAACAACAAAGAAAAAAGAATTGAAAGAACGAAGAGAACAAGAAAAGGGGAGAGAGTGCGGTGGCTTGTTTGGGTTGCGTGAAGGAAAGGTGGATTTTTTTCTTTCTTTCTTGCGGAAAGTCGATTGGGGTTTGGTTTTTTTTTTTTTTAATTGTAATTTACTATTGAGAAATGGTAATAGAAAAGAAGAATTTGCAAAGCTTTTTGGGCTTCTTCTGTATCTCTCTCTCTTTCTCTGCTTTGGTTGTTACTTGAGATGGCTGTTAAAAACGCAGTAGTAGTAAAGATAAAATGCCTCCTTGATTGATGGACTGAGCAGAAGACGGAGGAGAAGAGGAAAGAGGCAGGAACACAGCAACTGGTACTTCCCTTTACTTGATGGACTAGGTAATTAATTCCAATTCATCGGGACAAGGTTTCGTCAATTATTAATTTTTGGTTCCTCCGGCCCTCATGGATTTGGACTAATCTACAACAAATCCAAAAAATAGTCTTCTTTTTATTACATTACAATTAAGAAAAATAATTATTTTACTACAAAAAATTATCGTGTGAACATTATACATGTCGGATCAAACTTGGTGTTTGTTCGATAATAAGGTATTGTGACTTTATATATATATATATATATATATATATATATATATATATTAAAATTTTAAGTATTTGAAAAAGTTTAAATTTTTTTTTTTTTTGAATTTTAGAGATTTTTTATTATTATTATTATGGTGATTCCACATGGGATAGTAAGTCATTTTTTATTTAATTTAATATTTTTTTATTAAAAATATTGGACAATTGGACACAATTTTTACCTCGTAGAAAAAAAGGATGACAAACAAAGCTTTTAGTGTCAAAAGAATTATTTTATAATACAAACATATCACTGTAGAATGTTTAGCAAAATTGGATTCTTAAACAGAGCTTTTAAATGCTGAGATAATTCTTTTATAATACACATTAGTTACTCGAAAATATATCTGATCAATAAAATTGAGTGTTCAGATATATAAAAAATTATTAAAAAAGATTGACACTGTGCAAGTAATTTTTAATAGTTTTTGCATCTCTGTGTCAAAATCATTTAAAAACAAATACCGAATGTATTTTGAAAATTTTGAATAAAAGTTTATTGGCCATAAGCACGAATTGTTTTAAAAATTTTGATTGACTATTGTACTTTTAATACATCACTGACATTATGTTACACTACTAATACCAATAAGCAAATTCAACCCTAATCTAGTTAAGTAAAAAAAAAAAACAATATCGAATCAATTCTGAAAAACAAAATTATTAATTTCTAAAATATAGGTTATGTTTTAAAATAAATCCTAAAATATATGTAAATTTCATTTTTTTATTATTTTTCACGCACCATGTTAAATCTTAAATGACATAAAATAATCCACTTAAATCATTTCTAAACTACATATGTTATGACCCTTAAAATGGGTCAAAACCGAAGCAAAAATCGAATGAGTAATGAAACCCACCTTAACTCAAACGAGTTTCGAATATCTAACTTGTAGTTATCATATCCGTAATAATCAAAATATCTATTTAATTCATAATATCACAACCTAAATAGTTAATACTTCTTAAATTAAGCACAAACCATGGTTCCATGATATTTATATTTTTCTAAAATAATATTCATAATCGAAATTCTAACACAACCTTCGTCTAATCCGTCATATCATAACCTAATTAGTTATTGTTTCATACTTCTAGCTCAAACTATAATTTTAGAATACTCATGCATTAAAAAAAAAAATCATAACCAACAACCTAACCCAACTCCCGCAAATATAAATACGAGTTGTAAAATACACAACAATCTCAAAATACAAGTTTAAAATATTACAATTTACTGAGTTGCATGATCGATGTGTTAGTTTCAAGACAAACGAGTTTTGAATAGTCAATAGACAATTTGACAATTCCCGTAAAATCGAAATGGTAGAATATGAGTAAATCAACAATTCGGTGGGTAAATAACATATAACACGACTTAAAAAGGAAAATAAACAAACAAATAATAATGTAAAATATACTTAAGATGCAATGCATGTTTTTCAAAATCAAATAAATATTTTAAATATCTAATCATATCTCATATTTTCAAATTGTTCAAGTCATAATCGGAATCTCATATCAAAATACTTATAATCAAATCAAATTGTATCAAATATCAAAATCCATACATAGAGTGATTAAATCGTATTGTATTGTTTGATGTAAACATGCAAATACAATACTCTCGTAGTTAGATATACCATATATTGACCGACACATAAGCTAACATTGTACCTCTCTTACTAACTCGGAGCATTTTTATATCAACGAACTCACATGTTATGCTTTTCGTAGATAAGTACTTCAAAGTAGTCAATCAAACTGAAAATCAAATAATCTCACATGTATTCCATAAATACAAGACTAACATATCCACATAGTTCATACTCAAAATCAAATTTGGTAATCCAATTCAATATTAAATATTATAATCACAATCTAAACTCAAATTCAAAATCATAAATCAAATATTTACTTAAATTAAACGAATAGAGTCATAATCAATAATCTCAATTAAATCCTTATAATTAAATTAAACCTTAGGCGAAACTCTTATTCAAAACACGAGTCAATTTTTTTGACCTTGAATTAAACAAATATCAAGTCAATTTCAATATCAAATCGTTTCGAGGCTTTTACAAAAAATCTATTTTCATATAAGTTTTAATAGATGTGATTGTGATATAATTAAATCAATGATGCATGACGGAGATATCAAATAACTTAAGAACATTACATGTTATATACCATAAACTCACAATGCAATTACATAATCAAGCAAAGTCAAGGTTCATAAGATGGAATCACTTGTTTCGAAAAAACACAATGATACAAAATATTCAAATAATCATTCATATCATGAATCAAGGGATAATTCGAAAACAAATAAAGTACATTATAAATAAAAATGCAAGACAAATTACAATAATGGGATTCATCGAAAGAATGAAATTATATTTTAAAACTAAACTCTTGCCCTCTCAACCAATTCTATACAATTACTAAACAACTATATCTCAAGCTCATTCCATAATCTTTTTTCTAACAACTCAATTTATACTTAATTTGCTACGACCAATTATCCATCATCATTTTCCAATTCAATTTCACATCACTTGTCTTTACAATATACTATCATTTATTTATTTATTTTTTCCCACAACTCATCTTTACAATCCATCATCCAACCAACTTGGGGATTTCTGAATTTCATAGTTCAACAATCAATTTCATACCACCGTTATCTCATTTCAATCATTAATTAACATAAATAAGTGTTTAGTCATCTCAAATTCAATTTAAATCCCTACCTTATCATATCTCAATTTTCATTTTAACAAGCAAACTCAATATAAATTAATCATAAAATAATCAATAAATATATACAAACATCTTGATTTTAAGGTCAAATGAAAAAAATATCACCTTTAATAAATCGGTCTTCAAACTCAATTTCAACCTTTCAATTCCTATCAGCCTCTCAAACTTTAATTTAGGTTAATATCACTTTAATCACCTTACTTTTATGATTTTCTAGAGTATCTAGGCAAGATTTTAGAATAAAAAATGAAAGAGAGGTATGGAGGAAGCACAGAGAATGAAGGAGAACGAGAAAGAGATGAAGGAAATAAAAAACAAGTAAAAGAATGGGTTGTCCCATTTTTGAACGAGACTCTCATGTTTTTTGTTTTTTATTTTTATCTTATTCTTATTCTTTATTTTGTTCTCTTTCATATGGTTGGGTACTAATTTTTATTTTATAACAAATTTTAGATTTTTAATTTATACTAAAAAAGCAATTCACCTCTAATTAACTTATAACTATTTTTTAATTTGAAAAATATATAATTTACTAACTTAATCTTATTTTTGAGACGGGTTATTACAACATAGTACTACACCGATATTTTATTTTGACCACCAAAGCTTCGAAAATACTAAAAAAAAAGCCTAAAAATAAAACACAAAGAATTAAAATCTGAAAATAATTAAATTGCATCAAAATTTGTTGAATCATTAGTTCATTTGCTATACTTTTTTTTTTTTTTTGTCATTGTATTATTTTTTACTCTTTTGGACAACCACCAATAGTATTAAAAAAAAAACAAGATATATTAAAGAGTGATTTATAAAAAAAATTATTAATGTATGCATTATTAATTTAAATTCACATCACAAGTAATCGAAATGAATATTTAAAATAAATCAAAACAATACAACGTTAATTGAATTTTTTTTTGGTGTGTGTGTATATATATATACATTGAAAGATAATTCAACTCATGTTCCTAATGTTTACTTAAAGTCCAATTAAAAACTATTTTAAATGGTAAAAAAACAAACAACTTGGTTTAATTATAATAACTAAAATTCATGTAAAAAGAAAACATGTTTATTTAATAAACATTCAAATTTATTTATTTATAAACAACTCTAAAAAATATTATACACACAAATATATCATGAATCTGTTTAATAACACACGTGTTGAGCATGTCCAAAAAACTATGCTTTTATATATATTAAATCTCAATTTTTTCGGTAAATTTTAAGTATTGTTTTTCTAGAACTTCTAAGTTTTTTTTTTTTTTTTTTTTTTTAAAAATAACTTCTAAAATTTGTCTAGTTGTGGATGGTGTTCTTTCAGTTGCCCTTAATAATAAATTAGTGTGTCTCCTGCTCAGCACTGAATCCATAAAGGAGGCTTTTATCTTTACCAACGCTGCGTTTTTTACGGCCATCACAAGCAACAACAAAAGCAGAGAAAGAAGAGACAGAAGAGAAGCTTGAGGTTGTAGCCTATTGGTGAGGTTGAGGGTCGCTCACCAATGACACTCGTGTTCGATTCTCTCTGCGCACGTTTGTCACCCTCGCGATACTTTACCTGTCCACAAAGCTTGCGGGGTGTTCGGTGAATCCAGGGATTAGTCGAGGTGCGCGCAAGCTAGCTCGGACACCTTGAGTTATAAAAAAAAAAAAAAAAGAGCTTTCTAAATTCCTATTTTCTATTACCATTTATCAATAATAAATAGAAATAAAAAAATAACACCCCAGTTGAATTCCCTCGAGAAAAAAAAATAAAAAATAAAAAAATTCCACCTTTCATCCACGCTACCCTTTTCTTGTTCTCTTCCTTCTTTCTTGTTGACAAAATAAAATATTTCATTACTTCAGCTTCTCCAACAACAATAATAATCTCAATCCTCCGCTTCTTTCCGATCTCAGTGCAGTTTTTTCAGTAGTTGTCACCGAATCCTCGTTCTTTTCTTGATTCTTTCCATCATTATTTATTTTTAGATTTTCAGGTAATTCCGTATTTTATTGTATCTCAATTTCAATTATTATTATTCTTTTTTTTTTTTAACTTTCACACGATGACGGCATTGTACAACATGAATGTTTAGTTCTTTTCCAGCTGATGATTTGAACGCTTGGTTTAATTTAATTTGTTAATCAACATGGGCGATTAAGATTAAAAAGTTGTAATAATTATCCAAAGTTAGCAAGATAGTGCACCACTGCACCTCCATTTCAGTGAATTTATCCAATTAAGTTTGGTTTTTCTCCTAGTGTTTGACTTTTTGTTTACAGATTGAACTAGATGGGCTTCACTGTTACACAAAGTGGGAGCAGGGATAGAAAAAATTAGTGGACTTTGAATTAAGCAGTTGTAGAAGCAAAGCAATGCCCATATATGGAGAGATCGGGTATTTCTGGCTTTGTTGGGAGAGTGAAAAATCCCTTTCCAGCTTTATGTCTTAGGAAATAAAGAGAGATGATCCACGCTTTTTTTTTTTTTTTTAATATATATATAAAATTCACATTTTTTGTATGCATTTAACAAGATTGATTTTAAGATCAAATGATAAAAATCTCATATTTACTTATTGGTATTAGGAGTGTAATATAATATTGGTATTGTAAAAAAATCAATCATTTTTTTTAAATCTTGTTTTTATAGATAATAACGGTTAATAAAGTTTTGTTGAGGTAATGGATTTTTCAGAGAAGTCACGTATTGAAAATTTGAATTCGTTTGATAAATAATAGCGGTGAAAGTTGTGTCAATTTCATATGGCTGGTACTATAATGTATGACAATAGCTCAACTTATTTGTTTTTATATAATAAATTAAGTCTCAAATTTATTTTTATTTACCTGAATAATTTTAAAATTTTTAATTTATTTTCAATTAATAACATTTTTTTTTATCAAATAATATTCAGAGACGTACTAGATGAATAAAAATATAAAAACAAATTAAAATCCAGACTTTTACATAATGATAAATTAACCTATTTATCCGTGGATTTTTATAAATTTTTTAGTAATTGAAGAGAAAAAATCGACACGTAAAAAAAACATAGGTGAGATTTAAAATTGAAGATAGCTTACGTATTATTATTTTTAGTAACATATATATATATATATGTGTGTGTGATATGTATGCATGTATGTGGGCGTGAATATACCAATGCTCATTGCCATTCCTAAACAGGATTGACCAAGTGAAGGGCCCCTATAGTCTTTTCATCAACCCCAGTCTAAATATACGTCGTTTCCATCATCAAGCCAAACGGCACGTAGTAGATAGACTAAACAAGGAACAAAAACCGCGGGAGGCAACGGACTAAGTTGGCGGGAGGTATGACGTGGCAAAGCTCCACCTCAGCAATTCCCGCCAAGCAAAATCCCTAAAACTAATAGCCTGCCTCTGCCTTCCGCATCTTCTTCATCATCTTCTTCTTTAGAGCCTGCAAATCTCTCTTCACTCTCAAAATCAACTAGAAGAAGCACAGGAGCAATGAGCTCCTCTTTACACTCACCAATCCCTTCTTCAAAATCCAAAAAACATAAACTAGATTCTGAATCAACTGCAACTCCAAAATCTAGACCTTCAAACCCAGCAATCGCCACTCAAACCCCAACACAGCAGTCCCAACTCCCTCCCCGCCTCCGCAACCGCCGTGTTGCCCTCTCCATAAAAGATGTCCGTCAGATCGCCTCTCAAGACCATGGAAGCAACCAAACCAAGTCCGCCCGAAGACAGATCGCCTCTTGGCTTGAGGATTCCACCCCCAGTAAGCTACACAAGCCCAGGAAGAATCAGTCTCGTGATGGGCTCACTAAAATCCCAGATAAGTAAGTATATTTCAGGTCATTTTTTGAATATATTTTAATTTTTTTTGTAGTGATTTATGTCATTTTATTTATTAATTAAGTTTTTATCTTGAAAAGATATGAAATGCTGGGTGAGTTCTTTGATAACTTGGATAGCTCGATCCGGTTGCTGCGTATGAAGGGTTCCACGTCTACTTTCTCAAATATTTCTCCCAAAATCGAGTCTTTAACAGACAGGTTCTACTGATTATTCTACTGTTTTTCATTTCTCGATTTTGTAATTATATTGTTTTAATTTTAATCGTGGTCTTCTTTCTTATAGGAGGTTTACACATAAACATTTGGCTCAATTGAAGCACCTTATGCCTGAGGCAATTGAGATAAAGCGGGTGCTTAGGTTTGATGAGCGAACCTGTTGTATGAAGCCGGATCTTCATGTTACTGTCAATACCGATGCAATCGAATGTGATGATGGCAAGTTGAAATCTGAAAGTAGGAATATATATTTAAGGAAGGTTTTTCGCTCCAGGCTTTTGGATTTTTATAGAGACCATCCTCAGGTATTATTTTCTGTTTATTGTGCCTTTGTTTATGTTGTTAGTGCTTAGAATGCATGCTATCATCTGTAGTGTATTTCTTTACTCCTTTTCTTTTTGTTTTGAAATGACACCCCTTTTATGATGCTTTGTGAAGTATGATTTACATTTTGTGAAGCGGCAGTTGATTAGGTTGTTTAATTCTTCTATGTTCTACCATTGCAATATAGGGTGAGTAAATGTACAGAGGACGCCACTGATTAGAATATTACTTACAACCTCCATGATTTGTCCCTAGCTAAGAGTTGCTTTGAGTTTTATGAAAGTGAATTTGTAGGTTGCATTCTTGCTCTACTTAATTCTATGTACTCTTGTTTCTAAATCCGATTGATGTGTTAACAATGCCTTTTTATGGCTGCAGGGTGATGATATTCCAGAGGAAATGCTCCCAGAGCCATTCAATCGCTCGCCATTGCCTACAGAAACCCTGGCACTTAAAGAAGAGCAACCAGTGGTGGCATCTCTTTTATCCAGAAGGTTCCAGAGGCGCTTCTCCCAGAAAGGTACACAAATTGAAGCAGAAAACAGCCTTCAGAAATCAGTTTCTGCTGTTTTAGAGCCATGCCCCGACAAAACCTCCTTCAATGAGGAAAGTAGTTATTCTGCTCCTTCTCCAGCCAAAGTGTCTTCAACAACTACTTGTGACCAAAATTATTTATCTGCAACTCCAAGCAAAGAGAAAGATGCCATGGTTGATGGAGATGATTCTCCCATAAAGATGGCTAGTGTTCAATCAACTCCTGCAAAACTTGTTTTAACCCCATCTACATTGATATCTACCACCCCTGCATTGCATCCACATAAAAGATGTATGAGCCCATATGATGACGATTCTTCCAGCACACCAGACAAGCTTGTTAGGCGTCCGCCCAGCAGGTCACTGATATTTGTAACTCCGGTGAAGCATGCTAACGATGAAGAAAAAGTGATGGGGGATGAATCGGATGATGATGATATATTGAAAATACTTCCTGAGAGGCTTCTGCAATCGGTAAGCTTACCCTGAATTCCCAATCATTTTCATTTGTTGTCAGTGAACATTACATGCTATTGACATATCTTAATGTTGTCCTTTGATTGATTGTACATATTAATTTTGATATTCAAATTGATCTCTTGTGTTTCTGTTTTCTTGGATTCAATACTTGTGCTTTGAATTCAAATGAGACATTTAATGCTGTGATTGATAGTAATCATTTTTTTTTTCTGCAGATAAGAGAGAAAGAGCAGAAGGCTAAAGAAGAGCGAGACCCTGCAATCTCACAAGCAAAGAGGCGGTGGCAAATGATTGCCTGTCTTCCTAAGCTCTTCAACAAGATTCATTTCTTGTTTCAGTCAATAAAACAATCAGTTCTCACAAAAGAGGAACTTATACACAAGATAATTGCAAGCCACTCTGATATTGATGATAGAAGTAAGCAAGTAGTTTCCTGTCAAAAACCATCAGATATATTTGAGGACACTACGTTAAGCTAACTCATTATGCCTTTTGTTTGCAGGAGAAGTTGATGAGCAGCTAAACTTGTTGCTTGAACTCGTTCCTGAATGGATTTCTGAGAAATTGACATCTAGTGGGGATTCGCTTTTTCGGTAAGCCTCAAGAACAATTTATGCTTTTTCTTTGTTTTGAGAAACTTCAAATGGTAGTTGAGAGTACATTGAAATTCAAGTATTGTTTTTTTATAGAAAATGAGCATGATAATACAAACTGTTCAAACCGAAGCTTTTCAAGCTGTTAATGTCACTATCTAATCTTATGTTGCAGCATCAACAAAATGTATAGTCCGGAAACTGTACGCACACTACTTGAAGAAGCCAAGTGATAAAGAGAACGCCCAAGTCTTTTGAAATCATAGTAAGAAACACATTGAAGGACGTTGTACAAATTCTCCCTCTTTTGTTTGCTATTCCTGGATGTCCTAATTTATGATATGCTAGCCCATGTTTGTAGAAAAGTGACTGTATTTTAGATGTTCGAATGATTAATTTGCTAACCAAATTGCAAGATAATGAAAAGCCTCTTTTTGTGCAACTGCCATTTCCCCTTTCTACTAGCTGCAAGTGTAATATACCTTTTTCAGTTGATCTATTATTACACTGTAACCATGGAGACGACTTGAGCAAAGTCATTGGTGGCAATGCTTTTTGAACCCATATAAAGAAATGGCCATTGTAATAACGCACTGCAAAACTGCTTAATCTTGAGAATTTGGCATCTGCCACGGATGCGCATATCTAGTTGTTCGGAAATATCAATGCTCAACTGGAGATAATGAAAAACTAGTTAACGAAATCGTTTTTTGAAAATGATTACGCTGAATAACTTGTATGTTCAGGAGAGGAAGCATGTTAGAATTGCTTCAGAATCCAGATCATAATATAAGGTTACGAGTACATACATGGGAGCCATGTGAGAAAATTAGGCCGAAACAGTTTGTAGATTAACTAAGTGCTTATGGTTCTGCTCCATTAAAAATTAAAAGCTGGATAGGACACCTTGATTGTAGGATGCATTTATTCCAGTCTTACATCTTGATCTATTTCTCAAGTTCCTGTTTTTCTTTGTCTCTTCCTGCTGAACTCTCCACTGCTAACTGGCTTAACTTTTCCTGATCATCAATGGAAAGAGATTGTTCTTGGGACTTGTTTTGATCTCGATCCTTTTCTTTTCCCCACAGCAGCATGTAAAGTCCGATAATAACAACAGCTCCTCCCAATATGCTGATTTAGCCAAAGATAAATTAGAGACAGTATCCACTGATTCAAAACTATGAAATTAAATTCACCTCCTTGCTTTTTTCCCCCCTTAAGAATGCTGACTACAACTGTGACATGAAAATTAAATTTTACCTGCCTGCGTGCAATTCTTCACCAAAAAGAAAGTAAGCCATGATTGTCACCATCACTGTCCCTAGGGGACTAAACATGGTCACAAAGACTGGTCCCTTTTGTTTAGTGCACCATAGTTGAATGAAAACTGCCAAGCCACAACTAGTGACTCCCTGCCATTGATGATTAATAACATGACTTAACATGGTTTCTTAAAAATTAGTTTAATAATCTGTATTGCTGTTCATGGATGTACTTACAGCATATATGAGGGACCAGAATACAAAGCTGGATCTGATGCACCATGCTGCTGGTTTATGTTGCATGAACACAGTGAAGACAGCTGATTGTGTTGCCCCGAAGCCAGTTATCCATGCAGTTAGTGATAGTTGCGCAGGATACCTCTTCAATGTATATGCCTACAAGGTACACAATCTATGATCACGTCAAAGAAACCTTATAATTATTTAGGTGAAAATTGCACTCATTTACAGGCATATGCTCTGATAAATTCTAGCATTTCCCAAGGCAAAGATACTTTAGCAAAGAAAATTAGCCTCATGCTAGCTTCTACTTGAATCCAGAGAGTTCTGTGTAACCACTATTGCTGTAGAATCTTATAATTCTTGTAGCACGATTGGAAATCAGAGTACCGGTCTGCGTTTGATGCAAGGCCAAAAGGAAAGTCCAAAGGAAATGGTTGGTTAGAGAAGTATAGACCTGCATAATGAACCAGAAAGACCATGCTATGCAACTGAAAATTAGCAGAAAAGACCCCTTCACCCAGTTTTGTCGAGCAGGATTGCTTTCGATATGGACTGGAGCACCCTGCAAGCTTGGCACCTCAGGTCCTTTGTATAAAGTGAGGGTCAAGACACCAGCCAACGATAATAAGGTTCCGACAATTTTAGCTATTCCATGAGGGTTCCTTAAATCGACAATCTCCAACCTACATGAACTTTATGCAGTTTTTGCATCAAAATCAGGATAAAGGGATTTCTGTTCTTCAGTTATTCAGGTTTTGAAGTCTCCACCTGAGTATAACTGCAGTTATAAAAGTCATGGAAGGAACGGTATTGGTCATTGATGTAATAAAGGCAGGAGAAGTGTATTTCAAGCTTGCGAAGTACAAGTTAGCAGTTAAGCTGGCCCTGGCTTTCATCAAAAGAGAAAACTGTAAGTGCTTTTCCTATTCTCACAAACACAGATTTTTTTTTCTTTTTCACTTTATGTTGAAGCATAAGGAAGGAATCAAGGATTGTTCAAATTACCCTAGAAGAGAAAGCACAAATATCTCCAGAAACAACACAAATGTTAGCTTTGGCCTCGCTTTTCTGCACAATAGAGAAAATCATATCAAGCAAAATGTATTCAGTAGCATAATTTCATAAATAAATCAGTTGGTACCCACTGTATAGCTATTAGCTTTGTGAAGCAATATTTTTTTGGTGGGTGTATGCATGTGTATAGCATACCTTTCAAGAAAATATGCAAGAGGAAACATTGCTAAACTGCCTACAATATATCGATAAGTAACAAAGACATGGGGGTTCATCCCTTGATTGAAGGAAGATTCTGCAAGAAAGTAGAGAAACGAATAGCCAATTTGGACCAAAATCATGAGCATATGTGGCAGAAATCTGGAGTAAATGACCCTGACTGCATTTAAAATTGCCATAGGTCTTGAGTCTGTTCCTATATATTTTGCCTTGTTTGCTTGTTTATATTTGAAGCACAAAATGCATCTATACTCATGTATGTGGATGGAAGAATACCGATTATGCTTGCACGTTTTAAGAATCATTTACTTTATGAAATTCCAACTCTGAAAATTGACCGCAATCTAGTAGGATTGAGAAAATAAGATGATATCCTTGTTCTTTGTTTTAGATATGAATTACCCTATATATGCTCATTGCAGTAATAAAAAATAGGTGCATGCTCCTGAAATATCTAAGCCATAAGCTAATGATGTTCCGATGAATTTGTCGGTGAAAGCAGCTTCGCTTTTCTGATATGGACAGCTCACACAAAGGTGGAATGAGATAAATGTTTTAGCTCTTTTCAAACACGAACTTCCTATGTAGCAGAGCAGGCTACAACATGACACGTTTGGTTACTTTCAGAATAGTTCAAATTAATTTGCATAGATCAGATTCTAAGCTCAAAATCAAACAGACTAAGCTAACATATATATACCATTGCTACAGTTTTCATTTGACATATATATATTGGGATTCTCTTGAAAGGTAACTATCAAATTAAAGATGTGCTTTCTTTTAGACCTTCACACAGAATATTCCTGAGCCTCAAGTAAACTTGTTTAGAAAATATCAGCAAGTTGAGACACCTCCAAATAGGATTGAATAAAATGCTGTTCCTTTATTTCTTGCTTTTTGGATATTTATGTTTTGATAAATTCTTTTGAACTTCTGGCTTGTTAGGAAACAAGGCTTAATGAATACATGGTATCATTTTGTTTTTCTTGTGGGAAAGAGGGACAGAGAGAGTAAAACCACAGCCATGCATCAAATCTAAGTTCAATCATGTAAAATTCCTGATATGTTTCCAGCTGTGGTCAATTTGTTTGTCTCTTGAAATACTATCTGAAAAATAATAGAAATGACCTGTCAAGTAAACAGACACTAACAAATCGTAGAATAAAGAAGGGCAATTAACCCGAAATCTAAAATTAGCTTTGCTGCTTCTGGACATTTTTTGTCAACGGAAAATTGTCCAAATATGTTTGCATCAACCGACTTCTTGTAGTAGCCGCCTCCTTAATTTTGTCAACAGCTCTCTGGCCTGCTAAAGACTAAAGTTACCATCTCTGCCCTCCTCCCTCTTAACTCTTAGTAACATGGCTAATAGACTGTGATAATATTTAGTTAATAGTCCTTCTGTGCTGAAATGTGTAAAAAAAAAAAAAAAAATCTATCAGATTGCATGAGATAAGTTAAAAATTACAGGCTGCCTAGGGCATAATTCATTCAGTACTTAGCCGGGTGTTCAGGGTTGATTTGGACATTCTGATCCACCTATCTGTTTCACCTGTTGGTTGGTTAATATTATATTACCAAGAGTTTTACAAGTTCAAGGAAGAATCCAATGAAGGTTTGGAAACTTTTCTCCCCTATAAATCTACAAGAAGAAGATACCAAAGATACCAATGCAAATTAGAGCAGAAGGAGATTGAAAATTGGTTTTTGAGGAAGAGGAATGAGGCAAATAGAATCATTAAATTTTAGAACACCCCAACACCCTTCTTTGGGTACCAATAACTGGGGTGGTGCTTCTCCTATGTTAGCAAGGAACGTACCGAAGGAGTCACTGGAGCAAAAGTACTTAAGGATCAACAGCATCCATACGCGTGACAAGATCTTTCTATCTACTGATGATGACTTCAACTACTTGCCTCAGACTTGCACACCTAAGTATGAAATCCCCCAAACACCAAGTCGCAGACGTAAGGGAATTCTGTTGAAGTTTTTGTTTCCAAAGGAGGAGAAGACTGCTACCTTGGGTTCAAATTCAAAGAAAAAGATATGGTTCCCTAGATGGGATCCTAAAAATAGATGGCCTCAAGGTTGGTGTTAATTTATTCTATGATTTGTGATGCCAGAATCAACGACATGATGGTAAAACAGCATGCCGATTCGATATAGAGGAAGATTCGGATTAATTCAGTGTTAAAGTTATGGAGATAATTGGTTTATTAAGTTGGTGAAAGATGGGGGCACATAAGAATAGTTGTAAAATTTCAGAAACACTGAACTGGAGGCTTTTGGCCTGTTCTCTTCTTGTGCTGAAATCTGTGTGGACGAGTTCGTTTTGTTTAATTCCCAACGTTTGCATATATCAGTACTAAATTCATGTCTTGCTTTGTGGTGTATATTACTTGTTGTGCATGCCTTATGAAATTTTATAAAGCAATATTTTCTCTGTGATATGAAAAGGGTTTTGCTGGTTCACCCATAAGCAAACCAAAAACTTCCCATCAAAACACAAAAATCCAACTTCTCTCTTATGTTGTTCAATAATTTCAGATTTTTCTGCCTAAGTCGCAGCAATTCATTCATGGCCAAGATTTCTCCTTATCGAGAGGCAAGGAAAAAAAAAACATGTGAAGAAATAGTGGCAAATGAGTTAATGTAATTGAAACGGGAACTCAAAGGCCATGCACAGAGGAATGTGATTTCCATAGTCTAAGTAAAACTACAACAAGGTATCCTCAACGGCAGCTTTTTCCACTGTCAATCTTGCTATGATTCTTATGTGTTCATAGATAATACCGCCATGAACAAAAAGGTGATCTAATCTGGCTATGATCCCATGCCTGAAGAATGCATTATATTCAGGCTCAGCTCTGCTATTTCTCGCGGTCTGTAGCTTAAATATAAACTTATAGGTTTAACTGGACTGAATATGCATAAAACTTGCATGTAGAAAGATATTCCATGGAAACGAAATCAATAGTACTCTGGAAATGGGAAAAAAACTAAAAGCTGATATTTGATAACTTTTTCAGAAAATCATAATGTCACCAAACGGATCAAACTTGGGCATATGCTGAAGACGATGGATCCAAAAATCTAGTCGGATGTGCTCACAATGATTACTGTTCTTATCTTTCGAATCCTAAACTTGATTCTCGAAAGTGACTTGGCCTAATACAGGAATTACAACACAAATTAATGCACAAACACTATTAGCTACTATGTGAAAACTGTTCAGTTAGGTAGTAAATTAAAATATTCAGCAGCCTACAGTAGTGCATTCATTACTTCACTGCCTTCAATCCAAGCTATCCATTGAATATTCCAAAGCACGTTACTGTACTTTTATCTAAGCCTCTATGTACCGACAAGTTGTGGAGAATGACGTTGATGAAAGCCTGCAATATAAGGTGTCATATAGAACCAACACAACGGTCTCGCTAGTCGGTTAATGAGCGGAGGTCAAAGGGGCGAAGCCCTTTGTAGGGGCTCGAAAGCTGAGGTCCTGAAAGGTTTATAGAACATTGAGGTAGACGTATAAGCTCGTTAGATTTTTTTTTTTATAACTCTAATTGTTCGTACTATAAATAGAGGCAACGTCTCTTATACTTGCAATCGCCACTTGACAAAACCCAAGAAGAAATCCTAGTACAGCTTTGAAGTAGCCATCATTGTAGAATCATATAAAATCTTTATGTTGTGTCTTGTCTTTCTATTTTATTTTTTTACTTGATTCATTTACTAATAATATCTTGTTATTTCTGTTAATGCCAGAAATATATGCTTAGATTAGTAGTGTCTCTGTCTCTGCAGTAGATGTACTGAATATGGTTGAGCTTTTTGAGTCACCTGCCGAGTATAAGGCCAGCTTCAGCCTTTTACTTTGGTTCTTATGGAGATCGGTTGGTTGCTAATTATTCTGTTGAGAAGAGGATGCTGAGTTTGAAGCTTTCAAATCTATTTTTCCAGGGGTTAGGACTTGAATACAGATATCTGCTCCATGACTAGTCAGCTAAGTGCTAACCTGACAATCCATAAGGGTCTGTATGCTTTTTCTAAAAGAAATCTCTCTTCCAAGATTCAAATCATTCCTGCCTTCCTTTTTTTTTTCCTTTCAATTCGAAGATAATCCAAACGCCAACAAGTTTTTGGTTTAACAGTAAGCAAGTTGGTTCTAGACCCAATAGTAAGCGGGCTGATCCCATGCGAATTTTCTACTAATGTGCAGAGTTCGAACATTGAAATCACACTTATCAGAAGATGTTAAATCCTATCACTTTTGTTTCGAATCAAATCAGTCCTATCGACAATGAGGGATGAGAATACCTAAGTAAAAAAAAAAATCCAAACAACACTCCTCGGAAATTCACATCTCACAATGTAAAGAAATAAGTTTTGCAGACGTAAAATATATTTCTGTATTGCTGAGAGTAACTACAAGAAAGTTGTATATATATATATATATATATATATATATATATTTGTGGTAGTTTATTAGACTTTTAAGATTCTTCTCTGTCGACAATAACAGAAGTTTAAAACGAAACAGAAAGTCTGTGGTTTGGTTGCAGGATTTTCTGTGCATGATATTTAAGGGCCTAATTAATACCGCAGTCCATGTGGCATAAATTTTTTCTGTACGTAGAGAGTAACACCGACTAGTAGGTGCAGCATTAATTCTCAACAATTGATTACGTTTGTTTGGGAACCAGTTGGCTTGACGTTTGCATTTGTTTGCTTTGTATTTATTTTTGATGTAACATAAAGCCTTTGACCTTTCTATAATTCATTAAGCTGAACTAGTTTGAGGCTATGGAGAAGTTCATTTCAGGTTGGTGCGACATTAATTCCGTTCCAGAATCTTATATTTTACCACCGGAGATCAGACCGGGCAATTACGTGGTTCCTCAATGCGACACCATTCCATTAATCGATCTTGGAGGAGGTCTTCTCGGTAATTGTGATCGAGTTAAAGTAGTTCAGCAAATTGTTAAAGCTAGTCAAGAATATGGATTCTTTCAGGTTATTGATCTTTCCTCCTTACCTTTATTGTTTCCTTCACCTGAAATCATGTTTAAACTTTACATACGCAAAGATTGACACCTTTTCTTTGGCCAAAAATATTACTTAAATACACGAACAATTTTTTAATTTTAGTCTATTCCATGATCAAGAAAAATCCTAAAAATATACTTTCAAACTATACTTACTGAGAAAATACAGTTGATTAATCACGGAATTTCGGAGAAGATGATGGACGATGTGTCAAAGGTAGCCAACGAGTTCTTTGAACTGCCTGCCAAAGACAAAGAAAGGTTCTGCTCTGATGACCCGAAACAAAGTTGCCGACTATCCACAAGCATTGACTATTTTCAGGAAAAAGTACACTACTGGAGAGACAACTTGCGACATCAATGCCATCCTATTGAGGAACACATCCATTTTTGGCCCCAAAAGCCTTCTCATTATCGGTAAGCATAATTCTGCTCTTCCTAGGCCTTGTTGCAATCGAAAGTTCCGAAGCTAATACCATTGTCTTTCAAATCCTACTCTTTCAATCTTTTTGACACCACCAATCTTGCAGAAAAGTGGTTGGGAAGTATTCAGTCGAGGTTAGGAAGTTGAGCTTGTTGCTTTTGGATCTAATATGCGAAGCATTGGGACTTGAATGTGGATATTTTAGTGAGAATGCTCTAAGCCAAGTTCAATTGATGAGCATTAATCACTACCCACCATGCCCAGACCCGAGTTTAACCCTGGGATTGCCTAAACATAGTGATGTTAACCTCTTTAACATCTTGCTCCAAGGAGAAGTACCTGGGCTTCAAGTCTTGAAGGATGGGAATTGGCTTGCTGTTGAGCCTCTTCCTACTGCATTTGCTATCACCATTGGTTATATGTTACAGGTATGTACATTCCCATTTCATGCTCTTCGTCAGAGCTTACTGCTTTTAACATCGATCAGAAAAGTGTTTAGCATCCTCATGAGTTTTTCATTTTCCTTTGATGCAGGTGATAAGTAACGGGAAGCTCAAGAGTGTTGATCATAGGGTGGTCACTAATTCAAAGGTTGCACGAACAACGGTTGGCACCTGCATCTTCCCTTCCTCTGATAGCCGCATCGTACCTGCAAAAGCACTGGTTGACAACTGCCATCCTCCACTCTATAAAAGTTTCATATTCAAAGATTTTAGTGACACCTATATCTCTGATATTAGGAATGGAATACCACCAACTGAGCGTTATAAGCTCCAGCCTTGAGTAATTAATCTGGATGAATGGATCCATAGTTGATCTCTTACAGAGCCAAAAGTTGATCCAAACTTTCTGAAGTAAGCTTGAATTGCGATATGCACTTTTGCTTTCAAAATTGTAATGGACAATTACAATTGTGCGTCTTGTTACATTACAAGTATTATATATATGCGTGTAAGAAATTGTGTAATGAACAATTACATGATTAAAATTATCATGTAAGGATCTGAATGGAAAGAATTTTTCACCGCAAGGATTAAAATTTTGTTTTTAAAAGAAAATTAAGAGAAAAAAAAAAACCTCAAATGAGGACCAATTTGTAAATAAAAATACAGGTAAGAACTAAAATAAAAAAATTTAAAATAAAGGGACTAAAACTGAATTTTGTGAATGTTTTCTTTATCGTTATATTGGGTGGGAATGCCAAATAATTTGATCCCTCTACTAAAATGTTGGACATACCAACCCCTCGTTTCCAATTTGTAGATGTTTAGGTCCCTCTTGGGATTCATGCTCGACAACTCCCGCAAGTTGCTCCAATCATCGTCATTGTAATTACAAATCATAAGGTACTCTTACAAGGAATATACCGCAGTAGGTTTCCATGTTCAACCTGTGTTTTTTTTCTTCCTAGTTTAACCTCCAAGCCTTGAGTTTTTGTCACTTTCAAATATACAATATATATGACTCAATAAATATTTATTAAATATATGAAACAGACATTGAAATGAATAATAATAAAATAAATACGTATCTATTAATAAGACTTTTGAATATAAATATTCATTTTATATGCTATTAATATCAACTAATTTTTTTTAAAAAAATTAACATGCATGGAACTGGTTGCTATGTTTTGATTAAAGATCAAGATGCTTTTATCAAAACTTTGAGAATAACAAAAAAATTGTAAATAAAGAATCAAATTGTAAAAGAGAATATTAATTTTTAAGGACCCAAATGAATTTTTTGAAAATTATAAAGACTAAAATGCTATGTTTTGATGAATTATTTTTAGCCGGTAATAAAAAGACCGGTAAACAAGACATGAATTAAATATGAATTTAGAAGGTAATTTTTAATGGAGATGTAAAAAGTATTTTTATAATATATAGTGTAGAAGATTGAATTAATGGGCTGGATAAGCCCATTGCCATTCCTATTGCCTGTCATGTTGCTAATTTACTACGTGGATTCATCTGCGCATATGGCATCCTTCCCAGCCAGAGAACATTATAGACCTTGAGTTTCAATAGAAAGAACTTTCTGAACAAGATTTTTCTTGTTTGTATTTGTTTAATTCATTAAAAAAAAGGTGGAAGAGAGTTATTTTTTTTATTGTCTTCTTTTTTAACAAGGATCAATTAGGTTGCAATTGGCCAATGGCATTTGCTACATTATAGAAAGAGCTTTCCTCCCAAGGAGGAAAACAGCTTAAAGCAATCATTTTGACCTTCATTTTTCATCAATTTGAGGGAATCCAGAAGCTCATTTCATGTAGGCGTAACATTACATCCGTGCCAGAATTTTATATTTTACCACGGGAAATTAGACCTGGCAATGCTGTTGGTCCTCTATGTAAGAGCATTCCAGTGATTGATCTTGGAGGAGGTCATCTAGCTTGTGATCGAGCGAAAATCATTGATGAAATGTTAAAAGGCTAGTCGAGGATTTTGATTTTTCCAGTTGATTAATCATGGGGTTTCGGAGAAAGTAATGCAAGATGTATTGAAGGTGGGCAAGGAGTTCATTCAATTGCCTGCTGATGAAAAACAAAGATTCTACTCTGAGGACCCCAGGCAAAGTTGCAAGCTGTACACAAGCATTGACTATGTTAAGGAAAAGGTGCATTGTATGAGAGACAACTTGCGACACCCTTGTCTTCCTCTTCAGGAACATGTAAAGCTTTGGCCTGAAAAGCCAACACAATACAGGTATGCATGATTCTCCTCTGCTGAAAATTTCTGCAGTGATCATAACTAGTCTTTTGCTGTTGGCAAGTTATTTCCTTTTCCTTTAATTTTTATTCTATTGAGGTTAGGAAGTTGAGTTCGTTTCTTTTGGATCTAATATATCGAGGATTAGGACTGGAAACTGGATATTTTGAGAATGAACTAAGCCTATATCACTTGATGAACATTAATCACTATCCACCATGCCCAGATCCAAGTTTGACCTTGGGGTTCCCTAAACATGACGATGTGGGCCTCTTGACCATTTTGCTCCAAGAAGATATTCCTGGACTTCAAATCCTCGAGGATGGGATGGCCATATGTTACGGATATGTACATGCCCATTTCTCTTTTGTTCTGTTTATGAAAGATGATCAGCTTCGGCCCATTCTAGTCCAGGAAATTGAACATCAAGAAGACAAATTTGCCATCTTTAATGCAGATTATTAGCAATGGGAGACTAACAAGTGCGGACCGTAGCGTTGTCACCAATACAAAGGTAGCGAGAACAACTGTTGGCAGCATCATCAATCCTTCCTCTGAAAGCTATATTGAACCTGCAAAAGCACTGACTAGCGACTGCTGTCCTCAACTCTATAAAACTTTTGTGTTCGAAGACTTTCTTCATGCTTTTATTGCAAATACTAGTAATGGGATATCGCCTCTCGAGCGCTGCAAGCTCCGCAGAAAATGGGTTTTGCCTATATATAAATTTTTTACTTAATTTGAAAGATAATTATTAAATTAAGTTAAATTTTTTAATTTATTGATTCTTATTTATATCATCTCCATTCTTCATTAAGTCATTTTTTTGCAACATGCCTCTAATTTAACTTATTTTTTTCATAAATTATTAATAAACCATTTCTCAATTATGACTTAAAGTAAAAAAAAATATTTTTCGATTATCACACAGAATAAAAAATATATATTTTTTATAAATCACGGGAGTGATGTCAAATGGATTCTTAATATAATACTAAGTTACTTATAACCAATTAATTAAACTGAAGTTTTCGTCTACTAATATATCACGAAAGCAAACCTTTCTTGCATGCCATGCAGTGAAACAGTCCATTTTTTTCAAAAAGCACCAAAAGATGAGCCATTTATATACATAAAAAATACCCATAAATAATCTAGGTTAGAAGAGGCTGGCTTGAGTAAAAAAAACTTTAATTGATTAGTTAAATAGTTTCGATTTTGAATTTTTATATAAACAGAATTTTTTAAATAATTATATTTATTTTGTACATTCAATCAAATAGCAAAAAATGAATTTAGATTTTTGAATTTGAATTACTCTACAAATTGAAAAAAAAAAAAAAAAAGCCCATAAGTTTAAGTTTTCGTCTACTATTATATCACGAAAGCAAGCATTTCCTTTCGTGCCGTTTACTGAAACATTTCTTTTTTCTTTTTTTCAACAAGCACTAGACCATTTCACAAGGTGTTGGCGGTTGGGCTCCTTGCTGGGGATTTCTTATTTCGTAAGCTGGAATTAAACTCTTCAATCTTACATTAGGCCTCCATGGCAGACCTCGTGCACCCTATTTTAGCCTGTAGCCTTTTCTGCCAGCCCAAAATCCCAAAAGCCATTCAGTTCAAACCAAACACACACGTTGTTTCAAGACTTATTATTCAGGTTTGGAAATCAAGGGAAGGCAGCAAGGAAATATCACTAAACTTCACATCTCAAAAATGGACCCAAATCCTCTACAAATTTTGTACTTAAAACTTTTAGAGTTAGTGAAAATGAACTCCCTTTTCCCATCGAAAATAAAGAATACTGGGTTTTAAGCTATGACTTGGTTTGGTAGTGGCAAAACTTTTAAACCTGAAATCGATGTTTTTGTTTCAACAAACTGCCTCACTTACACAAACACTTGTGCAGAACACGTTCTGATTTGACTCGAGAAAAAGTAAAATGGATGATTTTTTTCCTATTCTTTACTTACACACACGCGCGCAATATGCTCAAAAAAATGATTTTGGAAGTGGACAGCACTTCAAGCTTTGCCTCCTACTAGCAGTTGTTTGATGACCATATTTTCCTACCAATGTCATGGAATGCTTCATTTTGATTGAGAAAAGGCCAAGAAGAAAATTCTGTTGGATTTTAGTGGCTAACTACTACCCAACTTTATGTTAGTCTATTTGAATAAGGCCACTAAGCCCACCTTATCTTCGAAGTGTACAAATTGGATTAAGCACCTAATCTTACCAGAATTACTTGAGGCTACAAAACATTCTGGAGTGTGCCTTATTCACATGGTGGGTATAAAGCACTTCTATCATACAGACTTATTCCTTTAAAACAACTTTGAACTCTTGACTTCTCCTGACCTCTGTATCACTCAATATCATATTCGGTCAAGAACTTAATTAGAATTGCATTGATTTCATGATCTTAGCATTCACTCAAAGATTAACCTTTTTAATGACAAGAACCCACAAGGGTTTGGACTGGCATCAACCCATTAATTACAATGATCACATGAAACAGAAGTTGAACCAGTAGAATACGACAGGCTGCATTACTTTTGGCTTGTACCTTTGGTTCTTTGTACTTTTATCTCCCAAAATCAATGGCTTTTTACCCCAGATTGGAACCGTAAAAACAGTCAATTGATTCTGGACCGTTCAATGCATGACAATGGTTTGCAGCCAGGAAACCATTTGTGATCAGGCAGCAACTTGATCACATTTATCTTTCTTAATCTTTTTCATCAATCAAGGTACGTTGCCTTTGCTTGAGGAATTCAATTCAATCAAACCAATCATGGACTTGCATATATTTTATAGTCGTAGTAGGGAAAGAGGCTTTACTAGCTAAAATTCCTTTTGGTGCTAATGATCATTAGATTCCTCACATTAGATTTCTTGGGGCCACATGACTGAAGCTGGGTTATAAGAAAGGGTGGCAAAAAAAATTGAATCTGACATAGTTTGAGGCCAAGTTGACTCTTGGTGAAAGTTCGCAACTTTTTCTTCTTTACAATCCTTGTTTCCTAACAAAGATGGATATAGTTTATTCAGGTAATGGCCACTGGTGTCACATACACATCATATGCAGGAACAATGTACTTGAAAATGGGTCTTCCATTTTCACGCCCATCTATATTGACTGAGAGATGCATAGTGAGAAAGATATCATCAACCCATTACTCATGAGTGTGAAGACTAGCAAGTCACCCTCCTAGATTACATGTTAGTGAAAAGCTAAGCTACAAAATCTAGCAAGGATGATTTGGTTCCCAATCCTCATCTGAGAGAGAGTAAAGAAAAGAAAAAGAAAAAGAAAAGTAGGAGATGATAGAAATGATAAAAGGTGGCCTTGGAGTTCGAATGCAAGATGGAAGGAACAGCAAAAATTGGTGACACCATTAATTGCTTAAAACTTCATTATTTGCAGCATTGCATAATATTTACCTCATAAGGGAACGAGACCATGTAGTGGGATTTACTCAATAAGAAATTGAAGTTCTTTAGGAAATAGGGAAACAGATCATTCTTCTTTGTCCTTTAGCATTTATCATCCTACTCATTTCTTTACTGTTCGGTATATATGAGAAAATGACATGTCATTTTTCATCACTATAAAACTCAGCTCAGTCATTCAGAATTCTAGTTGACTTCTTTCCATGAGCATCTTTCACCCCATCCCCCACAAAAAAAGGGGAAAAAACCCTCAGCAAGCATTAAATATTCGATAGTGAAATAAGTCTCGACCAAAATTGTGGACCGTCCAAAGCATTTCATGAATCTTTTTACGATTTAATAGTAAAAATTACTCTTATTTTATTATAATTTGACAATTTTAGGTTTTTATTGTCAATTTAAGTAATTTTGAACATCAAAATATCGATTTTTGAATAAATTTTATCTAAATCTATTTATTGTAACAGTAAAACCAGTTGATCATTCATTTTTTTTTGTTGTTATTTTTTAAAATGTTAAAAATATTTTTCATTCATTTTTTAAGAGAGATTTTATCTATTTAAATTTAATTTATATTAATCCATTTGATTTTTCATAGTCAATCAAATTGTTATTTTATATAATTTTTTAAAATAACTTTTATGTATTATCATTATCCATTAAAATAATCAACTTTTATAATTAATAAAATGTAAATATCTATTGATTGAATTCGATCAATTAAAATTATTAAATAATTAATTTTAATGAAATTTTTCTTTTGTCATGTTAATAAATTTATTCTTATAATTGTCAATAATTAAATTTTAAATATATATGTATTTATTTAATTTTTTTTTATCTTCACATGGTTTATAGGATTTTTTTTTCACAACTGATTCAAATATATAATATGCATTTAAAACTCGTTAGAGTCAAAAAACCTTTTTTAAAATTTTTTCTAATTTTTAGCTTTTTGAAGACATGTTTAAAAAGTGAAAGCTCTTTTTCATGGAGAATAAAAAAAAGGTTTAGCTATAAATTTAATGAACTTATTTATTTATTTATTTATAAGTAAATGAATGAAAAAGAAAATCTCTCTTGAAAAAGAAAGGAAAACATTTTTTACATTTTTTTTAAATTAATAAAAAGATAATAGCAGAAAAAAATTAACAATCAATTAGATTTGCCGTTATGATTAATAACTTTAGATAAAATTTATTTAAAAACCTGATATTTTGAAATTTAAATTATATAAATTGATAATAAACCTATGAAATTCAATAGAAAAGAGACAATTTTTGCTGTAAAACCATCTGTTTACTATCAGATTATAAGAAAGACAATGGTCAAAAATTTATATCATGATCTAGATAAGTTGCAGTGTTGACCTAGGTAGAAAATTTTAGGAAAGAGACAAGTGGAGAACAGACAGTCCTCTTTGCTGGAAATTTTGAACCAAGTACTTGTCCTAGGCCACCGCACCGTCATTATTCTTCATGTTCAGGTCCAAATCTTAATTATTTCCCACAAAAGAAAAAAAAATCAATTTAAAGAATTCAAGAAATTAGTTAAACAAAGTACAGATTGGATTTTTGCGAGTATAATTTTGGTGAATTCAAATTTGAATAAATACGATTTACTTTTTTTTTTTTTTTTTTTGACAAAAGAGATGCTCAAATTGATAAGTTAATTGTTGATGTGAGTGATTTACTTTGATCAAAATAAGAAAATCAACATAATCTAAATATTGGGAAAAAAAAGAAGAAAAGAAAAGAAAAAGCAAAACTAATGAAAAGTAACCATAAAAGACAAGTGATACACAATTGAGTAAAATCATGATTATGCCTAACAAACTTGGCAGTGAGGTAGGGTGAACTCTCTTGATTTACTTCCGACAAATTGAATCTTTAGGATAAAAAAAAAAAAACAACGGTAGGTGATTGTTTTGGATTATTGATCATGTGATGATTTTTTTTTATTATTATTTTTTTACTCTTTCTTGTTTGCGTTTTTGTATTGTTGCTCTTGATGATCGACAAATACATGGCCCCCAGCTCCAATCCCTAATAACTAGAAGGACGTGAAAAATTAAATAAATAAATAACAGAAAATGATTAGAAATCAATGGCAATAATAATCACTCACAGATCCCACTGTTAGAACACAAAATCATGGGATTCGGACAATGATGTTAAGCTGGTATGGTGCAGGAAACATTTGTTCATAAATATGTCATAACATCATAATACACAATTAAACTCAAAATGGAGCCATGCATCTAGACAAACTTGCATGAATGCTTTTTTTTTTTTTTTGCAATTTAGTAGGTAGCTCGATCCATTTTTGTTAGATAATAATATAAATTATATTCTTAGATCTTACCTAATAGTTTAAGCTTTTGAATGAGATGATCATTTGATATGACATCGAACTTTATTAACCCAACAATAAAGAGTTCGAACCCTATCATATCATTTTTTGTTTTAATTGATTAAACATAAAACATCGTAAAAAAAAGAAAAAAAATGATATCGGACACACGACTACCCTGTTAGGTTTTAGTTTTGTGGATGGATGCATCATGGAGGAGCCATACTAGTTCAATCATCGCTCTCAAATGCCACTCAATGAGCATCAACAGGGAAGTTGTGGAATAAAAAGGAAGAACACCTCTCAATCAATCTCAAAATTCAACTCCAATCCCGATTTTTATTTCTTTGTTGGAAGTTATATGGTGTGAATGGGGACAATGGCAATGCAAGAGTGTTGTAGGTGTCACAACTTTTTTGGCAATAAAATGATTGTGGAAAATGGGCATGAGAGGGGTAAGTTGATTGGGTTTAAAAAGGGTGATTGAGAAATGTATGGGAAGGAAAGAAAGACAAGTCCCTCCTCAAAAAACATGAAATTGTATGTAAAGATAAGAAGCATTTTCTTCACTTGGACATCATTTTGTTGGCCATAAAATGACACTACCTAGAAAGTGTACTCATAGCATAACCCATTTTTGGTTGATCTTTTGATCCATAAATAATACCCCTCAAAACCCTCCAAACTCTAATCTTCCAACCCCATTTACCATCTTCTATCCTTTTGTGTGTGAAAAAAATGGAATCAACAAACAAGGAGAGGTTTAAAGTGCGCATCATGATGCGTAGGATAAGAGATGATGCACTTGCACACGACACCGAGGTGTGAAACGACACCTGTCTGGAACCGTTTTGAATGAATTCCTTTTTTTTTTTTTTTTGTCAAAAAAGCTAAAGTGAACAGTGTGCGCCAAATAGCGGCTCCGGTTACCATCTGTATAAGAAAGAGTCTAAGCTACCGAAAAAGAAACACAAATTAAAGCCATTGAGGCCTCTCTCTCACTAGAATTTTTTTTTATAAGAAAAGAGTGATAAAAGAAAGAAAAAAGCTTCTTTTCACTCTTTTATGTATCTTTGCCATGAAAAAGCATTGAATTTCTGAACTTCATCAGTTCTCATTTCTCTTGGCCACAAAGACTCGAACTTTACTCTTTTTTGAACAATCTAAAACAAACCCTTCATTTCCCTGTTTCTTTTCTCTACTGTTTCGGGTTCAGTGGAATCAAATTCTGCGTTTGAGAATCAGAAAATCATTCCCAATTCACCGTGTGTTTTCTCAAAATTGAGGTCAGAATTTGAGTGCGATCCATGTCGTCTGATATTAGCTAGACTTCAATACAAAGTTCCCATTTTCAATTGGTTTGATTTTTGAGAGTGTTTTTAGTTCAATTTTACTAAAATTCATGGCTAAACACAGTAAATGTTGCTCCTTTGAAATCTTTGTTTCTGATCTTGAAAGTTCGAAGCTTTATAGCTGTTGTTGTTTTAATTTGTGAGTTTTTTAGGTTAATTTTTTGTTGAATTGGGTGTTAGTGAGTGAAAAGAGGGTGGTGTATGAGTAAGGGAATGGGTAGAGATCGTCTGCTTTGGGCTACAGTAGGACCACCGATAAAAGCAAGAGCTGGGTTAAGGAGAAAACAGGCAGGAAGAGGATCTTATAGAGGAAGCTAGCTAAGGTGAAATTAGGGTTTTTGTTTTGAGGGTGAGGGTTTTGTTTCACTAACAAAAGTTGGGTTCTTGGTGGTGGAATTTGCACTGAGGAGCCTTTGAGTTAGGAGTTTTGGGAGGGGGAGGGGGCAGGATGGGGATGGGTACTGACTTGCATAATACTTTGAGGAGCCTCTGCTTCAATACTGATTGGAACTATGCTGTTTTTTGGAAGCTTAAACATCGTGCTCGCATGTAAGTTACTTCATTTCTGTTCCATTTACGCGGTTAGTTTATAATTTAGTTATGTTTTAGCTGGTGTGCTTGGCTGGTTAATTGTGACGGGGAAGTGTTTATGATGAGTTTAAGGACATAAATTGTTCCCTGAATTTTTTTGTCTCTCTCTTTTTAATTCTTAATATTTAATAGGGTGTTAACTTGGGAAGATGGCTACTATGAAAATTGTGACCAACATGATGCTTTAGAGAACAAGAGCTTCAGTCAGACACAAGAAAACATGCACGGTGGGCATTATCCGCGTGACCTGCTTGGATTGGCAGTGGCAAAGATGTCTTATCATGTATACTCTCTTGGGGAAGGGTACGAGTTTTTCACTGATGGATTTTGCTCCTTTGTTTTTTAAACTGTAAATTGTTTTAGGAAAGTGTTTTATTTGAGCATGCTTCATATTACTTGCTCTCCGTTTGAATTATCCATGCTTTTTTTTTTTCTTTCTTCCCAAGTATCCAATTAATAAAGCAAAATTTAATTTAAAAAATGTTTGGTCAATCGCTTTTGAAATATGCCTGTGCTTATCAGGATGTTTGAGTTGGATTCATGTTTGGTTTTACAGGATAGTTGGACAAGTGGCAGTCAGTGGTAAACATCAGTGGATCTTTGCAGATAAATATGTTGCAAGCTCCTACTCATCATATGAGGTAAGGATATCCTTGAATTGTAACTGTAAATCATGCTATTTTATATATTCCTAATTGGAGAATGTAACAATGTATGTACAATGCAGGATTAGTTTTTTGCTTCTTGTCTCTTTCCTTTGGATTCTTATATTTTGTTCTTCTTTTCATGGGTTGTAATTTTTCCAGTTCTCCGATGGCTGGCAAAGTCAGCTTTCTGCTGGGATCAAGGTATGCCTGCTTTATTTTTCTTTTTTTCTATAGGTCAGTGATGTTTTCCTTGGTGATGGTCATAATGATATGGGATAAAAGCCTTTTCTGAGACTGAATAACCATATAACTTCATCTACTTCTCGTGACATTACAAGTTTTTTGGTTCATGTCTGTAAACATGACTCTGTGGGCCAGGATGAATTCACTACTTAAAATTTGCTTTTAATGTTTCCATATTGACTTGAGAAAAAAAAAAAAAACCCCCACTAAAACCAATAGTATTTCTTGTGTGAATATACCAGTATGTATTCCAATGCTTGCTTTTACCTGTTCATTCATGAGTCAATGATCATCTGCTTCTGTGTGTTGAGATTGATATAAGTGGGACACAACTCATAATTTCTGTTAAATTCTGTTTAATCTGATGTCTGATATAATTCATGCTTTTCTTGTCCTATGGTGATTGTAGATCGATGCCTCTACTCTGAAACAAAAAAATTGTTTGGGTTTTCAGCGTTTCCTTTTTGATGGCCTATGTTTTCACATCCTTTCTTTCTACTAACTAAAATAAGCTGTTATATTGATGCAATTGTTTGTTTTTCTCTGCAGACCATTGTTGTTGTGGCTGTGGTTCCATATGGAGTTGTACAGCTTGGCTCTTTAAATAAAGTAATACAATTTCTGAGTAACTCATTTATCACTGCTAAGTACATGCGTGGTTAAATGATGCCTTGAACCAAATTGATGTTTGTAGTGTTTTTTTTTTTTTTTTTTTTTTTTTTTTTTTTTTTTGAGATTCATTGGAGTATAAGGCATTTCTGCCCTGGTTGTGGTCCACATTTTTAGATATCTACTAGGCTGTTGTAGGCATTCAGAGTCATAGTGGTAAGCTGACATCTGTATTTGGTATGCAAAGACTAAGGTGTGGTGTTTATTTTCTGTTTAAGATTTTTTCAACTTGAAAAGTAGTTGAAGGAGAGTCTAGTTATGTCTCAAATCCTAACATGGCCTGAGCTAATGTTTGTCCGAGTTGTAGCTAGAATTGCTTTTTATTTACTCAAGGCCTCTCTCACATGGCCTAATATTTGATTGGGAGCATGGCCTTTAGACCTTGCTTTCTTGCAAGGGAGCATACACTCCCAAAAATTAATGTACCCATTAGCCATGACCTGCATCCATCCCAGTTTAACACTCTCCTTAGATGTGGTGCTGCTCAGACCAAGCCATGCTAGCTAGCCAAGTGTAACGGGCTCCAATACCATTTGTAATGTTTTGAGCTCATCATCCAAAATTTTTAGTTGATATGGAACTTGGGGAGTGTTACATTTCCTCTTTATTTGTTGAAAATATCTTGCAAAATTGAGCCTTTTGAATTAATTTCATCATCACATGTTTGGTGTAACACGGGTTAATTGGTATCTAATGTGTTAAATTGTGCTCCAAATTTATTAGTTTGTCATCTACACATCATTGCCACCTAAATTTGCTTTTCTGTTTACATTTGGGTTGGGCAGGTTATTGAGGATATGAATCTGGTGACTTATATTAAAGATGTCTTTTTCGCCCTTCAAGATTCCCCAGTTGGGCATGTTACTAGTCCATTACAACATACTATAAACAACGCATTATGTTTGGTAACTCTCTCTCTCTCTCTCTCTCCCTTGCCCTCTGTGTGTGTGTGTGTGTGTAGACATGCTTGTGGATAGGCATGTACGCACTGACATCTATAAAGTAGTATTGTCTCAACAGAAACTTAGTTATAATTCTTACATTTCTTCCTTTCCTGGTATTCATCAGAAAACAGCAGATGAATTGAGATATAAACAAGGAGCACTTGAAACATCGACAACAAAAAATGATGAAAGCATCAAATTACTTCATCTGAGATCAAATGCTTCCTATTTGGATCATCGGAGTCAACTAGGGATGAAAATAATTAGTGACCAGATGTATGGAGGGGAGACTAATGTCTGGAAAGACTCGGGTCGGGGATCAGAACACAATATGACTACGCATTCAAATAGTGTTATGAAGGAGAGCGTTAATCTATCTGATCTTATACTTCCAAATGAAAAGCTTGGAGCTGATCTTGCAGGCTTCGCTGCCGACCTCTTTGACTCCACCATTTGTGACAGAGATAAGTCAGATGGCATTAAACTTCATCCAAATGCGATGTTAAAGGCACCTGAATCTTCAGACATAACATTCAAAAATGATTTGGAGAAAAAGTTGGACCATCAAGCTGAATCAACTCACTTCAATGACTCGGACACATTTTTCAAGTTCTCTGCTGGTTGTGAGTTGCTTGAAGCTCTGGGGCCATCTTTCATGAAAAGGTGTATGCCCTTTGATTATCAAGCAGGGAAGAGTGTAGCTGGAAATATTTTTGAGATGCCAGAGGAGATGAGTAGCAGCCAGATGACATTTGATTTTGGCTCAGAGAATCTTTTAGAAGCAGTAGTAGGCAATGTTTGCCATAGTGGCAGTGATGTCAAAAGTGAGAAATCAGGCTGTAACTCTGTCCAGTCTCTGTTAACAGCAGAGAAAATGCCAGAGTCTTCTATTCAGACTGAGTATATCATCAATTCAGCAGGCTGTTCAATTAATCACTCCTCTGTAGTTGAAGAGGATGCACAGAATTTCTCTAATTCAACAGAAGTGTGTGGTGGAATGTCTTCTAAAGGATTTTCATCAACCTGTCCAAGTACCTGTAATGAGCAGTTGGATAAGCGTCCAGAACCTTCTAAGAACAACAAAAGAAGGGCTAAACCTAATGAAAATTGCAGGCCTCGGCCAAGGGACAGACAACTGATCCAAGATCGCATCAAGGAGTTGAGAGAGCTTGTGCCCAATGGATCGAAGGTAACTTTTCCATGGTTGAGCTGGTTTTTTGACGGTTTTGTAGTCACATTTCCTATTTAGGGAATTTTTTTGCACTATATGTTCTGAAGATTTTGTTATAAATTTGTGCAGTGCAGTATAGATTCGTTGCTGGAGCGCACAATCAAGCATATGCTCTTTCTAGAAAGCATTACAAAGCATTCTGACAAGCTCAATAAATGTGCGGAACCAAAGGTAGGTCTGAGACATGTTCCCTGCAAGGGCCTTGTATATGTGATCAGTAACTTGGTCACCTCCATATGTTTACTGATGGAAATATAAAATTCCAAATCCTCCATTCATGTTGTTGTTAGTAATTTGTGGAGCTTGCTCTCTGTAAGGAATTTAGGCCAATAATGCTAATTTGTAACTTTTGTTATCTATCTATTAGTTGATAGTATAATTATTGTTCAAAATTGAGTGCCATGCTTCAGTTTGCAGTCTTTGCTGCCAGATATTTTTTTTTCCAATCAACTTAATATTTAATAAACAGCAACTTGAACCATATATTTCATCGGCTGAGCATAACATCTGAATGGCTGAATTTGCAGATGCATCAGAAGGGAACAGATGCTTCCAATTGTGAACAGGGTTCGAGCTGGGCAGTGGAGGTGGGAGGCCATCTAAAGGTCTCATCAATAATAGTAGAAAATCTAAACAAAGCCGGACAGATGCTTGTAGAGGTAAATACATGTTGGGTCTGTAAATTTTCAGTTAGGTCTGTTATTTTTTCAAATGGAAACTCCAAAAATGTTATCTTCATAGATGCTTCTCTGTGTTCTCCCTTTTGTTTGAGGTTTGCAGCCACTAATTTGTCATTGTTTTTGTTTATTTCTCAAACTTAAAATTATCTTTTTGATATATGCAGATGTTGTGCGAGGAATGCAGTCATTTTCTTGAGATAGCAGAAGCTATCAAAAGTTTAGGTCTGACAATATTGAAAGGAATTACAGAAGTGCATGGCGAGAAGACATGGATATGTTTCGTGGTTGAGGTATGTCTGAAATGTTCTGTAAGAATTATCTATTAATGGGAATGAGTCTTAATGATTTCCTTAGAGGATATCTGAATTATATATCAAAGCGATGGGTTCTAACATTTATAGATCTCTAACCTACTCTATCCAACAAACTGCTATGTTGTTTATTTTTCCTTCTTTAATCAGTTTGGGATTTTTGAATCATTCAGGGGCAGAACAACAGGATTATGCATAGAATGGATATCTTATGGTCGCTCGTGCAAATATTGCAGCCCAAGAATACAAACTAATCAATAACAAAGGCTGGTCAGCTCTTGCAGTTTGTCGAACTGCTCCTGTGTAAAATAGTGAGTGATTTGTGGTCTTTTATTGACATTTTTTGTGTGTTCCCATTTGAATCCCCTCTTTCAAAAAAGAAAAGTGCAGAGGAGGAAAAAGAAAGCTAGTATTTCTGGAAGAGCCTTCTATTTTTTCAGTTTGAGAGTTTGTGGATTGTTTTCTCATCTCCAATTCACACAAACCTATTATTTGTTTGCAAATTCCGTCGTGTGATAATATACATAGTGAGTGATTGGCAGTGTTTAGTCGTTCTTTCCTAGTTTCAGCCATCTCATTTGCTGAAGATCTTCAGAGCGCTTGAAAAATTTGCTGTAGTCCTTGTATTGCCATAAAAGAGCTGTCAAAAGGACTAGAAAACAGATAAAAAAAACCAGATAAAATGATGTGAAATATGCTATGGTGATTGGATAACTTTATTATAGATAAATTTGCCCCAGGCATATAATAATTTGGAGCAACTCTTGTGAATGGTAGAAGTGCCAATTACGAGTCCCCTCTCCCAAGAAACTCTCAAAATAATATTGCAGATGAATCTAGTTAACTTCTATTCTTCTGTGGAAATTGTGAACCAACTCATGCTCGTTTAAAATGAGGCAGGGCAGAGTTACCGTCTGATCCTTTGGACTTGTAGTAAGCCATAAATTCGGCAAACTGTACTTCCCTGTACATGGGTGGGTTATCAGATAGAAGTTCCTTTATGGCCTTGTATGGTTTACAATCAGCGGCTGTACTTGGATAGAGAAAGCATGCAACTGCTGCCCGGCCTCCGACCTCTCCAACTCGTCCTCTGTGCTCCACGCTTTTAAATTTCTCATTGGTGATTATCTACATATATAAATGGGCTAAAAATCATTAATATTTTTCTTTTTCAAAAGAATAATAATTATAAAAAAAAAAAGAAAGAGACGGAGCACTTTTTCTTACAGACATTTTTGTTTAACCACAGATTCGTCCTGAGTTGTGAATTTCTTGCATAACCTCTACTATATACTCCATTAAAATGGTCCCGCAAGTTTTTTGATAGGAAAAGAAAATAACGGAAGAAATATCTCTGTCACGAGCGAGGCATTTCTTTTTTGAGCTTTTAGGTTTTAAATGCATTTAAGTCTGGGATTAATTTCAAACTGGAGGTGAGGATTGCTCCATTGAAACAATCTGACTCAAACGGAAATATTGCTCAAAACTATTCTTATCGTTTAGAAAAATTAAATTTACCTGCATCATGTCTCCGATATTGACTATAAAAGCTCCATGTATAGGGGGAACGTCAATCCATTCATTTTGATCAGTGAGAACTTGAAGGCCACCCATGTCGTCCTGCAGGAGTATAGTCACGAAGGAGGGGTCGGAATGCTTAGGTGCGCCTAGTGTTTTGTTCGGCTCAGGACAAGCTGGGTAGTAGTGGCACAGGAATGATTCAGTTTCCATGCATTCTATGCTTGAAAGGTAGGTAGTCGCTAGGATGCCTCTGATAGCAGTTCAGATAGTGTCTTGCTCAGTCTTGTTATGTGTTTGACATATTCACTAATTGCATCCCTGCAAACCGAATTACATACATCACAAATCCTCTCGAGAGTCGCGTTTAATTTAGAAAGGCTGTTTTGGGTCTTGCAATAATATACCTGCCTATCTGAGGATAGAGTCCAGGGTCCAGTTTTCCGTCGGGTAAATCAAATGCCAGGCTATCTCTCCAGCATGCTGGTGCTTTATTCCAAAGGAGATCACCATTGCAGAAGTACCTGACTGGTTTCTCAGTGTCGCGCGAGTACCACTCCATCTTTAACTCCTGGGATTGCTCATGGAATCGTCTCACGCCAGCTAGCATCTCGCCCATAACACCAACTGGAACTCCATGGTTAACCAACTGCATGAACCCCCATGTTTCCGATGCTCTGCGAATCTCTTCGACTACTTCCAATCGTCTTACGACTTTCAAAGCCTTCAAGGTCTATCACTGGAATTTGGAGAGCAATATCACTGGTATTCTTCGATGAACTTTGAACATTTTCTGGTGGGTGGATAAAAACCCTGGGGATCTTGGTCGCACCAGAGTCTAGTAATCCTTTAACACAGGCTTTTGTTTCGTCTACTTCCTTAGTTTTATCAGAGCTGGACGCATCTCCAGGAATGAAATTTGCAGTAAAATTGGTCATGACTTCCATGCTTGCAACAATGTGTGGGAAATTAGTGAGAGAGAGACTTGCTTCCAAATAGAGTTAAATGGTGGGAATTATTATATAGTAGCTAGTTTAATTAATATATGTATATTTTTTTTACATATAGAAAAGTATTGTTTCCTATATCTCTTATATTTCTCTCTATTCTTGATCACAGGATCAAATTTACACTTCATCTCAATTAAGTTTTATTTGGTGTTATCCACCAACAAAAAAAGGCTTGATTTGGTATTGTTATGTACGTGAAGAAAAGGAAAATTATATTGATAATGTGAACATGAAATGGATTACATAGCTTTTCGTACACTTTATACAATGAATACAATAAAAGATTATAGAATTAAATCAAATAATATTAAATTACAATCATTAAAAATTCGATCTCTTATTAATTTCTTTTAATTAAGATACTTTGTTTCTTTTCTTGGTTGATTCGAACTGCTATATATACAATAATTTTTATATTATATTCTTTATCCTCAAATTTATAGCTAGAGATTTGAAATAAATCTGGATAGGTTTGACAAGTTCAAAAAAAAAACATTGGATTGGGCTTCACCTCTTTTGCTTACATGAATGTTATTCAGAATTTTAGGTTAGAGATTTAATGAGGAATAAATACATACATATATGATAATTGTCAATTGAATCACATGAGAGAACATGAATCAGTACATTCATGCATATTTATACATATTTATTCATTACATGAATGGTAGATTCATGTATATAGATATTTATTTATTACATGAATGGTATATGGATATTCATTCATTATTTTATAACAAGGATGATAAAAAAACTACAATAATAATATCTCAAATGCTAAAAAAGAAGGAATTATTGAAAAAAAACATGGAATAAGATATATATAGTTGACAAAAAGAAAGAAAAAAATATGGTGGGATAATATTAAAGCAGAGGCTGCCTGCTAGAAAAGCCGAAGTTAATATTTATTGCAAGTGACAATTGATATGTCTTGGTAATATAATTTCCAATAAATTAGATAGTTGAAAGTAAATTTTATTTAAATTTAAAATTTTATAACATACAGTCGATTCTCAACTTTATATATTTTAGTGTAATTTTTTTAACTTTTCAACGTAGCATATGTTTTTTTAACATTCTTTCTTGCTAACAGAATTTTTGTTGGATTGTTAAATTTATTTGAGACTTTGATACTATAGAGAAAAAGATAAATCCACATGTACAATGTGAAAATGAAATGGATTACATAGATTTTCACAAATTATATAGTAAATACAATAAAATATTATGAAAACAAATCAAATCAAATTAATATTCGATCTCTTCTAATGAGGATATTTTGTTTTTTCTTGGTTGATTCTCACTATTGTACATATTATCTAATCTTATGGGAAAAAAAAAAAAAATCTATTCTAGTCATGACTCCACAACTCATACTTACAGAATTAGGTTCCACTTTTTTTTTTTTTTTTAATTAACGTATAAAGATTTATTGTTTCCTTGTCATCACCTTATGTCTTATATTTCTCTCTATTCTTGACCGGATCAGACTTACACCAATCTCGATTAAGTTTCATATGGTGTTCTACAACAACAAAAAAAGGTTTCATATTCTATAATGGTAGGCCGGAAAAACCAAATCAATCAAACACATTTACACCTAAAAAACAAAAACAACTACATTAGCAAGACAAGGCTAGGACCAAACTTCTTCCGAATTTTAATTTATTTAAAAATCAATTCTTAAATTTTAATTTATATTTTGACTTTTTAAAACTTTATTTTTTTGAGATTTATTCCAATTTTTTTAGTTTTTTGTCATTTATTTTAAAAAATAAAAATTACATAAATAGTCCTATAATGACAATCATTCACTAAGATTTATTTGGAACTTCTTAAAAAATTTAGAATCATTATGAATTTTTTATCTTGAAAAATTCTTGAATTTTTGTAGAAAATACATTGCATTTTTTCAATGTTTGCACAAAATTTTAAATTAAAACACCAAGAATTGATTTTTTAAAAAGAAAGATGTGATAACTGAAAATCATAAAATGAATTAAATCTAAAAATAAAAAAATTATGAAAGTCAAAATATAAATAAAAATTCAAAAATTGATTTTTAAATGAATGAAAATTAAGGGAAAATTTGGCTGGGGGTGTTTTACCTAGGTATCTCTATTCTTCATTGGAGATATGATTGATATTATTTAGAGCAAAAACGATAAAATTTAACTTCTTCCAATAAATATAATTTCAATATTCGAGTCTTACACATTAACAAAAAATTTGTTTAAAGATCAACTCGATTACCACTAGAGCAACTTTCTTGTGGTCAATTTTGGTATTTTTTTTGGATCTCCGAGGTATCCTAGGACTAAAAATATGGACTAATTTTTTAATATTCTATCTAATATACAAGAAAAGGACAACTATCTAAAGATTTTTTTACATACAAAAGTACTTAAACTCAAAATTCATTTATTTAAATGATACGTCTTTTTTGGCCTTTTAATATGCAATACAATAATAATAAAAAAAACTTTAATTAAAATACTTCTTTATTGCTACGCAATTAGTGTTTTTCATCTCAATCATGCTGAATTGATAAGTGATTCCTATTGTAAAAAAACTCAGTTGTGGGACCAACATACACATATTTTGCCAACTGGCTTTCAAGTGAAATGTGTTACAGCCAAATCCCATTCCTTATTCTATCCAGGTTTTGCTTCTCTCATTCTTTTCAGATTTTCTTTCAACATCAGCATCTCGGATCAGATTATCCATCATAAAATTGGTTAGTAATTTAGGATTCAACGCACCTGCACCTATGACCTCACACTCAAGCTCCTTAAATTGACACTCAAACGCATTTTTAAAGGTCTCTGCTGGCCCTGAGCTCCTAATTTGATGCTCTAGCTAGGACCAGCAGTAAAAACCAGCTAAGAACAAAAGGGCTTCATGGGATCAAGATTTTTCGATGCAGATGATTTCAATTATGTTCATTACAGAGAAAATGGATTAAATTTTCAAACAAGCACTGCAGTAGATCGAAATTGAGAATTTGCGTCAAGCATGGACCTGGGGTCTCATGCCAATCTAAAATGAGAAAGGTTTGAGCTGCCATCTAAAGCTCTGGACCCGACGTAAGCCATATATTCTTTCATATTGATTTCCCTGTATGCTGGTGGGTTGTTGTCAGATAGAAGCTCCTTGATTGCCCCGTATAGTTTGGAATTATAATTTGCAGTACTTGGATAGAAAAGACATGCAACTGATGCCCGGGATCGAACTTGTCCAACAACAACTCTATGCTCCACGCTTTTGAACCTGTCATTGCTGATAAGCTGCAAAATGGAGGAAACAACATTAATAAGTTCATAACTTTTATTAAACTTTTTTTTTAATTTTAAATGGTGGATCATATGATATTGTGAGGTGTTTAAAACGGGTTCCTCAATTTATATGATTTTGTATTAATTAATTAATTAATAATCTAGTGCAAGTGGATGTTCAAGTCTTGAGCTAGGGAGGTTGCTCATTGCAGAAGTGCAAGTTAAAAAACAAAAATCATTTTTTTTTGTCTTTTCCTTTTTATTGGATCTTTAAAAGGGAATTTTAACTTAGATCTGTGCCAAGGTTGTAGTCGAAAAGAAAATAGGTTCTTTATTTGAATACCGTCTGTCAACCTGTTTTTTGAAAATTCTGTTTCTGATAATTGAACTCCATTATTGGTGCATCAGTGGATCTTTGCTTATACATCTCGGTGCCTGCTTCTCATTCCAGCAGGTGAGAAGCTGGTTGGTTGGGTTGCCTCTTGTTGACCGACTTAAATAAAAATAATGCTAAATGAAATCGAACTCAGTTAAAAATAAATAAATAAATAATCTTACCTGCATGAGGTCCCCTAAGTTGACTACAAGAGCTCCCTGCAGAGGGGGATATCTACCCATTGGTTTTGATGGCGAACTTGGAGGCCACCCGTGGTGTCTTGCAGGACTATAGTCAGAAAACATGGGTCTGTGTGCATGGTTGTGCCCAACGTCAAGTCTGGCTCAGGACAAGCCGGGTAATAGTGGCATAATAAAATCTGTGTTTCCATGCATTCTATGCTAGAAAGGTAGTCACTTCGAAGCCCAAGTGCCTCTGATATTAGTTCAGATAGTGTCTTCATTTTGATAATCTGTCTGATGTAATCACTAACTTCTTTTCTGCAGGGTCATTTAAATGAATACAACAAAATCTACTAAAGAACTGAATTTATAGATACATACATAGTTTTTTTTAGCTTATTGCAGATCTCTAGCTATATATATATATATATATATATACAAGATATACCTGAATATTTCAGGAAACAGTTCTGGATTCAGATTACCGTCCTTGAAATCGAATGATACTGTATCTCTCCAGCAAGCTGGTCCTCTGTTCACAAGGAGATCTCCATTGGAGTAGAACCTCACTGGCTGCTGACGGTCTTGCGAGTAGAACTCCGTCTTCACTTCCTGCGGCTGCTCATGGAATCGTTTGGCACCGTCTAACATCTCTTCCAACACACTAACTGGAATTCCATGATTGACCATTTGAAAAAAACCCCATGTTTCTGACGCTTTCCGAATCTCATCGACTACCTCCTCTCTTCGACAGCTTTCAAAGCCTTCAAAGTCTATAACAGGGATCTGAAAGCTGGCACTATTGCCAGTCATCTCTGATGATGGATTTTGCACATGCTCTGGAGGATGGACAAAAAACGTGGGGATCTTTGTCACGCCAGCGTCGACTAGTCCTTTAACACCAGCTTTTGTTTCATTGAATGCCTTCACTTCCTTGGCTCTATCATAGTTGGACCCATCTGCGGGATATGAATTCACAGCATTTGGAAACATGGCTTCCATGATTGTAACACTATTGGGTTGTGAATATTAGCGAGAGCCGAGAGGCTTCTAAACAGAGCACTCAGGACCTAGCTAGTGGGTATTCAAGAATCAAGGAACAGAAATTATCATGTATTTTTAAGAAAGAAAAAACGAAGGAACTTTAAGACACTGCAGAGGCAAAGATACCAATATGCGTCCCGACTTTTCTTGACCTTTCATGTACCGTCTTATTCTTGAAATGGTACAACGCATGTAGCATGAGCTAATATATCCTTGATTTACGCACCGTATGGGGACCGTTTATAGGTTATTAATTACTCAAAAATCTTTTAAGAAAATAATTAAAAATTACGAAAAAAAAATATAAGTTTGAATATTTTTAAATAATATAATAACGATGGCTAAAGGTCTACAAACAACATAATTAAATAGTCTATTTTGCTGACTAAATGCTAATTAAACTAGACAATAAAAAAAATTAAAATTTAGAAAATTCATCATTCAAATACGAATATTAAGAAAAGAAATAAAACAGAAAGTCTTAGGAATCAATTTAGTATGGTTCTGCAAGTCTAGATTACAAAAAAATAAAAATAAAAACTCAAAAACAAATTTTCTAAGTGGATTTTGATATCGAAAACAGTCTTTCATCAATTTTGCGATCATCTCATTTGATGAGGTTTTGAGTAAGTTTTTCAAATTGATATTATTTTCATTAATCGAATACTTAAATAAAAATTACAGTTGTTTAAAGGACCGGTTATATTTGCTTTTTCAAACTATTTTTTTAAACTTTGTTAATCAATTTGATGCATGAACTCGTTAGCTAAACATCCTCCGTCATTGACCTATCCGAAAACGGTGTCATGACTTTCTTAGATCTAGTTTTACTGTTTAAGGTTGAGACACATTTTATCTCGTCAGAACTCAGAATAAAACAAGAGGTGCTGACCTAATGATTGTACTGGGACGGAGCTAGAATTTTTTTTATTAGGTTGACGTTAATTTGAATTAATGTATGCCAATCTGTATATGCATAGCCATGCACCTTCCCCCACATTCATTCTCTTTTCACATTTGCTAAATTAAGCATGGAATCAGAAGCTAAAGAACGCTCACAACTTGAGCATTTATAAACAATCTTCCAAAACTTCAGCTCAAGCTATAGCTAGCCCGCCCTGATCTTACTGACATTTAATTAATGAGCCCCATGTGCAGAACGAACAAATAAAAAATTATGTTCCCTTGTGCAGGGTCCTCATCCCGATGGCATGTGCCCCCTAAATTTGAACAGGACAGACTATGGAAAGTTACATGTGACGAAGAAGACCCTATGGTGGCATGTGATATTCGTGAAGTCCGATTTTTCATACCCAGAAACTTGTAGGAATCCAAACAATTTTGTCTCTCATTCGTCAAGAATCCCAAATTTTCTGGAATGTGTCTGAGAATTACTACGTTGTATTTAGTAATCTCACATTCTCTGAAAGGTAAATTTTCTATTTTTCCTGTTAAATGATGAATGTGTTAGCTTTACATTCCTGGCCAGAAAGCTACATTTCTGGCTATCGACGAATCCTGATTACAAACTGCTGTCATCTTTCCTAGCTAGTTGATCTCAAAGAGCGAAGCATTATGCATCTTTTTCCATTCCCATTTTACAGCATTTCAGAGATTTGCATGTGAAACATATGCTCTGCAGAAAATCTTACAGATGATTGCACGCCTCGTCAGGCCCTTTTCACAATATAATATAATAGTATAGTACTAACTTAATTATTGCAGACAAATCTTACTAAGGCATACGAATAGATCTCAGTGAGCTGTTGTGACAAGACAGGTATGAACTATGAAGAGTTGACATCTGAAGAACATTTTGATTATATAGTTAAAAATAAAAATGATAGGGTTGAAATTTATCATCTGATGCAATTAATGGGTGAAGAAATAATATACCAGTTGGAGTAACATACAAGAAATCATTTTTTTTCCCCGGACGGTATAAGGAATCATCGATCAAGTGGCAAAAAGAATTCCCATTCCACCGACCCAAATTTATGAGGATAAAAAAATAGGTGTGTTAACGTCTAATGGCAAAGCTGAATGTAGATTTCAACGAGCTATGACAATGCACAAACACACACTGTTAAAAAGATTTGTTTTTTCAAAATAAAATATTATCTTATTAGCATAAGATCAACCAGCACAATCAATTGATATCATAATAATATATAAGAAAATCAGGACAAAACATTTTATGTCCTATAAGTTCATTACGTAATTGTATTGCTTTCTCTCGAAACAGTTTTTTGCAGCCAATTAACCTAGTATTATTATGAACTGAAAACATTCTACTATCTATCTGTCTAGCTACTTGATCGGAACATGCAGATTTAATTAAAAATATTGATTTATTTATAGAAATAATAATAAATAAATAAATAAAATATTACTACAACCATTTGATATCATTAGTTGCTTCACTTTTTTGTTACGAAAAATAAGTAAATTAGTTATGTTATGCAATTTATTTTTTAAAAAAATGAATTAAATTTGATATAAATAAGGTAAAGTTAAGGTAAGGAAAAGAACAAACCTTGATCAAGACAGTTACTGTACATACGTCAGACTGAAAATAAATTAATTTTCTCTGTCCTATATGTGTTTATTTTTTTATGAAATAATTTATACTGATTATTATTTCAGTATTCTAAAATTTTCCGAAAAAAAAAATTATAATATTCAAAAAGTAAATTATCCTTCGATTTGACATTTAGTGAATCCAAAGAGTAGACCGTAGAAAGTACCCATAAAATGATCCGGTAATAACAAAATATATAGAAAGGTGCTATGGGCACAAACATTTTGTCTATTAGCACAGCATTGTAGAATCACAAAATTAACTTTTTTTTAGTTAAAAAAAAAAAACTTTTCTAGCCATTTTCCTCTTCGTTTCTTTAAACCCAGAAGAAACACTTCTCTTCTTGTTCCGTCACCGTAACACTACACCAACACTGTTAACACCCAAATCTTTTTCTTCAAAAATGGACTATGATTGCCCGAAGAACTTGAGTTTTTGATGATGAACTTTTGGTAACAATCATGTCACCAACTCATCTTAGTCATAGAATTACAATCCCTAACTTCAAGACCCACTATCTATCGTCTCCAATCAAACAACCGGCCCACACTGCCTACTGTTCCCAAGGAAGATGCTGGTGCTTACCATCTAACCATTTTTAAAATATTTGCAACTCCATTTACATAATCAGAGAGGAGATTGAGATTTGAGAAATCTTTTTGGGTTTGGAACGCAAATATTTAGAAATGGGATTCGAGTTTAAGCACTGTTTGTGGGCTTTGAGCTAGAGAACTCCTGTAAATTATTCAAGAAGGTCTGCAAATCTGGATGGTTTTGGCCTGGGTTTTATTCTTGAAGTTGTTAAATTCTGACCAAAAATAACAAAGAAAGAAAAGTGATTGATCTTTGTGGTTTGAATTAGAACGTTTGAGTAGATATTGAGACATGAATGATTTCTGATTTCCTTAAGGCCAAACTTTAATAAAGAATCGCCATTTTTTTTGGCTTTGGGAAGAAGAACAGCGACGTCGTTGGGCCAAGGGAGAAGGAACCTAAGGTTAATTTTGTTATTACATTTATGAAAATTTAAACATGCCGTGACAATAGACAAAATAGTTGTGCGAATAGTTTTTTTTTTTAATAATAATAAAAAAAAGAAAAAAGAAAGCATAGTTGTGCTGCAAACTATAAACATTCCGCTAGCTTTTAAACATCCTGTAAAGTTTAATAATCAGTCAGCTGTTGTGATTAGTATAATTTTTTTCTCCTTTTTTTTTATTTTTTTTAATTCATTGGAAACCCAACGGATCTATTAAGCTACGCAATAGAGATAAATTTTTTTATTATATAATCGTAAAAAAATAAAATTATTATTATTTTCAAACATTACTTCATTAAAAAAGTTAGCTAAGTGCGCAAACGTTAAGCTAAGATTACTTGTGTCAAAATTAAGTTTTTTGACATGCCATATTATTATCTTACATGTTGTCTACCTATCATTTATTATTAAAAAAATTGATCAAAATCCTATTGATCATATTGAATTCGACATTCAGTCAACCAAAAGCACAGTAAAAAAAAACCATAAAATGATATGGTAAAGTAAATAGAAATTAAGTTACAAAAGAAGAAGACAGAGACAATTTTTATGGCAGTAAATTTGATTGATTATTACAAATGAGATGGACAGAAATTGACGAGGGCAACAAGCATGTATGGGATCATGCCAGTTTAAAATGAGAAAGGGTTGAAGTACCATCTAATCCTTTGGACCTGAAGTAAGCCAGGAATTCAGAAATATGAGTTTCCCTGTATATGGGCGGATTGTCAGAGAGAAGCTCCTTTATTGCTCCATAAGGTTTAAATTTATTTGCTGTGCATGGATAGAAAAAGCATGCTACTGATGTCCGCGATCCCTCCTGCCCAACAAGAACTCTGTGCTCCACACTCTTGAACTTGTTATTCGTGATAAGCTACATACAACAGCAAGAAAGAAAATAAATGAAAGTCGTATTTAGAAATCTCTGCCATGCCATAAAACCGACTGATTTGTCATATCATAAGTCACTAGAACTAATTTGATGTGAGCTGTTTTATACTTTAATTCAAAAGCTATCTTTAGGTTTTTATGTTAAAATTTTGCTTCAAGTAAATTACTAAACTTCTTCACCTTGTGTAGGAATGGCCATATCCCCGCCCCCGCCCCGTCCCTGAAAAGTTATGCCCCGTCCTTGTCCCATGCTCCATGTAAAGTAATATTTTTCCTACCATTCCCATCTTCAATGGGGATGAGGATCCCTGTGGGATATCGATGCCCCATTTAATTCTTTGTGCTCGTTTCGTCCCATTTTACCTCATATCATCTTATATCAAATTTCAAACCATAGCAAAAAAATAATAGTTTATACAAAAAATACAATTAAGAAAGACAATCATTTAGCATCATATTCAACTATAAGTTTATAACGAACTCATAATATATTAAATTATTTTCAATCGAATAAATAACATACTTAATTAAGTTGAACAAATATCACAACTCCCAATATCACAAATACAATTAAAAAAGATAAACTTTTGCATGTTTTTACTGTTTACTAATCATTAAAATTCACTCATTATATTGGATGCTAGTTTGTAGTATCAAAAAATATATATGTATATATAAAATTGTAATTTTTGAAGAAAAGGGCGAGGCGGGGTGACACGAGATAGGGTGAGAAAATACCATTCCTACCTCATCCTCATTTAAAATCAAAGTAGAGTGGGGTGCCTTGTCTCGTTCCCCAATCAACTCTAAAATTCTTGCGTTGACCGAGGTAGAGCAAATTGCCATCCTTAACCTTGTATCATTAATTTTGACACAAGCTCAATTAATGAATATTGGAAAAAGAAAGAGTTACTTCATAGAATTTTCTTCACTATTCGTAATTATTATTGTTACTTAAACACTTGCTAAACTTAATGATTTTAACTCAAAACAACTTTCTAATTCTCAATTAAAGCAAAACTTTTTGGTTCTTTAATTAGGACTGTTCAAAGTCATTTATAAAAAATCAATTATCAAACAACTAATTCTATTGCCGAAAACTTTAAGAATAAATTAATTAAATTGAACTTATTATAAAAAAATGTTTAAAATTAATTCAATCAATAGTTTTAATTAACTAGACTTAACAAATTTAGCAGTTCACGCACTAGGTGGAAATAAGTTTGATTTTCCCTTTTCCTTTGAGTACAGGAGCACAGATGATCTTTTCTTCTTCTTTTTTTATACTAAAAATAGTACTAATACCAACCATAATAAATGACAAAAAAAAAAAAAACAAATCTCGTGGTATGATACATTTTTTTTGTGAACAAATTCTATTTTGGAATGGACAAAATCCGTTAATTTCTCAGTTATTTTGGGTTTTAAATGGGTTCCTTGAGCTTATACGACAAGGAATTATCAGGTGCACGCATGTGGATGTGAGTTAGTTTCAAGTCTTTGTAGGAAATTGCTCTTTTCAAAATGCTACAGAGCCATGTTAAGACTAGTTTCTCTTCTAGCTTGTCCGCGGCTGGTGGTTAGCCTCTGACTGTCTCGAGTATGTATATATATATATATTTTATATGTGTGTTTGTGTGTCAAAAAAACCAAGTACTTTACCTGCATGAAGTCCCCTATGTTGACCACTAGAGCTCCCTCTAAAGGAGGGACTTCAACCCATTGAGTTTGATTGCGAACTTGGAGGCCACCCATGTTGTCTTGCAGAAGTATAGTCATTAAAGATGGGTCTCTATGCTTGGTGGCACCCAACGTCAAGTCTGGCTCAGGACAAGCAGGGTAATAGTGGCACACTAACGATTCAGTTTCCATGCATTCTATGCTTGAAAGGTAGTCACTACGAAGCTCGAGTGCCTCTGATATGAGCTCAGATAGTGTCTTCTTCGTCTTGATCATGTGTCTGATGTATTCACTTACTTCTTCCCTGCAAGACAATTTATTTCAATCTAATAGTAAACAGCTGAATTTCTAGATACCAGATACAGTTTTGGATTGTATTGCATATTTATGTATAGTACCTGAATGTTTCAGGAAAGAGTTCAGGGTCCAGTTTACCATCTTGGAAATCAAACGCTATTGAATCCCTCCAATTTGCTGGTGCTTTATTCACAAGGAGATCACCATTGCAGAAGAACCTCACTGGCTGGTTACGGTTGCGTGAATAAAACTCCATCTTCGCATCTCTGGGTTGCTCGTGGAATCGTCTCACACCAGCTAACATCTCATCCAAGACACTAACTGGAATTCCATGATTAACCATTTGAAAGAATCCCCATGTTTCTGATGCTTTGCGAATCTCATTGATTACCTCCAGTCGTCGGCAACTTTCGAAGCTTTCGAAGTTTATAACTGGAACCTGAAGTCCCAGATGGCTACTCTCAGATGATGACTTTTGCACATCCTCTGGTGGGTGGATAAAAAACCTGGGGATTTTGGTTACACCAGAGTCTACTAGCCCCTTAACACCGGCCCTTGTTTCATCAAATGCCTTCACTTCCTTCGCTTTGTCATAGTTGGACTCATCTTGGGGAATGGAACCTGTAGCTACAGAAAGCAGGACTTCCATGTTTTGCGGCAACAATGGGTGGGGATTAGCGAGAGGAACTTGCGTCTAAATAGAGCACCTAGTGGTGGCAATTCAAGAATAAAGAGAAAGATGCTCATGTTCAACGGAGGAAATGGTAGTCTGCTGCCTTTGGGCTCTAAAATGCGTACGCAAAGCAAATGTGACAAGAGGCCAAAATATCAAGACATGCCCTATTTTGACCTTTCTTTTTGAAGTCTTAATCTTGAGAAGTAACAATTCATGTAGCAGACACGTCCTTTCCTTCAACTGTTTGGCCTCAAAATGCTCGATAGAGATGCATCTTTCTATGAAATATTTGGCCTTATTAGATCTCTTGTTTTAAATCCCTACCCAATAATTGAATTGGGTCAGAGCTAGTTTCTTCAAGTTGGAGTAAGGATAATGTGAAGAAATTATTTAAAACACCCAATACATACACACCACCCCTCGTATTCTGCTTTCATTTATATATATATATATGTATATATGTGTGAAACCTATACATCAAATTTTCAGTTGTAGAAGTCCCAAAACATGGCAAGTTTGGGAACAAATTTCTTTGCGTAATCAAAAGTTAAGTATGCCCCAAATCCACAACCTCTCCCAACTCCCGAGGGCAAGCTCCAACCTCAAGATTTTTAACAAATGAGAGGCAAAGCGCTAACAATACGGACAACAGTTACCTTCGGCATGGCAATCATGGCTTGCAGCTCCTGTACTAAGACGGACTCAAAAAACATAACATAGCAGAAAAGGTAGTGCTAAATTAACTGATAGAATTATTATTATTCCTACTACTTTCTTTTCTCTAGACAATTACCAATACATTATTTATCAATTACAAATAACTATTACATAACAAATATTGATGTAATGTGTATCGGTAATTTTTTTCTCAAAAAAATGACGAGATATCAATTTCATTTAGTGAATTTAGCAATACCCTAACATAAAATAACATTCTAATGAAGCATGCACCGCGTTTTACATTTCCTTTTCAAATCCCAGGTTACAGTACATACGAGATATACTTATCGATTATCAAAGCATATACGAAGCAGCAAGTCATAAACTGCCACCTGATCAAGCCTTATAATATTGCTAAATTATTGCAGACAAATCCAATTAAAATACAAACAAAAGATTTCGTAAAGATTTTGCTAGCTCTGACAAGATATTTCTAAAGAATTGGTAGAAACATTTTGCTATGTCGAATATCATTGTAGCAAGATCGTTGGATGCAAATTATGGGGGGAACACAGTTTTTATACATCAAAAAGGGCTAGACAATTTCATCAGACGCAAATTTTTTTGTGTGGGGGGGGGGGGGGGGGGGGGGAGGGGATGATGAAGAAGCGGTAGGAGCATACAAGGAATTTTAAAATAGATTTCAACAAGCTGACAAACAAGGGAGATGTAAAAGAAACAGGCAATCACTTCGTTTAGTTTCTGGGAGATAATTATCTTTAGGGGGCAAATATCACAAGATCTCCATAGAACCTATAGGGCTATACCTGGACAAACTCGGAATAAAAACAACCAGTTACAGGGCAATGACAATAACAAAACAGGTGAAATGAAAACAAAACAAGGCCTTCACTAACAAAGAGACAAACTCACAAACGTCCACATTACAGGCTACCACGGGACAACAGAGGGAAGAAAAAAAAAAATCCTAACCAGCCACCCATGAGCAACACAGTAAGGATTCTTTTTCACCAAATTGACAACTGCTTGTCACCCTGACACGGCAATCAATGCAATTTGAAACCGAAGACCAAGTAATTGTAGGCCACAATGAATGATAATCGCCCAAAAATCCAAAACCTAAAGAGATCTGAATAGTTAATAGATCGAACTGTAATGGATTTCAACAGGATACATATCCACAAAATGCATCTTGGAGGCTGGTTGCAGTCACACTTCTCAGACTCATAATTACTCGCCTTTTCGAGAGAGCAAGCTATTCTTTCACAATTCACAAAAAGGTTAAAACCAAGCCAAGTTGTGAAAACAAACAATGTTAATAAACATTCGAATAACATGGAGGAGAAATTCATGAACGTATGAAGGTCAAATCCCATTCACATGGCTCTGACGATATCTTGTACCATTTTTTTTTATTATCTCACAGTCCTTGCTTTCACTAAATAGCTGAAGTTACTATTATGTCACACAGGGATCGGTGCTGCCACTTGCTAACACATGCATGTTCGACCTCATCAATCATCGACTGGTCATATAACTCCTTCAAAATTGTATAAGAACACCTCCAAATATTATACTAAGAACTTAAAAACGACAAGCATAAAATAATATATCCCCATGAAATACAGGGGAGAAAAGCACCACATGGGTATTTTTCCTAAAATAAATAAATAAAAAGCCTCTTAACCATACATGGTGGATCTTGGTAAAGTACATAACGTTTAACGAATAAAAAAGAAAAAAAAACTCCGATTAGCTCCTTACTGAAAAGAGATACCTACCAACCGGTAGCCTCTGTTTCTAACCAGTTTTAGTTTTAGGAGCCTTCTTCTTATGCTGTCTCCTGGGAAGTGAGTTCTTCATCCCTATGAAAAATAGCAGTGCTCCATAGAGAGCCATATTCTACATAGGAAGAACGAATGTAATTTAGAAATTTGTCAAAACCCTGCAGAAAGCAAAACAATATTGACTTTCGTACAGAACATAAACATTGTACAGAATCAGCTAGATCAAACCTGTGTGAATTTGATGAAAAGTTGATTAAATTCTTTATCTTCGCTGTCATAATTGTAAAAATCATATAGGATCGGAATAGCAATCAGCTGATGTATAATCTGCAACCAGAAAGGACCTCAATATTCATTAAATGAGTAAATGATACACGCATTTCTCATAGCTATACCCATAAGAAGAGCAAAAGTCAAAATACACAGCATATTTCTTGCACCAACCAGCAGGTAGGCTCCAAGAGAGCTGCCAAAGATAAAAAGGATGCCTCCAATGCCCTTAAGAAATATAGCAGCACTGACCAAATGTTTGATCTGCACATAAATATATCAACTAAAATTACAAAACAATAAATCAATAGACAAATAGAAACTGGGAATGTGGGAGACTCTAGTTACGGGTCAAAATCATTAATCATGGGTTTTTATACATGCATGGCCGCGCATGTTGCCCATTCAATCCCCATTCCCCAGGTATCCAGTATATAAAGATTTTCCAGAGAGCCAAAATGGATACCTTAAGATAAGGCAAAACAGTCCTAAGAATTTGACAAGTCACCGTTTAATCATTGTCTTCCAATCACTAAACCTGTTTGAGATGTGTACGTGGAATACAAGAGGCATGCCAAGAATCCAGTATTAACTATTTTGACAGCTCCCTCTTTACAACCTTGATTATGAACATGCTTAAAATACCAGCACCATGTTCTAACATGCAAACTTTTCGTCTTCTTATAATCAGGGTTATCATATGGTGTCTTGTGATACAGAGAAAAGCCCTGTTTCACCATACAGCATGCTCATGATAATCCTCCTTCAAATCCTAGATGCCGACTGCCCAATGACCATTAAAAAAGAAAGTTCACAAAAAAGAAGAAAAAAGCAATCATTACACGCTAAAATTCAAGACAAGTCCCAGCCTCTTGCAATTTTGGTTTTATTTTTTAAAATTTGTTATTTTGATTGCCTGTTATCTTTCTCTCAAATCTTTCTATAGCATGTGTGTGGGAGAATCCTCACTTCAATTTCTGGTAATTTTACGCCAACATGAGATTGCACATGACTGGCAAACACACCAAACTTCGGTTTCAGTGACTTCGCTGCCTGTCCTCCATCAACCCCAAATTCATTAAACCTGAAATTGAGGAAGCGATTATGACAAAACATCACCTGAAGACTGCAAATGAGGTGGCAATCGCTTCACAAACAAAAAGCAAAAGATATAAAACGCTTCAAAAAAATCAAATGCCCTATGATCTTTTTTTCTTTTTTTTGTGGCCCAAACAATGGACGATTAAAATGCCACAAACAAGGAATCAAAAGCTTAATGCCGGTTCTTCAAAACATATCCAACTGAAATTGAATTTCTCAACCCCGCATCATAAAAGAAGAGGATAAGATTCTAATCAGAAACCTAGTGCTAAACCAAATAACAAGTCCTGTTAATATCCAACGTATGCAGCATCTCCAAAAAAGTAAGTGGTCTAGAACATAATGTTTAAACAAAATTTGACAAGCACAATTCTGTTTACCCACTAAACAAAATCAGAAGATTGTGCAAGTGCACAACCTATTTTCGCATCCATACAAAACCTCAATTCTATTATAGTCATGATTTCAGCAGTAACATTACTTTTCCATGCATTTACTCATAAAACCAAGATCGCACAACTTTTCTACTCTAAATTATGTTCAATCCAAATAGGAAATTGAAATAACTCCATTACTAACTTACAAATTACACCTAAATTAGTTTAAAAATGGTATGAAATATAAACAGAGAAAACAGTAAGTTAATACAAATTACCACTGCAATGATTCCAAATAGAATTCTACAATTCCATATCAATCAATAGCCGCAGCCTATATACTAATATGCAACAGAGTAAAAGCATTCTGCAATTCCACTCGTAAATAGACAGCATGCTCTTTTTTCTTTATTAATACTACATATTTATTCAGCTTACTAGTAAAAAAAAAAGTTGCTAATTAAAAAAATTACATAGAAATGTTACAACTCATTTATTTATAAAATTAACGAGGAAATTACAAAAGAAGTTCATAAAAAAAGAAGAAGAAGAAGAAGAAGAAGAAAAAGAGCAGATCTATTTAATGTTAATTTCAGGCATAAGATTAAACAGATCCAATCGACTTGATAATGATAAGAGAGTTGCAGAGCAGCAAATTTATCAGAATTGTTTGCTACAAAGACAAAGAAAAGAAGTGAGAAATTTTTAAACAAAAAACGAATACAAAAATAGAAAGAAAAACAACTTACTCTTGGTAAGCGGAGAGTATGAAAATAGAGGCAAAGAGGACTCGTCCAAGAAATGAAGTGAAAGCCATTTGATGTTTTTGGAGAGAGGGACAGAGGAAGAGACGCAGTGTATCTCTCCTTCTCTGTTTTTGCTTCGAGACAGGGAAAGAAAGACTTGAGGGGTTTCTTCCGTTTCTTCTTTTGCTTTTTTTTAAAAAGTAATTTACTGTCTGAAAAAAGAAAGGCTAAAAATCAACTTTTCGTGGGCGGCTACTTCAAAAGGATTGGGCGGGGTAATTGAAGGGGTCCTTTCATTCTAAGATATGCCCTTCGATTTGTTTTTATTTACGAATTAAACGGGTTGTTTTCTCCAAGTTGCATCTGAAGGAAGGGTAGGAAGGAGATTTTAATCCGGAAATCCTGAAGATTACTTTTTATGCAGGGTAAATTAGTACAGTAACCGTAAAGATTTTGAAAAATATTACTGCATGAATAAACCTCGTTCACATCTACAATATATTAGGGTGATTTTAAAATTATAAAAAACTAGATTTTTTATCTATAATTTTTTATAGGTTTGATAAATTATATAAAATCGTTTAGAAACATTATTTCAATTTAATAATATGTTTTATAATATGAATCTATAAAAATATATAAAATCAAATATGAAAAAAATTCTTTATAATTTTTTAATAAAAAATTTTGTATTTAACTATTTCTTATTTGTATGTTTCATAATTTTTTCTTTAGAAAAAGGATTTATCCTTATTAATCTATGGATTATTAACTAAAAAGAAAATTAAATAATTTTTTTAAAAAAATTTATTATTTCATAAGATTGTGTCGAAAAAGATAAATAACAATTATTAAAAGCTTACATAGAATCGAACAAATAATTTTTTATTTAATGTTGATCAAAATATTGGCTTTTGAAAAAATGTGAATTTAGTTTTTATATATTTATTTACAAAAGAATGAATGATATTAAAATAAAAAACTATATTAACTTGACTTTCAACTATTAATTAATTAATTTGAGTTTTGTTCCTTAAAAAATCGAGAAAAAATTATTTAAAATATACTTTTAATCTAAAAATATATTTTAGACAAATTATATATATTAACCATACCACTATAATTTAAAAGTTATCTAAATCTATTTTTTAAAAGAAAAAATAATCACATTCTAAAAATTTATTCCAAAATCCATAAATATAGAAAAATAAATTAAAATTATCAGTAAATATAATTTTAAATTAATTAGATGAGAATTTTTTTAAAAATGATAAATTAAAGTAGTAAATTTTAAATGGTAAAAATAATTAACAAAAAAACAGTAAAACAAAATGGAACCAAATCACAATATAATCAAAACTTGAGATTGAAAAAAAACAGAGAGAATTTAAAAAAAAAGACAAATTAATATAATAAATTTTAAATAACATAAAAAATTGAAAAAATTATTTGAAAAACATTTTTAATCTAAAAATGTATTTTAGATAAATTATATATATTAATCATGCCACTATAATTTAAAAATTATCTAAAACTATTTTTCAAAAAAAAAATAATCATGTTCTAAAAATTTATTCCAAAATCCATACATATAGAAAAATAAATCAAAACTATCGGTAAATATAATTTTAAATTAATTAGATGACAATTTAAAAAAATGACGAATTAAAGTAGTAAATTTTAAATAATAAAAAATAATTAAAAAACTAAAATAAGATGAGACCGAGATCACAATATAATCGAGTTTGAAATTGAAAAAAAAAAAACTTAAAAAAAATGACAAATTAGTGTAGTAAATTTAAAATAATATAAAAAAATTAAGAAAATATTATTTGAAATATACTTTTGATCCAAAAATATATTTTAGACAAATTATATATATTAATCATGCCATTATAATTTAAAAATGATCTAAATCCATTTTTCAAAAGAAAAAATAATCATGTTCTAAAAAATTATTTCAAAATCCATACGTAAAGAAAAATAAATCAAAACTATCGGTAAATATAATTTTAAATTAATTGGATGAGAATTAAAAAATAATAATAAATTAAAGTAGTAAATTTTAAATAATAAAAATAATTAACAAAAAACACTAAAACAAAATGGGATTAAATCACAATATAATTAAAGTTTAAAATTGAAAAAAGAAAGAAATTTTTTTAAAAAATGACAAATTAAAGTAGTAAATTTTAAATAATAAAAATAATTAACAAAAAACACTAAAACAAAATGAGACCAAATCACAATACAATTAAAATTTGAAACTGAAAAAAACAAATATAAAAAAATCGAAGACCAAAGTGTTACAAAAATATTATAAATAGTAAAAAAAATATTGATTTGTAAGTGTGTTAATAATATTACAAATAGTGAATAAATAGTAAAATCATATTTTATTTTAATTTTATTGATAATTTTACGTGAGTCTTTGAAGTTATTAAACGTGGAGAGGTCATATCAAACTTTCAACTTCGAAAACTGTCCTTTCATAGTTTTGAAAAAAAATAATTTTTCAGAATTTTTGTTTGTAGAGAATAACATTTTATAAGTTAGATAGATAAGTTAAAAATTAACTTTTTCAACTTTGGGCTCAAGCAGAATTTAACTAGAAATTAAAAGAAACTTTTTATTCAAAGTAGTATTTTGGTTAACCTAATCTTGCCAATTAATTTGAAGTCTTTGTGTTTGTTTAATGAAGAAAAAATAGGAAGATTTGATTAATTGACTTAAACCCACCATTTCCAATTAACTAGTTGTATTTCTAAGAAATTAACCCTTCTTTTAATAAAAATTTTTGTTAATTTTTTCTTAATTTAAAATCTAGATTAACCAACATAATAATTTTATTAAAAAAACTAAACCAAAACACAAATTTCTTACTATACTATTATTTTCACAATGTAATAATATTTTTATAGTTTTTAAATATTTATTATGAAAGTTTTCATAACATTATAAATTAATTTTTTTAGTTTATAAATATTTTTTATTTGATTTTGATTTTATTTTTTATTTTATTTTGATCATTTTAGTCTTTAAATTTGTTTTTTTTTAATTTTTTAATTAAAAATTTTAAGACAAAAAAATGCTTAGAAAAAAATAATTTATAAAATAATTTTTTTATTAAAAATTATAGATAGAGATAAATAAATAATTTTTTAATAAAAAATTTATTAAAATATAAAAAATAATTTAAAAATATAAAATTTTAATTTAAAAATAATAAAATTAAATAAATTTTTATTCAGTTTTAAATTAAGATATTTTAATTAATTAAAACAGTTCAATATAACACGAATATTGAAATCAAATAATTTTTTAAAAATACCTTCATGTACCTTTTTCAACTGCAGTATAACATGGGTAAAAAAATTAGTATTTATACAAAGGCAAAACCCTCTGCTTTTCAATATGAGAGATCCGATACAGTAAAGGAAAGATACATTTATATCAGATTGAAATTTAATTTCATAAACTCAGATTTGAGCGATGTACATAGAATGTTTAGCATCAGATTGAGCTCTACAGGCATCAAGAACAATCAAACTGCAACGTCTTGACCGAATCTTCTTCGACTAATTCATCAGCAACATATCCTGTTCCAATGGAAGATGTATAGTCTCTCAAAAAATAAACCACATTATTCATGTAATCTCCTGCACTTCCAGATAACCCAAAGCAACACCAACAAAATTGCTCCTGAAATCATTCATTTGGATGTAAGCTAATGCATAGTAGGTTGCCATCATCACAGCAATCAAATCAATAGATATTAGATTTTATGTAAGAGCTAAATTGAGAAGGAAAAAAACATACATAAAAAACAAATCAAGGAACAATAAACATGAAAGAGAATGATCAGATAGAGCTAATACAATGATGCCATCATTGCGGCAATCAAACCAATAGGGAAACAAATACTCATCATTTCATTCTCTTTAACAGCTTCGTACAAACCAACAATTCCATGTAAACGCATCAAATCCTTATGGAACCGAAAATAAAAATAAAGAAGTAATCAAAATTAATTTATATAAAGTAGAATGTGGAGGAGAATGATCAGATAGAGCTAATACAAAGTCGACGCCATCATCACGGCGATCAAACCAATAGGGAAATATATCACAATCATCATTTCAATCTCCACCACTAAATCAAGTCAAACAAACTATAAAAAACGAAAAAAACAAAAACCTAAAACGAATTAGACATGTTCATGTACGTTTCTGCTAGCTATAATGGTGGAAATAAACAGAGAAGGGAAAATTTTGTTTTAAGAATCAGGGGGGCGGAAGAGAAGGCGGCGAGAGCTTATAATGTGGAGGAGGATTGTGGGTTGAAGACCCAAAACCCTATAGAGACTTATTTATAGAGCGAGAGATCGAGGTCTGCCAGACTGTCATTTGAGGACATAAATCAAGTGGTGAATATTTAAGCTCAAGAAGGCCCACAATCACCTAAAGACCCACAAGGCCACAATAACTGAGCCCATCTGATTATTATCTCGAGTGACAATAATACCCATTCGTATGTTCCATAATATCAAAATTAACCTTCTCTTCGAAATCCGAACAGTCTAGTTTCTGTCCATCTTCCACGGCCTCCCTCGCTGCTACCTCACCGCTTACTTTGCTCTATCCAAATCGAACTTTCGCCACAAATTAGGTGCTGCAATCTGCAGCGTCACGTGCACTATCAAGCTGCCTATATCATGCCCTGACCGCCGCCAACGCCGCCGCACCACCGCATGCTACCTCCATCTAAAAACCTCTCTCAGAAAGAATGGCAAACCGATACCTAAAACGCCTCTTCCTCGACACTTGTAAGTTAAAATTTGAACTCCGTCTCCCTTCTTTTTTTTCAAATTACGAAGCTTTTAACATTTTTTGTTTTCTTTTTCTTATTTTACAGGCAGTAGCAAAAATATAATAAAGAGGCAAGAATCATGCAGGAATTTTCTTTATGGTGTTGTGAACGGGAGCCAATCAAAAATGTCAAAATCAGAAAAATTAGCTGAAGAATCAGCTCAACTATCTTCTTCAAAGACTAATAATAATAAATTCGGAGC